TGAAAAAATTAGTTCCAAAATATCCAAATATAAAAAAAAAGACAAAACAACCCTTTACAGGTGCTTTAATCAAAAATTTTTTTATTTTTTGGATTTTAAAAAAACTATTAATCTAAAAATTTCCCCTTATTAGGGGTTATGAAAAAAACTAAAAAACTAGCTAAAGGCCCCCAAAATTATGCAGCAACCTGGCCAAAAAAGAACAAAGTTAGAAAAATAAAGGATTTTGTGAGGGTACAAACGTTAAATTTCAGCCCATGAAAAAAAAAACATTTACAAAAGTTCAAATCTTTAATTAAAAAAACTCCTATATTTACGTAGTTTAATTTTCTTTTCTGTATTTTTGCAGTTAGGGGTTTTTGCAACATTCCATAAACTCTATGTAATTAGGAGTATCTACGTAACGTTGCAATATGAAATGAGTACGAACAAAATCATTATCAAAAGAACAAACTTTTTTCATTTTCAACTAAAAACAAAACAATGCACGTGCATTGTTTTTTAGAAGCGATGAAATGATAGTTTTGAGTTCATTTATTACAAAAAAAATAAGACAATTTTCTTAGACCTATTTTAATTAGAGCTTATTAAATCTAGATTCCAATGCTTTCATAAACAATCAAGTTTTATAACCTTTTTCTATTAACATGAAATTTCATGATTATATAATAAAACATTAACATTAATGTGTTGGAATATCTAAAAATTTTGCTCATAGAATTTATTACAACATGTTTTGAATTGCGTAAACAAAAATGCGAAATCAATAATGTCATTTTGTCTTATTAAAATGCAAATAAATAATCATGTATTTTGTTTTTCTTTTTGACGCCATATTGAAAATTAGTTTCACGTGACCCAAAGAGATAAGATGCCCCAATGATGCCCGAGTGTAAGTAAACATCACATATCATTGGTGACCCTTATCACGGAGAGGCGGTGACCCAAACTGGGCGTCCTGTTTTAAGGGGATCTTATCAACAATGGGGCGGCCCTGTAAAATTGCGGGGGAAAATTTAAAAAAAAATTTAAACCCGCACTACTTTGTTTTTCAAAATATTCATTTCCTAAAAAAGTTTTGACGTGTTTTGGGGTATTTGAAGTTTGAACTGAAAAAGATACAGTGCCTTATTGAATACCAAATAATTTTTACAAAAAAAGCGAAAAATGGACAGAATATAACAACGGGGCTGCTCTAAAGACTAGAACCCCCGATATAGAAATTTTTGGGGTGTTTGGAAAAACCAAATTTAAGTGTTTAACTTTATTTCCTTTTCCGAAAAATTAAAATTGGAATGGTTGCCCAAATTTTAAATTTTTTTGGGAAAAAAAAACACTTTGGGAAAATTTAATTTAAAAACATGTTTGCATTGGAACAAGCACATATATGAGTTAAATTGTCACTTTGTCTGACAAATTGGCAAACGGAGGTGAAACAGACAAACCATCAAATCAAACTAGCTGTTAGTAACTCAAATGCAAATATTCAAAGTATATCTAATAATATAAGAAACTCTTAACGATAGGTGTTGAGTTGTGAAAATTAATTAGAAGTCTGATAATTGATATGAAGCAATTACTAATATAAACAATACCAATATTATCTACTTCATTTGATTCATTAAATTTGCCATTTACTTCCCTCTTCTAAGTAAAATAAAGAAAGTTAACAAATATATTCTTAAAATTTTCTCGCATACATGCATGCGTTTTCATTCCCCTTCCCTTTCCGACTCAAATTTCTGGAACCAAAGTGTCCGTAATAGTATCAACATTGCTCATTCTAAAGCGGTTAAATAAACATATTTTACATCATCATTCCAATATATATACTTTCTGAGGTTATTTTCGTTTATCATTGATATCAATTTGCTAGTGTTACAGCGAGTATGTATGTACATGTATGTCAACCAGATGGGCGCAGAAGGACGAAAAGTTTACGATAAAAAGAACAAATAGTGTTCCGATAAAAACACACTCGACCTCATATGTCCAGGTGTTCATTGAAATAATTTTTATAAACATCGTCAGGGGAAATATTTCATGTTCCCATGTGGAATGTCGACAACACACAAATCATGGCTATCACCTGTTACCTTTAATTTATTTTTAAAATTCGATTACGCTCGTAACCTTCATTAGAAAACTTACACGTAAATAAAGCAGCAGAGCAACGGGTATTGGCGTGTTGCTTACATGATGACAAGCTCTTTTGTACAGCCGTCCATAGCATGTGTGATCTGACCGACTCCGTGTATTCTATCAAACAGTGAGTCAATCGAAATATATTTACAAAATATTTTATTGTATTTCAAATGTAGCCACTGTCAATAAAAATCAAGAAAGGCATCTGTGCTAGTATTTATCAAAAGGTTTTTAGCAATCTATTTACATTTCTTCAACTAAAGTGCGAGTTTTATAGTAATTTTATGTAACGGAAAGACACCGTATGATAAATGTTTTCTAATTTCAATCAATTGGCTTCCAAATTTTAAATAAAAAACTTCGAGCCGATAAAAGTTTAAATTGATGCTTTTGATAGATATATGCTGTAAAAGTTCAAATCACTTTCGCACAACATTATTAGTTAACCAAGATCTTTCTATTCTTAAAAGTGTCAATTGATTCAAAATTAATGTTTCACATATCCCTCCATTGAATTCACATACATTAAACGTATGTAGATCACCACACTCGACACCAAGGAAACGCTAAGGACCTCTTGGAGGGTTCTATATCCGAGAATTAACCCCGTGAGCCGCTTGATCCATGCCTATATCCCACCTGATTTTCTTCTTTCGCATTAATATTATCATAGGAAGCTATCAATCATTGTATCTGGCATGGCATAGTCTGTTTAAATATGTAGGCATAAATAGATGATATTTTAAACGTTGAATAGGGAAATCCCGTTCAAGTTAAATAACTAAATGTCATAAAAACTATCAATTAATTTTACTAAAGGGACACAAGATCACAATTGACTTTGATTTAACATTGGTTTAATCTTCCCATGCATGGAATTCAATTTTCACTTACCGTATCAGATCAGATATTTATTTCAGTCGCATTCCGCCTCTTAACTGCTTAGGAAAGATGCTTACTAAATGTATCACTCAACCGGACATTTAATAATGTTGTATTAAACTAAATCTAGAATTTGCAATGATGATTGAAAACAGAAAACAACAAGCAGCATAAAATGGTAAGCTGCAATTTCTTTGAATACCAGCTATAGAAATTTAAGACTTCGAATTTGAAATACGAATTGTTATATTTTAACTTTCTTTAAGTTTAACTTAAAACTTTTGTATGTGTTGTAGGTTTCATAATTGTTTTATATAAGAATATAGAATTCCATTTGCTAAGCCAACAGATGTAAGACAGATATTTTTTAAAGTTATTTTAGAGTAGCTGTTAAATAACTATAAGAAATAGTAAACGATTCAAAGAAGGAAAGTCTTCATAACAATGTTTTAATTATTTCTAGTATATTATTTCAATAGTTCAGTAAACATTAAATCTTTTATTCAAATATTGCATTTTCATATCTTTCTTGCAGTGTCATAGCGCAAACATATCGCACTGTGTGTTAAAACCTTTTCTAATTGCAATCAATGTCACCTAATATAGTATCACTGCAAACAGATCATTGATTTATCTATATATATACCAAATTGCTTATCGGTATTAGACTTTTAGTTTGTATCGTTACTGTTATCTAGCCACAGCAATCCCCCCTTAACGCGAGAAAATGGCACAACATTGAGACAACCCCGTTTTTGTGCAACATGAAAGATAGCAGAGTACTCTAGCTAAGCCTTTCGTGTTGAAATTTGGGCTCTCCGTGTAAACAACATACCTCTGTGCGAGGAAAACCCGTTCTAATATTCACCGTCTCACCCAGAGAATGGAAATTTCGTGTAATTAGGGAGATAAGAAAAACGAGGATAAGTTGTACATATAAGGGATATGTTTTAAAATATCATTTCGCCGCTTGATATGTTATTTTGATAACCCTGAATTTTAGCCTACTTGAATTTATCCGAGGGTATTTCGATCCACTTTGTTTGCCGTGAGAGTTTTTATTAGACAGGAGTTTTATTGACATAATTAAAACATTTAAAGATTAAACTACAAATTTATATACATGTACTTATATACTTGTGTGGAAGTAAATATTTTTGAAGTAACATTGCACTTAAGATTTGTTTTTATTATTTGTACCATATTGCGGCAACTAGTTATGAGTCAAACAAGTAATTGCATCAAAACAATATCTTGAAACATACGATAGACACATTTATAATTATAAAGTTCAAATATCTCATGTTTCCTGTTATTCAGGCATGTTGTTATTTAAAAAATAACATTATATGTCAAATGACCAATGCATCTATTCTGTTGAGCATGTAAAATGTATGACATGAAACTTGAGTTGAAGATACTAAAGATATTGCTATGCCATACAGTTGTTTCTTTCCTTGCGAAATATTACCGCACAAAGCAAGGTACCTTTCAAAACACTCTGTATATTTCATACTGATACGTCAGTTTTTATTTTCTTATTTTCGCTCCAAGATAATTACAAGTTAAAATGGTTTTCTGCAGGGGAAAATTTTAATAATTTAAAGATATTTATTTAACTCTTTTCAAAATTGTTAAAAAAAAATCAACAAAAAAACCAACAACAACAAAAACAACGTTTGTATCGAGAATATAGTTGACAAAAATCGATCAATAGGAAAAGGTCATTGGAGACCGGTGACCATCTGAGACCGGAGCAGACGATTAGTAGGTCGACCGTCTGTATCATTCATAAAAATGGCGTGTAATAACGATCCTATGTTTTTGGTATTTTCTTTGTATTTAAGTGAAATAACAATTATTTCTTTTTAATAAAATGATTAAATATCATTGTATGGATAATTCCGATCAAAAAAGGAAATAAAAATAAAGTGAAAAACATAAGTTTACGCAGAATATCTTCTATTATTATGACAAATGCACTACGAATGTTTTAATTTCATACATTTTCATTATATAAACAATTTATTTCTTGTAAAATTTGAGATATATATTAAAGCAACATTGAAATGATTTTCAAACACCTCAAGTTTTTCCACCTCAAACGATAAAATAATGATAGAAAAATAGAAATATCGGGTGTTATTTTCCAGAGCTAAATCCGTAACGTACCGGAAAACGGCGTTTAGCTAAGTTTTCAAAAAGGTCAATAAACCAATCATGTACGGGGTTAACAGATCACGTGCTCCTCCATGTACCGAAAACAGGTCACGTGCTCCTCCATGCCTCTAAAATTAATGGCACAGGCTCCAGTCCGCAAGGAATGACATTTAGCGCTAAAGCAAGACGCAATCAAATGCAGAAGTTCTATATTTCGAGGTAGGTTTTGTTTAGAACAGTCCCTAGAGCATCATATATTCTACTTAAACCGGGAAATATTACAGTCATCAGGTCTTGTCGAGTAATTCTATAGATATTTAACTCTGTTATTTCATCCCATAACTTCTTAAAAGATAAAGATTGATTCTAAAATTATCACACACAATTTATTCAAACATCAAAAAAGGCTCTCGTTGGAGTGTTTGCCTTTTTTTATATTTCGTGCATACGAATTGTAATTGTTTCTTTTTTTGTACAAACTACTTCTAGATAATTTCTTGATTTTGAAAAACTTAAAAACGATGATAGTGGAAACTGTCAAACTACGTATACAATTTAATGCCATTACTTAATAGCTTTATCTCTAAATCAATAAAATTCAGGGCAGGAAATTTGAAACTTCAAAATCTGTCAAATGTGGAATTATTAATAAAGCTTTATACTTGCTATGTTATAGTTACGGAGTCATTCTGTTTGAATGTTACGATATTTTGTGTGTTTATTCGGCTATGTATCTCGAAGACGAATCTGTATGTCAGAGACTTTGACCTTCTCTGACAGACTAAATCCGTCCGTCCACAAATGATCTTAAGATTAAATACAACCTTATCATATTTTGAATTTTATTTTACAAATCGCGTTCCAATAGGCATTTTAAGTGCACTTCAAAGCCTTTGGTGCACATCTTAATTAAACAGAAAAGAAATGTTTCATTTATACCTGCAATATCATAATTAAAAGCCTATTGCGCACCTTTCTCGCTAAATAAAAACATATTTGAACTGTGAAATACTGTCATTTCTATAGATAAAGAATATTTAAATGATGTTGTACCACAACTTAAACATATTACAGTATATGCTTTATAACATTCTTATGTATTAAGGCATCCAAGAAAAGTTTCTTTTTCTTAGAAGTAAGTCCTAACTTACACTGGACATACAACACAGCTGCAGACAACAATTCTTCAAACGAATGCCAATAACCACATCATGAATAGAAAATCGTAATTTATCTAGCATGTCATAAATAGAAATATATATTTGTATTGCAATTCTGATTACCATTACAAATGACTTGATTTTTGTATATTCTCTCAATATGATTGCTTGTAGTCAGCGTGCATTTGCTCATTTTGTAAGGTCATCTGTGGACTATATTGAAGTAAAAGAGATATTATATTTCTATCATGTTTCGTTTAGGAGAGATTAATTCTGTCCGAACCATTTACATACACAATCATTTAGATTTGCAAACATGTGCAGAAATAGAATGTCATGCTTATGAATAATCGGTATGCTAAAAACTAAAATAAAATATCAATGTCGACCTGAAGAGATAATTCGAAAGATATCGTTTGCAAATTTGGTCTCATTAAATCACGCCATCCTTTGTAAAAGTGTTTAAGAATTGCAAAACAAAATATAATTAGATAATTTGTTGCTATGAATATTATGAAATACAAAATCTGCTTGACAGTATGAAAGATGTCAAAATATTCAAAATAATATATTAAGTTTCAAACTACTTTATTAAATTTTGTGGCATTAAATACCCAACTGAAACACATACTTATAAGCAATAATGTACCAAATAATTTCTTATTGACGTGTATAACGCATACTCATTGGATTAATTTCAAAACCATTCCAAACAAAATTAAAACTGAACAAAAAGGAAATAAGACCCACAATAAACCATTTTGTGACATTGTATGAAGCCAAGGTTCGCGTCATTACTCGTGAAATCTGTTTAAAACACAATCTATCATGGCGCATCTGTTTATTCAGATGAAATTTCTTGCCAGAGAAATTGATAAATATACACATTCCTTCACTGAATACGAGCACGGCTAAGCTACCCGGATATCGGGGATGTACGGCGGATCAAAAGTTCAATCCTGGATATACGGTGCTGTTGGCGCTTCTCCTCGTACATTATAAACACACATTGTCAACTGACACGCTGATCAATAGCTGGAGGACAGTAGGTAAGATTTAACAACATTAATTACCCAGCAATTGACACGTTTATGGAAATACCACGAGCGAGATTGTCTCGCTTTTTATTGAACATATATAAGCTGGGGTTAAGGCAATGATAAAACTCTCGTGTATCCCTTGAGTTAAATAAAAGCTGACACATTGTAGTAGATTTATCGTTTAATAAAAACATCTATATGAACAAAAATTATGAGAATATTAAAATGCATAAAGCCAATATAAGGTTTATTTTTTTTATCTAAAGGATTGTATTTGAGGAAGCATATTTTCCCCTATTCGAACACCAACTATAATCTTTTGGCTTCGTATCTGTTGCAGAAAGTTGGTGGATGTTGGTGCTGTATGATAAGTGATATTTTTAAATACAATTTACATCGTTTTGGACTATTACACACACCATACGGTGATACTTTAACCAATATAATTATACTGTTACAAGTAAAATGGTTTCCTGCGGTGAACATTTTAATGATATAAAGATATTTCATTAAACTATTTTCATTTTTTTTGGAGGGGGGGGGGGATAAATAAACGTTTGTATCAGGAATATAGTTGACAATTGAATAAACGACCAATATAGAATAAGGTCTTTGGAAACTGGTGACCGTTGAAGACCGGAGAAGGTCGAACATAAAACAATTATTTCTTTTTAAGAAAATGATTAAATATGCCTACCATTTTATGAATAATTCCGAGCAAAAAATAGATAACGTAAACACACAAGTTTACGCAGAAAATATCTCTATTTATTATGGCAGATGCCCCTACGAATATTTTAATTCTGTGAATTTTCAGTATAAACAATTCATTGTTTGTAAAATTTGAGATATATATTAAAGAAATATTGATAATTTTCAAACACATCATTCAAATTTTTCCACCTTAAACGGTAAAATAATTATAGAAAATTAGAAATATCACGTAATAGTTTTTTGTTCTTGATAAGCTGTAATTCGGACTTAAATCCGTAACGTACCGGCAAACGGTATTTAGCTAGGTTTTCGAAAAGGTCAATTAACCAATCATGTACGGTTTACAGATCACATGCTCCTCCATGTACCGAAAACAGGTCACGTGCTCCTCCATGCCTCAAAAGTTAAACGCGTACCAATACCCTGCGGTCTCCAGACCGCAGGGAATAACAAAGGTATTAATTTGTTGTGTAAATGTAATGAACAGATCCCGATGACATATCGGTATATTTAGCTAGTTTTTTTAATCCTTGTTTAATTAGATTTTCTTCAGTATCAACGTTACCTTTGGTAGCAGTAGGTTTGGGCTGACTAGGACGGGTCATCTCAACCATCTTTAAATTTCCTGTGCTACCTTAAAAACACCATTCAGATACCAAAAAACAAGCACATTATCGGACACAATTTCAAATATATCTAGGAAACTATAATGTTTAAACTTACCAGATCTTTTGTTTTAAAATGTAATTCTTTTTTCATGATACACACAATAAAAATAAAGCTAGTATCATGACTGAACCTCGTTAATATCTAAATAGTTTGTTTATAAATGTTTGACCATTGTCAACATCAATATTTCCAATGTCGTCTGCATAAAAATCTTTCCCAGAAGAATATTTCGATATCAGAATGTTCAGCATATTTAGGGTATCATGTCACCGGATAAATCTCTTGTGACCTTACAAAGAGCACATGTAATAACATCGTGCACATATAGTGCATTTAATGATATATAGCTGTATAGATTGATTTGCTAGACATGTTTATATATTATGTTTCGTTTTATCTTACGAATCATGAAAAGGATTTAGTATAATTGTATTTATATATAAATCAAGTGCACTGTAGACTTGATAGGAATCTGTAAAAATCATACATTGTTAAGGAGACATTATCATATCAAATGAATATTTTCTTCTTCTCAAGAATTACCGGAATTACGAGTTAGTCTTTATGCCTTATATCTGTCCAATTTTGGCTTAAATAGTCTTTGTTTAGATAGATCACTTCACTGTTTAACATGAAACAGCTGGGCTATTCTTACGCAAGAATTATTCTCACGACTTACAGTAAATCCTACAAAATACTTGAATATATGTCTATACATTATTCATAAATCGCCAAGATAAAAGCAGGATTAAGATGTACATCAGACGAGATTGTCTGACCACAATTTAACTTACAAATCCTTAAAATTCCACTCTCTTTCATCACATGACCGCTCAAATTGGATAAATGACGGTGTTGCTACATAGACTATTAAACAATTTTGGAATTTCGGACACATAACAGGTGAGGAACAATCAAATGCAAACGAACAATATACATCAATAGAATGGTGATAAAATGGTCAATAGAGGGGGATTACAGAATTATGGACATATATAACAGCTTGCCTGGTAGCCTCTTCCAGCATAACATCACATTATGGCTTTCAAAAATGTCGACCAGAATATTCATGTTGCGTTCATAACATTAATTCAAGGAAAGACAACATTTTATTTTTATTTTAGCTCAATTGAGAATAAAACTTTAAATGTATTTAAAGCATTGTAGAGTTCGCTTTCTGGAATTTGTAAGTACTGACGTCATATCAGAAAAAGCGGTCGAGGCCCCCATAGGGATCGTTCCGAAAGTTACTTTAGTTGAGAGACAGACCCTAAAAACTAGGTGACCACTTCACTGTCGTCTTACTTCATATACATTGTTTTCATAGAGTCTGGTAACAATTCTGATTTATAATGCCTGAAAAATTTCAACTTAGTTCTTATAATTGGAATTTTACAGTTGTATGATATTGTACAAAATTACCGATAACACACTTCGTATATATGTATACATATAAAATAGTTGTTTTTAAATACTAATCAGGAGACAAAAAATGGTCAGATACGTTTTTATTTGAAAATAAAATCAACCTAATATTCGGACAGGTAAACGGCGAATTGTATATCATTTTAAATCAGCTTATCTTTACTTAAGCCAATGGTGATGCATACATTCTCTATGCTTTTCACAAAACATATATTTATGTAGACAGCAACGAGGAAACAAGTGACAAACATTAGGTACAACACCTTAAAATGAACGATTCGAAAACCATTTCATCAAGGGAGCGTAAATTGTTCCTTCCATAATCCCCCATTCGTTCTATCCATTTATTGCGAACAAAATAATGTCAAATTTTGATCCCCGATGTCATTTATCAATAGTCCAGTGACATCTTAATCGATTTCTGTGAAAATGTTACAAATATAAGAGTGATTTAGACCCTTCCGATTTGTTCCTTAAAATTGAAATTATCAGGAGATATCTGAAAAGTATCCACGTAATTCCATTTAAGCCTTTGAAAACCCATTACGGAGTTTCACAATTCTGCAATATCCATTCATCACAATAAAATAACTGCGCATAGATTGGGACAACACGAGCATGACGGAATCCATGGCCAACTTATTGCTTTTAAAATTACGAAATGTATCGCAGGTATGCAATAAACAGTGAGTTTAAATCCCCGAAAAGGTGTATCAAATTAGGGGTAAACTATCATTATTATCCTGTTATGAAACTTTCATATTAGAAACATGTGTAAAATTAGAATTTTATAAACAACTTGAATCTATTGTGCAGATTAGGAGATAAAAGAGGAAAAAAACAACCTTCAATAGTTTACATGGATACATGTATTATGAATACAGCACTGATATACACTTTATATATATATATATATTTATCAATATATCAATATATATATTATTGTTATTTTTATTGTCTAAATATATAAAGGTAATCTGTAAATTACATCATCGGAATTACACCATGTTTAATGATTATTATTCAAATCATATCAATATCAAAATGCTTAGTTTCCATTGGCTATATTAGTGTTCATATACCATGTTAATACGTTTACATTCAAACTTTGAAATGAATGGCCTTTTTTTTTATAAAATGTATTATTTTTTAAAACACACATGCATAGTCCTATATACACACACTATTTAAATATTTTGTTTTGTCACAAGTATGTTGATCACGTGATCATACGTCACACTTGCTGCTGGAGCCAGTTCTTGATATTGTCTGCATTGTTCGTCATCCAGTCGATGTTGTTTTGGATACTCTCCCTTGCTTGTATTCTGGCGCGAGATCCAGCACCCGCATCCGGATACTTGTTAAAAAATTCGTCAGCCTAAATATATTATTTATGCGGGTTTAATTTCAAGTCTTCAAAATGTTCACAAGTACTGATTGAGTGGCTGATGGAGGAAAGCCACTACGAACATCAGTAGAACCACCGTCTTACATGTATCAGTCAATCGACTGAGAGAATGAAACCAATAAAATATAAAAATAAACTTTCAATAGTATCATTTATACTTGTATTTATTTCTATCTATTCATCTTAAAATCTTAAAAAAATGAAATGAAAACTTGTTAGCATTTTATCCCGTTCATATTCTACATTTCTTTTACCATGATAAATATGTTATATACTTGTCCATCTTTTAATCTAGACAAAATCTTTTATTTGGGAAAATTTCAAATTATGTATGGAGGAAATAGCGAACAGTGCAAACCAAGATACATGCGGCTGATGTAAGTCTGCACTGGTCATATTGGTAGAATTTGTTGCCTCCAGCAGACTACGGGTTAATATGAATTCTCTGTCTGTGAAGTTGGAACATTTTCTATCATTTGCAGGAAACTATGTTAAACTTACCTCTTGTAGCTTAAACTGGGTGTTATACTTGCTGATGATACTCGGAACAAGTCGCCCTAAATACCGATTATACAACGAGAATCTGAAAATTATAATACTACGGTTAAAGGGAGGTAAAGCCTCATAACACAAGCAAGTTATGCCGACATATTTATCTGATGATAACATATTCTTGACAGGAACGTTCACTCTTTTTATATTAAACTTTTTTATCGGTAGAAGAATATTTAGATACAAACCTTTGTCGGAACGATAAAAGAAAATATGTCAATTCTCAAACAGTAAAAAGTTACAAATTGTACTGAAAATTAGATTTAGTTGATATATAGGGATAATTGAGAAGTAAATTCGTTGGAAAAGTTCCAATTTCTTTAAAAGTGACCCCAGGAAACAGTTTTAGGGACTGACAGACAGACGGGCTGACAGACAGAGGGATTCTGGAAATAGTCAAGCTAGGGCACTGAATGATTTGAGTGATAATAAGGAACCTATGCTTGAAGTTTGAAGTACATACCTTAAGAAAGAAAGAAGTTATAGAAAACAAACAACATTTTCTTTAAGAAAATTTTTAGTTCAATGATGATAATTCAAATAATATAGGTGCTAGAATTATGAACTTTACCATAAATGTGTGTGAGTGATGATAAAGACATATATTTGAAGTTTGAAGTAGATACATTGAGAAATAAAGAACTTATAAAAAATTACATTTCTTCATGAACATTCTAAGTTCATGGTGGTAATTCTTGGTGCTAGAGTTGCGAACCTTGTCACGTATGATGTGGTTGATAATCAGAAACATATATTTTTAGTTTAAAGTAAATACTACATAAAAACTTTAATCAGAAAACTTGACGCAGTCGCCGGCGCTGGATGAGTAGGACAGCTCTCAATATACGATATAGAGTTGAGCTTATTATGATGTGCATAATCTCCATACTGCAATATATCCATATTTCAAGTGTCATAAAAATATTTTCAGTACTTTTCGAGCTATCACAAATAGTGTTATATTTGCTATATTTTAAGTATATTTGTTGCCATAGGAACCAATTCTTTTTTAATATAATAATTAAAAAAAAAAGATGTCCAGACTGCCATCTACCCGTATATTAAAGATCCTGTATGTTGTGATCAAAGTGGTAAACCACACTAAGTGAAATTATATATATGTGCATAATTATGCAAAAAAAACAATTTACAAACATCGAAGAATATGTAAAATGTGTACTGCAAATATTTGTGGATATTATATGTTATCATTAAAATATATGTATTCATTTCTTATTGTAAAATTTGACTTAAACTTTATAGAAAATAAATGTTTTATTACCTCCCTTTATTAACATGACACGTTAAATTCTTTATAAATAATGTTTTTTGGAACCTACAATATTGATAAATTTTAATTTGAGCATCAAATTTATGATTTAAAACCATAAGAAATTGTGTTACAGGATCTTTAAGTTTCCAATACGTTTTGCGTTATCACAGTTTCTGTGTTATATTCGCAATATTTTAAGCCGATTTGTTGCCGTGATAACCAAATTTTCAACATAGTAAGAAAAAAGGCGTGCATAATCCCCAGCCTGCCATCTATTCATATTTCAAGTTTCATAGAAAAATTATTTCAGTACTTTTATGTTATCACGGGATCCAGTTTTGTGGACGGACGGACGGGCGTAAGGACAGACGGATGGTAAACCTAAAGTCCCTTCCGGTTAAACCAGTAGGGGACTAATCATGGCAGGGGAAAGAAACTTTCAGAAATAAATGAAGAACTAACTAATATGCGGATTCATCCGGGTAGTCTGACAGTTTGAATAGGACGCAAACAGTTGATGTGAATACGAGATAATCTCGGATGTAGGTATAAACAGCTTCAGTCATATGTTTGTGTCATCACTAAGTTTTGGATCTCCATTTAACAAAGTTAAGAGAGTTACTGAACAAATGGTAGATATAATATAAAGAAAACACGCCCTTCTGTCAGCATAGCGTTGATATTCAAAGCAAAATGTGTGATTACTTACCTCTATGCCACCATGACAAAGAGGAGATAGAGAAATATTTGTTTTTTTTAGAGAACTACATTCAGTACGAAGTCCAGTATGATCCCCTTCATGGTAATATATGGGACATTTAGAGCTTTTTTCGTCTCAAATGGGTTTGAAAGTGAATTTGTTTAACTAAGGAAGGGCGTTCCATTGTATCAGGGCAGGTGGTAGGAAAACATTTAGATTAAAAAAAGGAGATAATCGTTTTTCAAATAAGCTGAATATTCGTAGCATTGCGTAGTTTGAACCTGGAAGTTTCACCTACAGTAGGTGGAAGTAAAAAACACAGGTATTTCATTGTTGATAAAAATATAAGCGAATTTTTTTTTTGTCAGTCAGTCGGACAGATGAAAGATTTGACAAGTTTTTACCAGTCATGTATAGTTGAGTCTGACGTGAGAGAATCTGGCGGTCATTTGTAAGAAGTAATTATGTATGTTTAACCGTGCGTGTATATAAGTGTGAGTACTTCATTACGGAGTAATCTGAATTTTGTACCAGTGGTATGAATTCTTGTGATGGTAGTTTATATTTGTTTGGGTCGTCAGACCAAACAAATATTAGTAGCGAAATTTCAGACCCTAATATGCTTATTTGCAAATACCGAAAGAAGTCCGAACTCCACGAAGCGGTTACTTCCCTTTATAAGTACACTAACGCCGAAAAATTAAGGTGAGATCACTGCGTAAAGATTGTCAAATGACAGGCGCATTAATTTTTCAAGCCTTCCTGGGGAAATAGTTCCCGATTGGTCGAAGATTTCTAATATTGTGTAATTCTTTACAGATATAAATGCTTATATTAAGGTCCGTGATTATTTACATCAGTGTTAAACAACAGGTTTACCGTGAACAAAATATCTCGAAATTAATATGGTAACAAACCTTAATCTAGAATAATGTGGTTTTCTACAGGTTGTTATCTTATAACTTCCCCGTGGTCGAGGGGTTACACGCTCTTTTAGGAAGCCAGAAGTCTGGAGTTTAAATCCCAGTTAAGGCAACTCATATTTTTTTGTGTTTTTTTTGTTCGTTTTTTTTATTATAAATTGTTTAAGCCAAATAAACATTGAATATCAGTGTTGCAATTAGCCTTATAGCCAATTTACTACATTTATAACACTAGAAACAGCATTGGTGGCACTATACAAAAACAAATTGGATTATATTCTCACAACCTTCACCTTCCTGACATTCTAAGACCCAAACAAATTCAGCGCCTTTTGTGCTTTATTTGTTTTGCTAGTGTATTAGTTTCTTTATATCTGTTATAACCCGTGGCACATCGTTTGGCTTAACAGTTACTTGTCTCGTTAGGATGACCGATTTAGATAGCTCTAGGAGTTTGTTACTAAAATAGGAAATGTAGCTGTTGATTTCATCAGTTTTCAACTGATTCCAGTCGGTGTTTAAAAACTTCTATTTTCAAGATCAAACCTTCTAACGTAGTGTAAAGTATTTTTTTTTAATTAAAACTGACATCACCATAACAATTCTCTGTCCTATCGGCCCATGAAAGTTTTTGAGTATTATTTCATTACAAGGTATGTTAAGAGTTGAGCCACGTTTCACTAAAAGCAAGGACTTCAAACATACCAAACTCAGCTCCCAAGTTGTTTATCTTGTCGTTATCTTATCCTTATTCTTGTTCTCAATTAATACTGATATTTCTGACATTGTATTAGATATAAACGAAAGAAATAAAGAAATAAAACTAGTGGATGTTGAATCTCTGGACCTGGGTTTAGATGGATGTTGCTCTGTCTATATGGCACAATACCCAACAGACATAATCAGAGACTGAAAGAGCAAGCATAAAATGTCTGGTGAAAGTGCAAGTGGGGAGTAAGGTACATAATATTGTGTTTGCTTCGATTATCAGTTGAGAAAACACTAAATATGTAATTATTAGGCGTGATGGGAAGTAGTACAGTGATATGCATGAATAAAGATAATTTCCTTTGGCTATCAAAATGTGCGATCATGGAGGGACAGGTTTCTCAATATTTTATCGCTGACAGGAGCTAGAAAGAGACTAACCACGATCAGCATGTGCATACACTGACATTATCATCATTCTACAAGTAAAATATTCAGGATTGATAGAAATTTGATTATGTTAAATAACAGGATTACAGGTTAGGCTAGATTTACAGAAAAGAGAACAGAAAAAGAAAAGGATATGATTGTTTTAGATATTTTTTTAGCTATGCTCCTAACCAAAAAAATAAACAAGAAAAAATTACAAAGGACAATTATTTAAAAAAATACAAAAGACAGTTATGGTCCTTAAACAATTCAAATTTCCTCATTGATATGAAGCTTCAAGTTGCTACATCCCTTTTTCAGTTCAGTATGAAAAATACAAAGAGCAATTACTTCATAATTATGGAAAATGTTCTGTTTTTAAGCACTGCAACATTTCTGGCTATATGTGATCTATCAATCTATGAAGGTTCAAGTTAATACCTTTTGAACTGTGCCCCACTTACAAAAATTAAGTATGACGACAACAAGGGGTCACAATTATGAAAAAGAGTGTTATGGTTCTAAGCATTGCACTTTTCCCTAATGAGATCTATGTATATGTTTAAGTTGAAATGCCGGGGCAATAACTAGAGGGTTATGGTTCTTTCGACAATGCACGTGTCTTCAATGAGTTGTAACTTCAAATGAATTTTAAATTAATGACTCAAATAGTTTCAGTTTTATGCTTATACAAAAGTTTGACAGACGGTCGAACGAACGGCCGCATGACATCGCCATATCTATATGAACCAGGGTCACATGTTTCGAACATTCTTACCTATTCACAATATAGTCATAATTAGCTCTGACCCAGTTCCATGCTAGTGGATTTCCAACTGGATTCCTCGAAATATACGTGACAACCGTGAAGAAATCCTGTGAGCCAATCATCGTCGTATTTTTGCTGAATTCAAGGTATCTGTAATGTACAAATGATGCCAATCAAATTTTCATTTGAGCAGGTATTAACAAATTAGAGGTGTGCAATATTGGTGAGTGAGGAAAACATAGAGAGGTATAGTGATGTGTACAGAATTTAGGTTTCTTTGTAAATATCTCGTCATCATAAATTGTGCGATTTTATTGTAAATATTCAGTCTGGTAGGACTGAGTATCTGTGACGGATATTCTTTGATAAAGTGACACTCTTGTTCTTTATAAAAAAAAAATTCTAACCTGTTTAGTAGCCAGACATGTTTGGTATTGGCTAGACCATACAGCAGTTTGATCTTTTCCTGAGGTACAGTTTCCTGTAAATATTTGTTCCACATAAAGTTCCAGTCTGATTCTGTACCCTCTGAACTCATGCCGTACTTGTATACGTATGTCCTTATATTAGGAGATATGCTGAAATATAGAAAACAAATGGTTTACTCGGATATGAAAAGAAATGAAACCATTAAAGATGATGATAAATATATTGATTTAAGTTTCTCTTGCATTTGGTTTTTCTCCCACTACCCGTTCAGCCTCTTATCATATAAGGAGAACTCAACTGAGGTCCGAAAGCCTTAAAGGTTACATTTTAACAAATGTTTCCATTTGAACCGATCGTTGTAATATACCAATATGAAGATTAAATATTGAAACAAAATCTCAAATTATAGATTGACATACAATTCGCCATTGTCAATCCATCCTCTAAACTTCATAGTTGCATTTCCAAGACAATATGTATCTGCAAATTCACACGCTAGTTGTATTATATTAGATCGCATTAATCTGAAATTAGAAAACATTTTACATTGTATCGATACATACATTTTAAAACTCATACCATTCCATTTATTCAAAAATATAAACGTTTAACAGTCAAGCCTTTGATCTAAACTGTACAAAACAAACATTAAAGTTATTTAAGTGAAAAATGATTGGCCCGATTAAATCAGAAATACTGGAACTCGGCATTGTTTAATATAGATAAGCAACAAAAAGAAAACATTTCGAACAAGAAAACTAAAAAAAAACATTTCAAATTTAACCCCCTGAGCGTTTGTCACAATTATAGCAGATTCGTGCCACAATCTACAACGAGGCCAAACTTCACTTTCTGGCTTTTTTTATTTAAATCGTTTAACTAACTATAGACTGTTAGAGGGTTAAATAGTATATAAACTCACTTGTCAAGATGTGAATCACCATCTTCCCATGTAAGCCGATCCATCACTGGACGTACTTTCTTTGCAAAATATTTCTAAAAGAGACCAGCAAGTTTTAGATGCATAAGAATAATCAGAAACTATCAGACAATATAAATTGCCTATTTCAAACTTCATGAAGCAACTTCTGGATCAGAATAAACGGAAATGATCCAGCTTACATTCAGTACAAAATTTGACGACTTACTATTCATTTTTTGTGCATTTGTTCTTTGTATACATACCCTTAGAGAGTCAAAATGTCCGCTGGTGATGAACATATCTTTTATATATGTTATACCACTGTAAGCGGAGTCCCATGGTAAATGATGGTACTCCTTGTCCAAATACTTGGTCATTTCTAACGCTAATTCATAACTGATATATCCAGCACGAGCTAGATTGAACGCATCGTCTACAAGACCTGTCCTATCAGCAGGGTAAGGTATCTGAAGAAAAAAAATAAGACGGTATCTCAAGTATAACTTTTATGACAGAAAAGATCCGTTGTAGAAATCTGAAGGTTAGAGAATATGAAAGAGAAGGATAAATAATGCACAAAACAGGTCCACTGCTGTCTTTCAAGTTCATCTTTCATTAGTTTTTAATTTCTTTAAGATTGTGCTATATAATCTTCTGTTTAACATAAAGTATGATATTGTAAAAAAGCTCGAGTTATAAGTTGATGGCACGTGAGATGAACTGAATTGTACATTGGAAATCGTTAATAATTACATCGATTACTAGAAGATGAGAGAATCATTATTATTAATCTTTGATGTACATTAGCCCTCACCATGCTGACCAAAAAGTGTAACCTTTGCCAAAATATGGAGCCACGCCATCTTGCACATCCGTGAAGTCTGACCAGGCTCTATACTGTTAGCTGATTAACTTTAAAGTTCGTCCCTTTATATGGATAACATGCATACTGCACATGTCCATTTAAGAAATTCAGCAGATGAATTGTTTTTCGTCACAATGTCTATATTTTCTCAACATGTAAATATGTTTCTCAACATGTAAATTGATTCTTTGGTGTTTTGTTTGTTTTTGTCTCTAAAAAAGCAATCAATGATAAACTATACACACAGCTGCTGGTCCTTGAGATTCCAGAGCGTCTGCTATTCTTCTCCAAACATCCGGGGGATAGTTCACTCTGTAGAAACCGGTGTCATTCACATTGAACTTGATTAAAGCGTTCCCTTGGCTCATGTCAGTGTTCACATCAAATGAAACTAAATTAATACATACATTTGTATATGTTGGGAAAACGATGAATTGCAATGTATTAAGAATACGAGTATAACTACAACTAACGCATAAAATCATCATGAAATAGCATCGTCATTATCATGAAAATGTAAATCTAGAAGCTTTTGAAGATTTGACTTAAAATGTGATAGGAAAAACCCAAGGGGTTCCTCCCTTTATCTACAAATGTCAGAGGATATGAAAATACCTAAAGTTATGTACATCGAAAATATACAAAATATTAACCATTGATTGATACTTAAAAACTTTCCTATCAATATTACAAGATATAAAATGCCTGTGGTTACCTACACCTACAAATAATGATTTTTAAGATGTAAAAGCAGAGACTTATATAATAGCTCTGTGATAAAAGAAAATGAATATTTACCAGAATCGTCATCTTTTGTGATCCACTTTATTTTATATTCACCATTGTCTATATAATCCAGCTGTACAAACCATTTATATCTGTTAACAATTAACAAAACATATTAGTACATATTAGTACACTTTCAAAATAGATAAAATGCAGAATGCATTGTTAGACTGGTCATGTACTGCAGATGGAAAAGACAGTCATCCCCAAAGTTGTCACGAGGTGTACACCCAATAGGGAGAAGGAAAATGTGAAAAGCAAAGGCAACATGTAGAAGATACCCAGACAAAGAAATGGAGGTTAAAGTACAGATTGGCTTCGTTGGAGCTCTCTGATAGCAGCCTAATGCACACACCAGCGATGATTAAAATAAAAGAAAAATCAGAAGTACTCATTTAATGTAATCTGTACCCTTTTATTGCATTCTCATGATTTGATTTAATAAAGGAATCAGAAAATACTCAGATATGAGCTGTTATTATTAGTTCTTTTACAAATAGAAACCGTACCATGGAATGAAATACGTACATGTTAGTGTTTATAAAGTGAATTTAACAATTAATAACCTAAAAGGAAGCGACCGGTAGGGAGCGACCTTGGGTTCTTATGTATGTTTTTGTTCAACGTTAATGAAAACCAAGTATAACAAAACAATATTGAAAACAAACTTATACACTATTTATATTTCAAATTACCTAAAAGGAGACTCATTTTCGTCGTAGTTCATGTTTTTATCTGCCAGGAAACGTTTTTGAGACGCTGTGACACGTGTTTTGCTACCACTATTTACATAGGTCACGTTTATATAAGGTAAACCCATCTGTAAGGTCCATGTGTCCATGACCTCCTTCACACTGTATCCAGCCACGGGCACCTAATAATTTAGAGATAATGTTCTTTTCTTAACAAAAACTTATCTAGTAGCGAAGTCTGCACGTGGCGGGTTGAAAAACGGTTGAACATCTTATAACGTGGCATTTACACCACCAACCTACTTACAGCTCTTACCAGGTCAAACAGGCGTATAAAGCTTATAAAGGTACATGAATCGCGTAATTTCTTCCATACTTTTATTCCGCATGTAACATTCATGTCCAAATTTGAAAATAATATTTTGTTATTGCTCTGATCATTTTGTTGTTCTATCTTTAACGATTCATATAGTTTCTATTACTTTCTGTAGTTAAACATATGATAAAAATAAAGTTTACACGCATAAAAACTATACAACATTATGTAAACCTATCAAAAAGGGTTACATAAATATGTTATGGAACGGGAAACCCTAAACATTGTCTAATGACTTTACAGATAGTTACAGATAAGCATTTGCTAACCTGTCCGAGGTCGTCCCAGAGGTCATTAGTAGTGGCTGTTGACCATTCGTACTTCTTCAAATATGTTGATATACCATCAAAAAACACCCCGCTCCCCATCATCTCTTGTAACATTCGGAGAATCGATGCCCCCTGAAAAGTTAAGAAGAGATTAAAATATACAGAGATACAACGCTTAATGAAAAACATAAATCTGTGACGTCTTGGGCACACATGAACTCTGAGGAATGAAATAAATGTTGTCTGTAAAACATATCCATTATTTGTCAATAAATACATGAAGAAACGAACTAAACCTAAACACCAAAACTAATCCTTGTAAATGATGTGTTGCAATTCTATTAACAAACATCAGTAATTCAGTTATATAAAAAACTAAATATGCATATGAAATCCAAGTAAAAAAAACACTGAACAGTGCCGAACTTAATGCACAAGAATCTGAAAACATTGGATGTATGTTCGATCACAGAATCTGGAAGTCTTCACTGATATGAAGGAAAGAGAAGTCGAGTATAGATTAGATAAACAAGTAAATGGTTGAACGTTTCACGCGGTAAGTTTATACACATGTATTTGACCTTGCTGTAAGAAATGGCATCGAAAACTTCAGTGATCTGGTTAGGATGGCTGACTGGTACTACAATAGGATGTGAGTTGACTCCAGCGTCTGTAACCATGACAGGCTTGACATCATCAACTACCATCTGATCCATCTGTTAACGATATGATTTCGTAATTAACAAAGCATTACATCAACTACCATCTGATCTGTTAACAATATGATTTCGTAATTAACAAAGCATTTCATCAACTACCATCTAATCGATCTGTTACCGATATGATTTCGTAATTAACAAAACATTACATCAACTACCATCTGATCTACCTGTTACCGATATGATTTCGTAATTAACAAAACATTACATCAACTACCATCTGATCTACCTGTTACCGATATGATTTCGTGATTAACATAGCATTACATCAACTACCATCTGATCTATCTGTTACCGATATGATTTCGTAATTAACAAAGCATTACATCAACTACAATCTGATCTATCTGTTAACGATATGACTTCCTGATTAACAAAGCATTACATCAACAACTATCTGATTCATCTGTTAACGATATGATTTCGTGATTAACAAAGCATTACAAGAACTACTATCTGATCTACCTGTTAACGATATGACTTCGTGATTAACAAAGCATTACAACAACTACCATCTGATATATCTGTTAACGATGTGACTTCGTGATTAACAAGGCATTACATCAACTACTATCTGATCTACCTGTTAACGATATGACTTCGTGATTAACAAAGCATTACAACAACTACCATCTGATCCATTTGTTAACGATATGACTTCGTGATTAACAAAGCATTACAACAACTACCATCTGATTCATTGTTAACGATATGCCTTCGTGATTAACAAAGCATTACATCAACTACTATCTGATCCACTTGTTAACGATATGACTTCGTGACTAACAAAGCATTACAATATCTACAATCTGATTTATTTGTAAACGATATGACTTCGTGATTAACAAAGCATTACATCAACTACCATCTGATCCACCTGTTAACGATATGACTTCGTGATTTACAAAGCATTATAACATCTACTATCTGATCCACCTGTTAACGATATGACTTCGTGATTAACAAAGCATTACAATATCTACAATCTGATCTATCTGTTACCGATATGACTTCGTGATTTACAAAGCATTACAACAACTACCATCTGATCTATCTGTTTACGATATGACTTTGTTATTAACAAAGCATTACATCAACTACAAACTGATGCATCTGTTAACGATATGACTTCGTGATTAACAAAGCATTACATCAACTACCATCTGATCCACATGTTACCGATATGACTTTGTGATTAACAAAGCATTACAACAACTACCATCTGATCCATCTGTTAACAATATGACTTCGTGATTAACAAAGCATTACATCAACTACCATCTGATCCACATGTTACCGATATGACTTTGTGATTAACAAAGCACTACATAAACTACCATCTGATCTACCTGTTACCGATATGACTTCGTGACTAACAAAGCATTACATCAGCTACCATCTGATCTATCTGTTCACGATATGCCTTCGTAATTAACAAAGCATTTTAAGAACTACTATCTGATCCACCTGTTAACGATATGACTTTATGATTAACAAGGCATTACATCAACTACCATCTGATCTACCTGTTACCGATATGACTTCGTGATTAACAAAGCATAACAACTACCATCTGATCCATCTGTTAACGATATAACTTGGTGATTAACAAAGCATTACATCAACTACTGTCTGATCCACCTGTTAACGATATGACTTCGTGATTAACAAAGCATTACAACAACTACTGTCTGATCCACCTGTTAACGATATAACTTGGTGATAAACAAAGCATTACATCAACTACCATCTGATCTATCTGTTAACGATATGATTTCGAAATTAACAAAGCATTACATCAACTACAAGCTGATCCATCTGTTAATGATATGACTTCGTAAGTAACAAAACATTACAACATCTACTATGTGATCTATCTGTTAACGAATTGACTTCGTGATTAAGAAAGCATTACATCAACTACCATCTGATCTACCTTTTACCGATTTGACTTCGTAATTAACAAAGCATTACAACAACTACCATCTGATTCATTGTTAACGATATGCCTTCGTGATTAACAAAGCATTACATCGACTACCGTCTTATCCACCTGTTAACGATATGACTTCGTGATTAACAAAGCATTACATCAACAACCATCTGATATATCTGTTAACGATATGACTTCGTGATTAACAAAGCATTACATCAACAACCATCTGATATATCTGTAAACGATGTGACTTCGTGATTAACAAGGCATTACATCAACTTCCATCTAATCCATTTGTTAACGATATGACTTCGTGATTAACAAAGCCTTACAACAACTACCATTTGATCTATCTGTTACCGATATGACTTCGTGATTAACAAAGCATTTCATCAACTACCATCTGATCCACCTGTTAACGATATGACTTCGTTATTAACAAAGCATTACGTCAACTACCATCTGATCCACCTGTTACCGATATGACTTCGTGATTAACAAAGCATTACATCAACTACCATCTGTTAACGATATGACTTCGTGAGTAACAAAACATTACAACATCTACTATGTGATCTATCTGTTACAAAGCATTACGTCAACTTTCATCTGCTATATCTGTTACCGATATGATTTCGTGATTAACATAGCATTACATCAACTACCATCTGATCCACCTGTAAACGATATGACTTCGTGATTAACAAAGCATTACATCAACTACAATCTGATCTATCTGTTAACGATATGACTTCGTGATTAACAAAGCATTACATCAACTACCATCTGATCTATCTGTTAATGATATGACTTCGTGATTAACAAAGCATTACATCAACTACTATCTGATCCACCTGTTAACGATATGACTTCGTGATTAACAAGGCATTACATCAACTACTATATGATCCACCTGTTAACGATATGACTTCGTGATTAACAAAGCATTACATCAACTACTATCTGATCCACCTGTTAACGATATGACTTTGTGATTAACAAGGCATTACATCAACTACTATATGATCTATCTGTTAACGATATGACTTCGTGATTAACAAAGCATTACATCAACTACCATCTGATCTATATGTTAACGATATGACTGCATGATTGACAAAACATTACAATTACATACATAAAACAGAATTGGGGGTTCACTAAAAAGGGTTCAGAAAGAAATGCTTACATAAGAATCATTTGAAGATTTGAAATAACATGAGTTCAGAAAATATTTCTATAAACTAGTTTGTGGCAAAATAAAACAAACAAAGTTTCATTTAAACAAATATTCATATTTTAAAGTGTAAATAAAAAATATGTTGAACAATTTAAATTTTTTAACCTGCTGGAGCCGAAAGTGAATAGCATGAAATCCGCTGACCAAGCTATTATGTTGGTAGCTCAGAATTTGTGAAATATTTAGATCCCTGATTTTTTAATGTGTTGTTCATTACATAAATGCAGGAGGGTAAGGATTATGAATCAAGCGAATGATTTGAACAATTTATTACCATTTCCCAGTCTGGTTCAGTCTCATCAACACCAATATATTCCACAAAACTTGCAAACCCTTCATTCAGCCATAAATCATCCCACCAATCCATTGTTACTATGTTTCCAAACCACTGATATATAACATATACATTTAAAACTAAGTCTTCTTCTTTATATATAACATATACATTTAAAACAAAATCTACTTCTTTATATATAACATATACATTTAAAACAAAGTCTTCTTCTTTATATATAACATATACATTTAAAACAAAATCTACTTCTTTATATATAACATATACATTTAAAACAAAGTCTTCTTCTTTATATATAACATATACATTTAAAACAAAGCCTACTTCTTTAAAATGTAAACATGACAAGAATTACTTATAAAAGCACAAACCTTCAATTTGTTTAAGAATAATAATAATAAAAAAACAGCAACAGCAAAAAATGTAATTAAATTGTTCTTTATATGCTGGTAGTTTATAAAATAAATGGTATTTTTAGCAAATGTAGTCTTTAATAAAATGTTAAAAGGAAGCTGTAAGCCTTTTAGTTAAGGTGTCTGGCGGTTATGAGTTCGATCTGTACTGCAATCATAAATCATGTTTCCACATAATATTATGAAACTGGTTAATTCAAGAGGCTGGCCACGCGACACAGTGTAAGCATTTATAACAATCCAACTAAAATAAAAATGTTTATAGCTATAAAAATAAATTTAAAGTTTAAGTGTTGCTTAATATACGGACCATGTGAGCAATTTCATGTGCGACTACCACAGCGACACGTTGTTTGTTAGCGGCGGACGCTTGTGTTTCATCATACAGCATGTTTACCTCACGGAACCCAATCAAACCCCAGTGTTCCATAGCACCAGATATAAAGCTTGGTATAGCAATCATGTCTGTAAGAAGTGCAAACCACAAAATCCAATAAACAAAGAAGTTAGATTAAATGTCAAAAACCTAAAACAATTATTTTCCAAATCTTTGAAGCTGGTTCGAAATTTAACGTTTTGTAAGAGTTAAAAAAATAGCTAGTTTTTGTTTGTTTGTTTGTTTCATTTTTACGCCTTTTCCCAACAGTATTTCAGTCATATAGGCGGGTAGTTTCCTAACCATCGTTCCTGGAGAGTTAAACCAGTACTAGACTACCTTCCTCCGCGCTAAACTACCAAAGCATCTCCCGGGGATCGAACCCATGCCAGAGAGGTAACTGGATTAGAAGTCATCGAGCTAGTTGATTGATTTTCGGTTACTTTAGTATGAGACATAATATCATAGATTTCTATTAGAAAATTATTATCAGAAACTTCAATCTAATTAAACATATCACATTTATGATAATTATCATGATATATTTGGTTAACAATAATATTATATTGATTTATTGTAAGTGAACATTGTGTTTCCATAAAAATTATTGAAAATGAACATTGTGATTTTGTGAATGAATATTGTGAATAGATATTGAAAATGAATATTGTAAATGAATATTGTGAGTGAAAGGATATATTGAAAATGAAAAATGTGAATGTATATTGAAAATGAATATTGAAAATAAATTTTGTGAATAAATATTTATTATTTTATATTGTAAATAAAGATTGTCAAAGAAAACTGTGAATAAATAATGTACATGTATAGGGATATTGTGTATGAAATGTGTGTATTAATTTTGTCTATGAATTTTATAGAAGGATATTGTAAACGAATAATTATTACATGCTTTTCGGTGGTTTAAAGAAATATATCAGTAAAATATAAAACTGATATTTCATTGTTTAAAACAGTGAAAATATCAATTTGATTTTTTTTCACTGTTTTAAATTTTAGCCCATTACGTTGTTTCAGTGATATACCAGCGTACCAACTTAAATTAATGAAGTAAATGACGTCACGTTGGCGGCTTTTCGTTTAGTATTGGGTTAAAATGTCTTTTTAAACGTTTCTTTGTATATAAATAAAAGTTGTTTAGTTTAGTGTAAGATCGGAATATATTTCACCGAGTGAGCACCACAAGGTATATTTCACGAGTGGCGCATCTACGAGTAATATATTAACTTTTGGTGTTCACCAGTTCACAAATATGCAAGTGAATAACATATATGAATTTTGTATATAGATATTGAAAATGAATAACCAATATGAATTATTATATATTATTCTAACACTATCGGAGAGTTCTCTTATCACACTGGCGGCTTTCGCAGAAGCGGTGGATCCATCACAGTTGCGGTGGAGTATTCGTCGCAGAAGCGGTGGATAAAATACGGCCGTTTGCTGTTGTCAGTAAGTTATATTTATTCAAGTTTATTTTGTTTTATGTTTTCGTGTTTTACGGGAAACACCTCGTGAGACTGGAGCCCACATATTTACTCTTCCAACTTATTACACGCACACGATGTAATACATTGCCAATTATGCAAACATTTCTGTACAGGTTGACGAGGGGACGCCACTTTTGCCTAATTTTGGTTTAAACACACGCACAAATATGTGCAAAACGACCCTTAAATACACCGCCGTAGCATCGTATGAATAATACTAACACAAAACAAGCATATTTTGGATTTTTTTTGAAATTGTTATTTCTGTTTATAAAATAAATGACAAAAAATGATTTCAACGTCGCTTTTCATTGGATAGTCGTGACGTTTATATTATTAGATATATAGAGGATATTTGTTTGTTTTGCATGTAAGATTGAAATATAATTTCACTGAGTGAACACCAGATGCAATATTTTCACGAGTGGCGTAGCCACGAGTGAAAATATAATAGCTGGTGTTCACGAATGAAATATATTTCAATCTTATATGTAAAACAAATAATTTTTCTTTTTATTCCATGCGTTTTAAGTAATTTAAGTAATTTTTACTGATTTTGCCGCGTAACGTCGCGCATTCTCCTTTGTGACGTCATCACATCATGACGTCACATCAACAAGTTTGAAATATAGTTCTGTTAAATTTCTCTAATTTTGTTACATTTTTTTTACATAATGTCTGGTGACATCGACTTTCTTTTCCGAAAGAAGCAAACTTTACGCATGACGGCATTTATTTTTGCCTGTTATTCCATTCAGTTTTGATTTTCTTTTCATCCGCATTCAGATAAAGTCCGGCTACAGTGAAAATTATATTTTATAAATTTCACTAGTGGTTTATCAGAATATAATCATCTGATATATTACAATAAAACGCTGGAAAGCATGAAATAAAAAGATTTATCACACACCCGTGCCGATTTTGCGACTCCGTAAATATGGTATTGCACGGCCGTGCATATATTTTGACGTGACGTCATTAGCGTTATACAAACATAGTATAAAGACCCGCTAAATGTTAGCGTTATACTACAAGTGCGTCAATGAAAAATGACTCTTATCTCACTTTAAACTGTCTTTATTTTGGGTATGTGATAAATAGAATATTAAATTCGTGTAAGTTCAGTACTGAATTTATTGCACTCGTTGAATAAAATAATATTATGCTCGCCAGAGGCTCGCATAATATAATTTTATTCAACTCGTGCAATAAATTCAGTATGAAACTTACACTCATTCAATATCCTCTATTTATCACACACCCGTGCCGATTTTGCGACTCCGTAAATATGGTATTGCACGGCCGTGCATATATTTTGACGTGACGTCATTAGCGTTATACAAACATAGTGTAAAGACGCATTGCACGGCCGTGCATATATTTTGACGTGACGTCATTAGCGTTATACAAACATAGTGTAAAGACGCGCTAAATGTTAGCGTTATACTATAGACGCGTCAATGAAAAGTGACTCTAATTTCACTTTAAACGGTCTTTATTTTGGGTATGTGATAAATAGAATATTAAATTCGTGTAAGTTCATTACTGAATTTATTGCACTCGTTGAATAAAATAATATTATGCTGCCAGAGGCTCGCATAATATAATTTTATTCAACTCGTGCAATAAATTCAGTATTGAACTTACACTCATTCAATATCCTCTATTTATTTCTTTAATTTGTAACTTTATTTTCTGATTTCAAATACATGTACAAGCATTTTAACAAATTCATATATTTCATTAAAAAGTCTTTTTACAGGTAAATTGACCCTATATAAACGGTTATATTGCAGACAAACGTTAATATACGGCCATATAACCTGCCAGAAATATTCACAACGAATTAATACGTTGTAACACTGTTTACTAAATATATTTATTTTTGTTTTGTTTTGTGATTTACATCCTTATTGATAGGATGGTATCTGCCCTAAGAATATTTGTTTGTTTTATTGGGCTTTACGTTACACCGACACAGTATTATATGGCGACGTTCCAGCTTTACTGGTGGAGGAAGACCTCAGGTGCCATTCCGTGCATTTTTTCAGGCACGAACAGGCACCTGAGTAGAACCACCGCCGTTCCGTAAGCTAGCTCACATGAAAGAATCCAAAGTCGCTGTCGGGATTCGAATCCACAGCGGTTAGGGGCAAGTGGTTTGAAGTCAAGGACCTTAACCACTCGGCCACGGACGCCCCTCTACCCTTGTAATTATTTAGTAAATATAATAGTCATTAGTAATATAATTCGAGACATGTTGATACTTGTGTCACTAAGTGATAGTACATTATATTGTTAGTTATCGTTTACTGATTGCTAAAATTACGGTGTAACGTAATGATATATCTGTTTTATAAAGTATTGGCATTGACCATTTGGTTGTATTATATGCTTATTTGTTTTACGTATACTATGTGTGCATATGCATATTGCCGAATGTATTTTGAAATAAACTCTTGAAACTCTTTATAAAACAGAAATTTATTCGTATATTGACAGCAGTCGTGTATATAAAACGATATTTAAACGTCACGATTATCCAATAAAAAAACGACGTAACAAGCATGCAGTATTATAAACACATAGGTGTTCAATATAAACAAGTTTAACAAGTTTATTTATCTTATCACAGAAGATCATGTGACCCATGTGGTACAATATGCAACATATATAATATGGCAAACGTGCATCAATACTAAGTTGACATGATCTCATACATGCATTACAGTAGCACATTTTACATAGGAAATGAAAACATATATTCACCTATTACATGATGTACATGTTTATAATAATTAACATTTCGTCGTATGTGTCAAAAGTATATATGCAACATAAGATTTAAAAGAATAATTAAGTGTAACAAAAAAAATCCAATTGTACTGACTTTACATATTAGATTAGATCTATTACTAGTGAAGTAGATAATTTGACAGATTAAAATCTTTCTCAATTGAATATTGAATTTAAATCATGTTGATAACGAAAGTGTGAATTTTACATACATTTTTACAGAATGCATACTAGTAATATTTAAAGCATTTATTTAACAAAGATTGTGCACGGGAGATAATTGCTATGGTCTTATCGCTCGACTTGTATATCGAGTTATGTAACATCCGCCGCACTATAGCTTTAACAATATATTGACATGCAATATAATTTCTTAACATAATTAACTGCAGTTATCTAATAAAATGGAACAAATTTGTATATAAATGTGTATTGTCCATAGGAACTCTGGAACAGGACCGCATATTGCGGCGCATAAATCCGAATCCGTAGCGGTTTGTCCGACCTTTGAATATCTTTTCATATTATGTGAGCGGGTGGTCTTTAATTATCTAATCTCAATTTAATATAATCTGCTTATTTAAAAATCAGTCAAATTTACGGTAAATCGAAAAAAGAAAAGGAGTGACATCCGTCATTTACCGCAACGTTCGGCGTAAGTTATCCCCCTTGATATGCTTGATTTTTGTGTACTCTTTATGTCACTCAATACATGGAAAACTTTCACATTTCCTAGTAAAGAATACCAGATGAGTGCCTAACATATTTATCTAAGGATCATGTTTAAATATTCCTTTTTTCAGTTAGGCAAAATCAGTTGGACCATATTACTAAAGTGTCTGTTTTCTCCATGTTAACAAATCAAAACACGAATACGCCCGTTATAATGCCGCCTATACATGTCAACACGTGTAAACAATAAACCTTGAATTGACAAAAAATAACGGGAACAAAATTCTGAAAAAATAGTTATCAATTGTAGCCAAAGGGGGAAAAACTCATGCCGAAAACGTTGCGGCGAATGGCGGATGTCACTACTTGTCTTTTTTAATAATACCGTAAAATTGTATCAGTTTTAAAAGAGACAGATTGGGTTCAATTGATAATATATTTTTGAGGCCATATACTCGGATAATACTTAAAGATATTTAGATGTAGCAGAAACGTTTTTAAAAAACCGTTACACGATCGAAAATATGCGCCGCAATCTGCGGTCCCGTTCTCGAGTTCCTTGATAGCGAACTTTGCATATTGTGCGATTTTTTGGGAGATAATCAATATGGTCATATCGCCTGACCTATATATCGAGTTATGGAACGTATAATGTACAATATAGAAATAGATACCGCTATACCGATATGATGGAATATAATATATTTCTTCACTTGATTAACTGTGATACCCTAATGAAATCGATTAAACTAAGGAAATAGATATCAATTCTGAGTATAATGCACGATTTTAGTTCAAATGCGTAGTAATATAATCACGAAGGCCGATAGTGATTAATTACAAAGCATTTGAACAAAAACGTGCATTATTATACAATAATGCACAAAGAATTAATATCCATTACGAACTATGATACAACATCTAGATATACATATATTTGAACTGTAAAAATTGTATTATATAGGATGTATCACACATTTGTATCATAGTTCGGAGACCTTTCTGTTGAAAATGTGTCAGGGTTAAATCGTATACATATACATGCACAGTGCGTTAACTGGAGTGCGGGTATTAGTTACCCGCACTCCAGAGCATGCCCATTGATTGGCTCATTTTTGCTGGGGTTTACATATTGTGACGGCAGAGAAAGGGAAAGCGACAGAAATGTCATATTTAGATGTTCGTTCATTGGTTCATTTTTGCCGGGGTTTCATTTTGTGACAACAGGGAACGTGCTTATATGTTTGACTATGATACAAAAGAGAAAGAACACCAAAACACTCGGCAATCTGATTTATACTCGGGGGCTACGCCCCTCGTACAAATCAGATAGCCTCGTGTTTCGGTGCTCTTTCTATTACTTACATGACTGACATAGAAGATATATCACATATTCATATGACTAACATATATTGACCAACATGTCAATTGGAACCATGATATAATAAGAGAAAACATCAAAAGTATAGACAGATATAAGCATCAATAACATACTAATCAGCTCCATATAAAATATCTGAGCGCATCACGACTGCTTTTGAAATATATATACTCAGTTTTCTAATTAAGAAATAACATCGGCCTGAGAGGTGTATATCGGCTATTTAACACCGGTTTGGAGTTTTGATGCGCAGGAATTGACTACGAAGGCCGATTGAGCACCAAAAAGTATATTTCACGAGTGGCGCAGCCACGAGTGAAATGTGATCTTTTGGTGTTCACGAGGTGAAATATGTTTCGATCTTACAATAAACTAAACAAATGTTCTTTTTATTATATGCAAACAAATGTTAAAAAGGACATTTTTACCTAATACTAAATGAATAGCGCCCCAAATGATTATACAACGTGACGTCATTTACGACGTCACGTTATTAAGTTGGTTTCCAGTTCTGTGTACGCTGGTATTTCACTGAAACAACGTAAGGGGCTTAAATTCAAAAGTTTTAATTCACTGATATATTTCTATAAACCATCGGAAAGCATGTAATAATAATAATATTATTATTATTATAATTATTATTATAGTGTATCGCTTACATTTAGCGCGACTGTACACTTTGTTTGCATAACGCAAATGACGTCACGTCAAAAGTAATGCACGGGCGTGCAATATCGTTTTTACGGAGTCGCAAAATCGGCACAGGTATGTACGGTGGCACAGAGGTGACATGTGGGTGTCTTTATTTATCTCGTTCCCACGAGATAATAAGTCGTTCCCACGAGATAATATCTCGTTCCCACGAGATAATTATCTCGTTCCCACGAGATAATAAGTCGTTCCCACGACATAATATCTCGTTCCCACGAGATAATTATCTCGTTCCCACGAGATAATAAGTCGTTCCCACGACATAATATCTCGTTCCCACGAGATAATTATCTCGTTCCCACGACATAATATCTCGTTCCCACGAGATAATAAGTCGTTCCCACGACATAATATCTCGTTCCCACGAGATAATATCTCGTTCCCACGAGTTAATTATCTTGTTCCCACGAGATAATATCTCGTTCCCACGAGATAATTTCAGCCAATCAAAACTCAGTATAGTGGAAAAATTAAAAAATGCCTTTTTTTTAACAAATGCTAAAATGGACTTTAACAATCAGGCTAATATTAGAAACCTACGAATGGTAACGAACCATCGTACCATTACGAATCTGATCCACACAGCAAAATGCAATGATTTAAAATTGCCCTAACGGAACTCTGTACTATTCCCACTGAATACCTTATCGCAGACGTCTAATTAACAGTATTTTATTCCTGTATGACTATGTATTCTTAACAATTTCTTCGCAGTTAAAGAATTTCGCTCCTATCTGTATTCTCATGTCTCGTCGCATTTAAAGTTTTTCTCTCCTGTATGTATTCTCCACCTCTAGTCACATTTAAAGTATCTTTCTCCTGTATGTATTCTCATGTCTCGTCTCAGTTAAAGAATTTCTCTTTTGTACGTATTCTCATGTCTCGTCGCAGTTAAAGAATTTCTCTCCTGTATGTATTCTCATGTCTCGTCTCAGTTAAAGAATTTCTCTCCTATATGCATTCTCACGTCTCGCCGCATTTAAAAAAATCACTCCTGTATGTATTCTCATGTCACGTCGCAGTTAAAGAATGTCTGTCCTGTTTATATTCTTATGTTTCGTCGCAGTTAAAGATTTTCTCTCCTGTATGTATTCTCATGTCTCATCGCAGTTAAAGAATTTCTCTCCAGTATGTATTTTTCTCTCCTGTATGTATTCACATGTCTCGTCACAGTTAAAAATTTCTCTCGTGTATGTATTCTCATGTCTCGTCGGAGTTAAATAATTTCTCTCCTGTATGTATTCTCACGTCTCGTCGCATTTAAATTATTTCTCTCCTGTATGTATTCTCATGTCTCTTCGCAGTTATAGTATTTCACTCCTATATGTATTCTCACGTCTCGTCGCAGTTAAAGAATATCTCTCCTGAATGTATTCTCATGTCTCGTCGCAGTTAAAGAAGTTCTCTCCTGTATGTATTCTAATGTCTCGTCGAAGTTAAAGAATTTCTCTCCTGTATGTATTCCCATGTCTCGTTGCAGTTAAAGATTTTCTATCCTGTATGTATTCTCATGTCTTGTCGTATTTCAAGTATTTCTCTCCTGTATGTATTCTCATTTCTCGTCGCAGTTAAAGAATTTCTCTCCTGTATGTAATCTCACGTCTCGTGGCATTTAAAGTATTTCTCTCTTGTTTGTATTCTCACGTCACGTCGCATTTAAAGTATTTCTCTCCTGTATGTATTCTCATGTTTATAGGCCAACATCGTTGCTATTGGGTTTACCCTTTAACAAAGTGAATGTTTGGTCGCATAGGGATCATGTGGCTTTGATACTGCTGGATGCTGTGTGATTTCTCCTTTAATTGGGTAGTGCGTTTATGAAGTTCATACAGAAGAGGCTTTTTGTTCATCAAATAACATAAAGGAATATATGAATAATGGATACAGAAAAGAAAGTCTTATAAATATGACGTTTGTTGTCATGTCTGTGTCTCAAGTTTTTACATGACATTTTGTTATTTGTGGCTATACATTTATAAAGACGGGTGTGCTATTTTCTTACCCTCGGGATCCATTATACGGAGAATGGTTGCTATGTCGCCTGATCGAACATATAAACCATTTGCCAGACATCTTTCACGCATAATCCTGTATCCGTGTTGCTGGCCTGAATGTTGGAGTTCATTCTGGACGAAGTCTATAACTGAAGATGGATCAGAGTACGACCTTCGTTGAAGTCCTTCAGACCTTAAAAGTCTATATAAATGTCTTATTGACAATAATATCCCATGTTGTTCTCGCAACACAGTCACTATTTGCCGGTAATTCAATCTTTCATGAAAGTATCTTGATATAAGGTTTCTAATATTAGCCTGATTGTTAAAGTCCATTTTAGCATTTGTTGAAAAAAGGGAAATAACTTTTAATTTTTTCCACTATACTGAGTTTTGATTGGCTGAAATTATCTCGTGGGAACGAGATATTATCTCGTGGGAACGACTTATTATCTCGTGGGAACGAGATATTATGTCGTGGGAACGAGATAATTATCTCGTGGGAACGAGATATTATGTCGTGGGAACGACTTATTATCTCGTGGGAACGAGATAATTATCTCGTGGGAACGAGATATTATGTCGTGGGAACGACTTATTATCTCGTGGGAACGAGATAATTATCTCGTGGGAACGAGATATTATCTCGTGGGAACGACTTATTATCTCGTGGGAACGAGATAAATAAAGACACCCACATGTCACCTCTGTGCCACCGTAGGTATGTGATAAAAATGAATTTTGTTTTTGCATAACATGTACTTATTTTGTATAGGAATACTTTATATGGACATTTATATCAGAATATTGATATGAGTATACGAATTTTAATTGTGAATAGTGCATGTGGATTTTATTTATGAATATTTAGTATTAAAAATATTTTAAGCATTTCGTAAATGAATAATTAATACAGCGAACAAATGAAAATGAACATTGTACCGTTTTTAGGCAGTGGAAATGGCACCTTGAAAAGATCTTGGAACTTTTCCATGGATACTTTCATTACACGCATGGAGTATCGGGCTTGTTCAATACGGTCTGGTGTTGCAAATACACGAATCTGGTGTGATAAAAATGTTTATATGAAGTTTAACGGAGAAGCAAAATGACATATATTACAGGATAAACATGTTTACATGAAGTTTAACGGAGAAGCAAAATGACATATATTACAGGATAAACATGTTTACATGAAGGTTTCGTAACAAATTATATGAGACAATCGTCATGTTTAAAAGAAGTAGAAAAAAAAGAAGTCGAACATAGTAGATCTAGTTCTACTTTTTCAGTTGATTTACGACCCTTAGACAATAAGTGACAAGATAAGTAGTAAATCATTAACGTAGTTTTTTCCCTACTGAAATGTGTACATGTGTACATGTTATTCACCGAAATCTTTGCATACCTGAGTTCCATGTTTTGTTGTATCTGTGAGATTTTTGAAATCGCAGACGACAAAACACACGAGGTATGTTGACATGGGAACAGAACGCTGAAAATGTGTCGCTTTTAACGTAGGATCGTGTTCCCAGGACTCCGAAATCTGTAAACACAACGTAACGAAAGAATAATGTAAAATGTATAGAAACACTGAAATAACGGAACTTGTCTTAAGCAAAGAAAACAAAAACGAGATAATAGCAGACTCGGTTTGATTGGACAAAAACAGACTCGGTTGACTGACAAATAGAGAATCGGTTTGAATAAAAAGACGAATTCGGTGTGAAAGAAAAAATCCTACTCTATTTGAATGAAAAAGCAAACTTTGTTGACAGACACGGTTTAACTGAAAAATAACAGATCCAAACTTAACTGTACACTTCAGTTTTAGTTTATGCCGACTTGAAATTTATTTGTCCCTAACATCAATAAAGCTCCCACTCCCCCTAAATATATATAGGTAATAAATGACACTTGAATGTTGTATATAGCATTATTTCATATATCATAAATTACTGTTTAAGTAGAGGTTGATTCTTCTACTCAACTATACAGATAATTTACTTGTTTTTTTTCTGAGGATGACTTCGTTTTTGTTGTTTGCGGTTACTTAAAAGTGGTTATCTATACGAGGGTTGTTCGGGAAGTTCTGGGAATTTTGTCATATCTCCTATTTTTTTTTGTTTCTAAGACGTAATATTTTGCACATACTAAGATTAGCATATCACGGAACTATTCCTAAAAATTGAATAGAATCAGACAACAATAGCCGGAAATAGCAGTAACCATAGCAACACTATAACGCCGCACCGTAGCAGTCCGACTCTAAAGAAACACTACACTACACTAATAATATTTCGTAATTTTGATAACGTACAAAATGCGCGAAAACGCTGGTCAGCAGCGGAACGTCAGGACGTCATTTCCTGAAAATATCATAACGTTATTTATCATACACCTGTGCCGATTTTGCGGCCGTGCATATATTTTGACGTGACGTCATTAGCGTTATACAAACATAGTGTAAAGACGCGCTAAATGTTAGCGTTATCTATAGGCGCGTCAATGAAAAATGACTCTTATTTCACTTTAAACGGTCTTTATTTTGGGTATGTGATAAATAGAATATTAAATTCGTGTAAGTTCATTACTGAATTTATTGCACTCGTTGAATAAAATAATATTATGCTCGCCAGAGGCTCGCATAATATAATTTTATTCAACTCGTGCAATAAATTCAGTATTGAACTTACACTCATTCAATATCCTCTATTTAAATTCTCAACGGATCAACATTGTTTTAAAGTTGTTGCCCAGAGCCACTGAGTAAACAAAATGACGTCGATAGGTGACGTTGAGTTGCGAAGCATCGTGAAATTTTGTGTTGCGCTGGAAAAGTCTTCCACGGAAACAATGAAAATGATCAATTCTACAGGAAAATACAAGAAATGCAGTCCGGCTACAGTGTATAGATGGCATGCTCGTTTTAAAGAAGGAAGAAACCCTCTATACAGCCCGGACCTCGCTCCGGTGGACTTCCGTGTGTTTCCGGAGCTCAAATCACAGCTGCGTGGAAAACGCCTTGACTCAGCTGACGATCTTGTTAAGCATACGCAAGCTTTAGTCTCGTCCTTTACCGATAGCTGGTACGTGGATCAGCCGACACAGGAAATGCATCGAAATTGCAGGTGACTACGTTGAAAAGGTGCGACGATCGATGGATTTTAACGTCGCAAAACGTTGCAAATGACGTCGGCGTGCTCCGGGTGTTTGTTATATGGTTATTTACTATTTTTATTATGTTTTAGTTTATGTGTGTATGATGATGATATTTTCAGATACTGTACAGTATATATTGAAATAAATGCGTATATATTTATATTAACACTAACCCGACTACAACGTGTGCTATAAAACAATTCTCAGAACTTCCCGAACAATCCTCGTATATTCGCCTTTAGTTTTAAGATTCAAGACAGTACTAACGATGTTGTATAATATGACTATACATGAGATACATACCGTTTCAGGCATATTTGATAGAGCTATATAACTATCTCTGTGTACAAGGGTTACGGTGTACTCGGCTTTGATGTTAGGCTCGTCAAAACAAGGGAATGCTCGTCGTGCATCTACTGGCTGGAACTTGGATGATGCCAAATGTCTGAATTTTTAATGTAAATATTGTTGAAAACGTGACAAAATCAAAATCAAAAGCCTTTGTACTAATGATAAATAATTAATGTGTATGTAAATTATATATGTAAATGTAAATTATGTCTTTGACTGTAAATAATGCAAATAAAATATATATATAATGTTTATGTAATTTGTGTATGTATAAGTGTAGCACATATGTCTAATTGTGTACATTATTCATGTATTTCTATAAATATGTAAATTAAATAACTTTTGGTAAATAACATATCTATATTTGAATAATATACATGTATGTATTTGTAAATAACATATATATGTGAATTTTATATGTTTTTGTAAATTATATATGTATATGTAAATTACTAAAATTATCTATAGTAGATATGTATATGCAAATTATATATGTATCTTTTAATTATACATGATTGTGTAAATTATACATAATTATATTTATCTCAATAATATTTGTATATGTAATTGATATATCATGATTATTTAAAGTAAATAAGTATATGTAAATTACAGTCAAATGCGCGGCAAGATGATAAACCTTACATTATGATCTATACCACGATTTTTGGACAAATGAAGGTGAATGACATGCCACTTAACTTAAAAATATATTTGCATAGTTTACTTTATATTAAAGTTAAATGAAATCTGAACTTGCGAAGCGTAACATTATCGTTTGTATTCGCATTATGGTAGACGGTACAAAAAACATCATTACATTGTTTGTTTGTTTTTAGTTTCAAAAGATCTCGCAATGAGCGTTTAATTTTTTATCAAAATTGTTAAACCTAGATCGCCAAATTAAAGCTAACATAGCTTTATTCAAATTACCTTTCTTGTTTAGTCTCAGAATTGATATATGTACTTTTATAGAATCCAAATATTTCTCTGGTCAATGATCCGTCAAACTGCAGTTTTAGCAATGCACGGGAAATCTGCACTGATGTCACGGTCTCCACCACCCAGAACTGATTTTCTGCGTACCAGAATGTTTGTTTGATAGGAATACCTTGTCCATTCAAGTAACTAAGCTTTGTTCTTGTTATGTTCAGAAAGTTAGCATGTATAAGAATATGTGTTGTAGACTCCGTGATGTTTAGTTCAACTGTCTCATTACCATAGAACCATCCGTTATCTCCATAGAAATTTGGATACAGGGTAATGTCATAGTGTACTGGAACTACAGTAGCTGGTAGACGAAGATTCTTCCATGGTTCTGACTCACTGATGCTTGTTGGTGATTTTGTTGTTGTTGGAACAGATTCCGTAGATTTTGTACCACTCACAGGTTGATTGTCACCATCCGAAGACGGGTCACACGCCGAGTCAGTTAGGTACCAGACCACGACACCGGTTACAATAGGTAACACAATAACACAAAACACCAGAAAATAGCAGCATCTCTTATTTAACGAAACTTTACTCTTGTCATTATTTCTGCCAAATGGCTCTTCCATATTTATATTTCTCTCTCTTGGCACGGTAAAATAAACCACTTTCACTTGAAGGTTAAATTCAGAATATAATTTTATTTACAAATGTTAACATCGCTTTAACGCAGGTAGTGCAGAACGCTACTGTCTGTTTACAACTACTCTTATATCTACACTGTTGATCAGGCCAAACGTATTATGTTCTTTTTGGAGTACTGACATTATAAATCATTTATCATACTGCTGTTTACAAATAATCCCGGGCATGTTCGCACTCGGTATATCCAAGAGGCATGAAACGAGCTTAACCTATGTATTTACTTAGCTTTCATTTTAGAAAAGTCCATTCAAAGTTTAAGGGATTTCAATCCATCGACCTACTACCTGTAGACAGCCTCGTGCATGAATGTAACAAAGGCTTATCGGTTGAGCAGATTATGAAATAAAAAATGTCCTTTCATCTGCAGTAACTTATTGACAATGTATGACAATTCAAAATTTATTAATTAAATAATTTGTATTGCTTAAGTCATTATAAAATTATGACTATATATTATAAAATTATGACTTTATATCAATCTGTGTAACTTTCAATTGAAAATTAATGCATACGACTGCTCCAGATTTATGGAGGTATATTCATGTATAAGAAAACTATACACATGAGTGTATTTGATAATTGCGAGCTCGTCAGAATGTTACCCATGCAATAGTAAACTCATTCAGTTTTGTTGTTGTTGTTGTTATTGTTGCTGCTGCTGTTGTTGTTGATGTGTTGTCTTCTATACTCTCTATTTGTTTGTTGTTGTGTTGTGTTTTGTTGTAAAACTCTCTATGTGTAGATATTATTGTTGTTGTTGTTGTTGCTGTGTTGATGTTGTTTTTGATGTTGGTGCTGTTATGTTATTGTTCTCGTCATCGTTGTTATTTTACTGTTTTTATAGAGCAGTTCAATATATGAAATAGAGAAAAACAGAATCCCTAAAGAAAGCCCAACACGACAAAATTGTAAAATGTTGCAGGCTCGGTTTGATTGAGCCTGTTCATGGACGGTCCTGGAAAGTGCAAGTTACCGTCCACGCCCCCTAGCACCGGCGAATTCAACATTTAAGCACAAAAATGGTGAATTTTGAATTTAGAAACATCCGCAGGTTTGTTCATACGGCGGTAATCATGGAACCTTCAAGTAGTGTCATTCCATGAAAAGCGGCGTATGGTCCCCAAGTAAAACGAGAAAACAATGGGCGGATCTGAAGTCGAGATCCACCTGGAAGCTAAAATTTCTTTTTTGGCCTGCACAATAATTTTATGTAACTAACCCATTTTACTCAGTACACTTCAATGAGCATTTGAAAACTATTGATAGATAGCACTGCAGTTTTTTCATTGATTCAAATAGCAAAAAACTCAATTGATATATAACAGTTTTTTTGCACCTACTACATGTATATATCGAGTGTGGAGTTTATTTTTTTTTTGCACAGAGGCTCCAATGGGGCATTGGTAACGAACATTCCGAATAATATAAACAAAGATAATTAATGAAATTAAATATATTCTCATACATGTAATTATATAATTATACAACTGCTAACATCAAAAGGTACATCCGCTGAATGATTTATTTCCGCTTGAAAAGTCCTTAAATCTTGAATCCATATTACTTTCTCCAGAAGGTAACAGTTTACAATTCGTCTCTTTAAATTTTCAAGGGTTGTTGATTTATATTCTTTATTTTCTTTTTTTTTTGCGGCTGCGAAAACACGTTCAAACACCTGCCTTATTATAAATAGCTGTAAGTTAGCTTACGACAGCATTAGATAGTATTTGTTAATTTTATCTGGGGTTACTATTTTTTTATTTATTCCTTTTCATTTTTTTATTTTTTATTTTTGGTTAAGTTCTATTACCAAAACAAATTTATGAAATTTGTGTCTCGGGCTGTTTCTGTTTCACGGCCTCGACATTTTTTTAGCTGATACATCCCTTGATGTCGCCCCAGCCAGTGTTATATCCTCGTAACTAACTCGTTTCATATACTATGACTATTACATATTTCACCTGTGGGTTAATTAAATGATGAGAATATTATCGTGACTTCCCATGTAATTCAGCTCTTTACAATTATTTTTTGCTCGTCCATGGTTTCAATTAAAACTTCTTGTCAGCAGATTCACTTTAAATGGGCAAAACTTTCGGAAATTTACATATAATCCCGTTTCTTTCTTTCTTTTTGACTGATCATATGTAAATGATGTATGTTCATTCAGGTCATATATAAAATGATTATGAATAATAGACACTATAAATTTGATACACAAGTTTGCAGGTACAAGCAAGTTTATAATTTAGTACGCTCCTATTGACATCGATCTATACGATAATATAAATTGTGAACATAAATTATGTCATAGATCTATCTCTATATCGATGAAACACACACACACACACACACACGCACGCACACGCACACACGCACGCGCACGCGCGCACACACACACACACACACACACACACACACACATTTATAGTTTTTAATGCATCAGTTTTACAGATAATTTTACTGATTTCGTACCTTAATACTTAATTGTAATAATAAGTAAATATAAATAATTATACTTTTTATGTTGATAACTGCATTAATAAACAAAATTGACTGATGTTTAATTTGATTTTATTGTATAATGAAATATAAAACTGTGAAATGCTAATTGGAAAAATTCAGTCATTTTTTTTTTGGGGGGGGGGGGTATACCAATCAGTTATTTTTGATCTTTACTTATGGTTATTATAGTTGAAGGTAATGATTTAAGTGTAAATAGCCTTTAATATATTAAAGAATTAATATGTTTATAATTGGCCTAAATTTTCTCAATTTCATTCCATTAACATATTAAGACATATACATACATGTAGACAGTTACAATACAATGACATGACATATTTGGCAAAAGGGTTGACCCACAAGTTCTCTCAACATTAGCAACGGGTCTTCCCTGATGCAATAAATTACAATAACATATTTTACAAGAATGACTATCAGTTAGATAGAAGTAACAAAACTCACACATACACAGTACATTTTGTACTTGGCTTTAAAAAAATATTTTAAGTAAGAAAGAACAATAAAAAAAAAATGATTGGGTTTACATGTTCTCTAGCTTGAATAGTATTTAACAATGTTAACTGATTTGTATATAATTTAAGTTACAATGACTTAGAAAACATGTACATTTGCCAAATATAACAAAAACAAACAGAATGCAAATAGACTTTGAGAAAATGAAATAAAGAAGGAAAAAAGAAGACGAAAAAGGAAAGAATCTTGTCTGTTGTTTTGCAACATTTAGTGAGATTGTGCTGGTTTGATTTCAAAATCAAAAGCGTTTGCTTACTTTTATGAAATGCTGAACAGTCAAAAATATTTTATTTTTATTTTCTAAAGACAACCCTTTGTTACCAACTAAAAGTAATTGGACATTTAAAGGGTGAAATTGCCTTAATTCGTTAAAAAGATCAATTCTTTCATTTCGATATTTCTCTTACCTTCTCAAACTAAGATTTACATAAGACCTATATAAATGATATATTTTATTCTGAAAATAAATATCTATATATAATTTATGAAAATATATAATGGTGGTATGTATGAAATGTGGATTAAATATTGATAAGTGTTGATAGATAGCTTAGAATACTTAAATTGACAAGGATATCAATTTAAAAAAAAAAAATAAAAATGCCACAAAACAACAATTTTTCACCAAAATTAGATAAAAGGCAACGTGTCAACATGGAAAGAACTAGATTTTAGGTACTTCCAAGGTTTTTCATCATTTTTTGTTAACCCTTTAATTCATATAGACGTGTTTTGACGGCTATTCGACCCCCACCCTTTTGAGGCCTCAAACAGTGAAAAAATGCACTATTTCGGACCCAAATACTGTTTTTCGTGTGAGAAAATTAATGTTGACAAAAAAGTGTCCAATTTTTCGGCGCCGCCCCCAACTAAAAAGTACATCAAGGGGTTGCCCCTTCTGTTGGGGGGGGGGGTGAAGGGTTAAAAATGGCCTCAGGTCGATCGTAAGAAAACGTGTAACCAACGCTGAAAAGCCTTTTACTTTTTCTGAATGCATTGAGAAATTGCAGCACTTTGAAATCAGTTTTGATGGAAAAAACAATGCAAAATAGTGATTTTTAGCGATTTTGAGACGTCCCCCCGTTGCCAATGTTACAGGAAATTTAAGACTGAGCATGCTGTTACAGAGGCTATGTTCAAGTTAACAGTTGTGCCAAGTTTCATCAGTATTGAAGCATTTTCTATAGTTTCATAGCAGTTTGAACTTGTAACAGGAGGCTTTTCAATGAAAACGGCCATTTTTTCACACATGGAAGAAAGGGTTTACAAAAAGAATACGAAAATCTTTCAATTCCATTTTTTGAGACAACAACAGTTCTTATTCTTTTCTTTCTTTTTTTCATGCATTGTAATATATGCAACATGATTATTTTATGACTATAATAAAATGCAAAAATATTTTAATTTTTTTTTTGTACTACTTGTAATGAAATTTATTGCGGTACGGAATTTACAATACCTACATGTTATTTACTCTTTAATATCTGCATTTTTGTTATTTACCCCCGAGGCCCTCTTATCAGCAGATTAAAACAGTCGCTCTCAGAAAAATATCAATACACAGCATGACTTGAGACTTTCCTCTCCTATAAAAGTATTCTGTTTATACATTATATTTTAACATTGAAATCGTAAATAAAGTTATCAAATTTATTAGTTCATGAAAAAAAAAATTATACTTTTAAAAGTATGCAAGCATTTCACGGTTGAATACTAAATTATCAGTATATGGATTGTTTTAGAATCAATTCAATGTATTAATACAAATTATTTCTCTTTCAATATTGAACAGGAGGAATTGCCTCTATAATGCAGAATGGCATAATTTGTAATTAATCACTCAGGCCTTCGTGATTATAATTATTACTGCACATCTAAACTCCATACCGTACTATATTTTAGCACTGGTTACTCAAAATCAAGATATATTTCCTAAATGTAAACGTCACGATTGACCAATGAAAAGTGACGTTAAAAACGTGCGGTATTTTCAAAGAATTAAAATAATATCTTCAAGTACGAAGCTCGAAACCAGTGTGTAGGCTCCTAAAGGATAAACAATATATGATAAACAATATACGCACTATTTCTCTTAAAAGAAGAAACAATATGTAGGCAGGTACGTATTAAATACGTGCCTGATGTAGGTAACCCGACAAAAACATGACGGAGGGCGTCCCCCCTAGGCGCCCCTTTTAGAGGTCTTTTGTCATCCATTTTATTAAATTCTCCTTTTTTAGCTCCTAAACCTTTCCCCCAGAAGGCTGTGTTCATGTAGAAATGGTAATATCTTGTCAGTTGTATATGTCGCCGTCCAAGAGGCGACAATAATGGGGGTGATAATTTTGTGTATTTGAGTTTATTTATACTCGCCGCCGGTTGCCCTATATGGGCGAGTCCTCCAGAAGAGTATAAGTCATTTTATATTTTGGAGGATCCCAGCAAACATACCTATATCGGACCGATATCGGCTAAATGTCGGAATATCGAAGTCGGCTTTCCGCCATCGGACCGATATATATCCGATATAGACAAACTTGTCATCGACAGGGTGATATCGGTCCGATTTAGGTCCGATAAACATTTATTTCCTGTTATTCAATTAAATGAGTTTTTTAGTATATTCTTCTCAAATTCATTTCAGCAAGAAATCGATGCTTTTGTAAAGAGTTTACGATGAACACAGGTTTTTTTATCAATCTGGTCATATTTTTTCTTCCCAGGTCCGATACTCGTGCCTGTGATTTGGTGTGGAGGTTGGTCATGACTAGTAGATGACCCCTGTTCATTTTGGGGTCAGTAGGTCAAAGGTAAAGGTCACACTGACCTCACCATGAAAAGCTTGTTTTAAGAAGATATTTTGTGTGTAACATTGTCTCATTGACAACTACAGGGTTTACTCAATTCATGGACCCATGGGTCATATTGGTTCTGCCCCATGGCAATGATATACATGTATTCCATAACAAATTTACTATGCATTTTTTATACACATTTAAAATCTAATGTTATAATATTAAATTGGCTGTGTTTAGGGGGGGGGGGCATGCATGTTTAACAAACATATCTTGTAAACATCTGCATTGCGCTACTCTACACTTATATTCAGTGTCACTCGAACTCAACCTCCACTCAAACTCGGGAAAGGCTTCCTTAAGGACGAATTATGGACGCCTTGGTCAAGGTGAACTCAAGTGTAGAATTGGTATTCATATTTGAAAGTCTCCCTCGACTTACCCGAGGAAGGTTTGAGTAGCAAATCACCCGTAAAATCACTGTTATAGGTGATCTGTTCAATAAAATATACAATAATTGCATAATTCATTATGTATATCAATTGGATTTCAAGATAAGTATTGATTTGAAAGTATTATAAATATAAGTTTGGTACAGACATCATTTGTACATATACTTTTGAAAATGATTGCAGAATAAAACGTTGACTAATGAGCAAGTGATCTGTGTACAATAATAATTCATCTATATTAAATTATATTCTTACATTACCGAAGGTGCAACCAAGACATAACCAAGTGTAAACCGTAAAAACAGTTTAAAGATGAAAATATTCATTGAAAAATTGTGATAATTTCAAAATAACGTTTGTCGAATGGAGAAGAAATTAGCACCAGTAGTATTTGAGAAAAAATCCACCTTTTTTTTGTTTTGGCGCAAACTTTTTCAGATGACAGGTGAGCTAGATAAATAACACGTTGTGCAAATCACTTATAATAAAACGGCAACAGACATGGAGCCGATATAGCACCTGTAGCGCCGATATATGTCCAAACGTCGAAAAATGTCCAAACGACGATAAATGTCCAAAAATTGACGATAAATGTCTCAATCGCCGATAAATGTCCAAAACTCCTTTAACGATAAATGTCCAAAAATTAACGAAAAATGTCGCAACAAATGTCCAAATCGGTTAACGATAAATGTCTCAACTCAGAAAAATACTTTATAAGATCTATTCCTTAAGGTGAGCGATATAGGGCCATCATGGCCCTCTTGTTTTAAGACAAAAAATTCAATGATAACGAAAAAAAAATTATTCAGCTTGAGCTTTTAGAGTTATTGTGTTAAGTTTCATTGTTTTTTTTACTGATTTATTAACATAAAATGTTTCAAAAGAAACTGTTTAATTAGTATATATACTTTTTATAAATGTGTTAAATATAGATCAAGACAATATTTGTAGCTTGTAACTTGTATGTTTAGTATACATATATATAATATATGAGTGTGTTCTTTTAAGTTTTCTTTTCAATTTCAGAATGTAGTGATGAAAAAAAAAGAGCAACAGTCACTGAGATGAAAATCAATGGCAGGAAATAGCGTCATCTGGCAAATGATCAAGACATGATGGAAATTAAGAACGTCTAGAAAACTAAACAATTGAAGAAGTTCATATATATCAGGACCCTTGGAGGAACCACAATTGACACTTGACATTATTAACTTATTTACAAATAACAAAATGCTGTTTAACTCTATTCAACATGATAATGTGAAAAAAGTCAGCTATAGTCTTTTAATTTTTTTAACTCAAGTGCAAGATCTAAAATACAGTTACTAAATATATCAAAGATAAAACTTCCTAAAAGCAGAGGAACCAAAATATTTTATTAAACTCTTTTCAAAATGGTTTGAAAAAACGTTTGTATCGAGGATATAGTTGACAAAATCGACCAATAGAAGACAGGTGACCGTCGGAATGGGCCAATTAGTAGGTCAACAAACTATTTATAAACGTTTATGCAAACAGCAGAAAAACATAAAACGCCTTTAAAACTTTGTTAACCGGCCAAACAATTTTGATAACTTGTGATAGACCTAATAGTCATAACCCCACCACATTAATTGTGATCTGAAACCAAATTTAAAGCCCACATACAAATAGAACAATTTATTTTGTCCTTAATAATTTCGGTACAGTTCATTTTTACTCTCAATATAAATTAGTTTTGATTTATATACACATAAGTAAGCCAGGTAGTTAAACATGAAAGAAATATATATTAACACATTTGAAAAAAAAAGTTTACATATTTAATGGATATGCGATTTATTTCCTATGGGCCTTAATCAAACAAATAGTATTGTCAACTTCAATTTATATTTACCTTTTAGCAGGATATATTAAATTTGCCTTTTAATCTGCAGATTAAATCTCAGCTTTAGTTATAATTTGACACTTATGTGTAAAATATGAGACATTAAATATTCATGTACAAATTTAAATGAATAAGAAAGAAAAGAAGTCAATGTTTATAGAATTTTTGGTATGTTTCCCATATTTTCATGTGTATGAGTAAACTTACAGGATTGTTTTTGGTGGTCACGTTATTTTGGACAAAATTGGTAACTCAGACAGTGTTTGTGTAAAATAGACTCCGTAGTTCTTGTGTAAAAAAATGTTCACTAGAAAATGTAATGAGAGCGAGAATTAAACGCAGTGTAAAGTGTTTTGTTGATACATAACTTAAATACAATAAAAAAACTTAAATACAATACAATACTCTTTATTGTAAGTCAGGTTACAAACATGTTAACAACATGACGATTTATCTAAAATATTAACAAATATATATATTTGATATTTAAGTTAATTTAACTAGAAAGTTAAGAACTATCATGTGCATTCTATTTTCAATCCTTTACATTTTGTTTTATAATGGCAAGAACTATCCTTTACATTCAATCTTAGGACTATCCTTAAAATGTTATATTAGAATGGCAAGAACTATCATGAAGATTTTATTTTAGAATGGCCAATGAGACTCCTAAATTTCTGTTTGTAATTTTGAAATGAACAATGAAAATTCTTCTTAAACTCAGTTCTTCTGTAAATTTTACATGATGTCAAATTGATTTTAGATTGCCTTAGGCTGAAAAATATACTAGAAATTTAAATAAGCAATATACATAGTGACATATTTCCAATCTTGTATATTCTTATACATTTTGTTTTAACCATTCAACAACCACACGTTTATTTGTTTTCATCCAGTTTATGTTACGTCTCACACCCTCCAGCGATGTATTCCTTCCCCGAGCTCCTGGATATTTATTATAGAATGTCTCAACCTTAAAAGATAAAAAAAATGTTCGAATCATTTCAAATGTCACATAAATACGCTTCTTTATAAAACATTAGGAAATGTTCATGATAGGATAGTGGCTGATGTGTGCCATTTGTGTTTTCGCCCCGCAAACCGGCCAAGCGAAAAGTCGAGAATAAACAAGTTAAAATGGCGGGGGCGCGGGGCCAAGTTAATGAATGAAACTTTGCCTCGCTTCCGCGCCCCCGCCATTTTCATTTTTCTCGACTTTTCGTTTGACAGGGTAAATATACATACAAGTTTCATAAAAACGTCATTGCTCTCAGAAATAAGATACAATTACAGTAATATTTTGTTTACTATATATACATTTAGTAGACATACTTTGTATAAAATAGTGTACACATGATTTGGCCTATCTCATTTATATAAAGAGTAAGGGGGCAGGGGACCTAAAAATGAAAAATTCTGTATTTCAGTGTGACCAGAAACACAATTCCAAATATTTCATAATCTGTTTCACAGGCAGATAACCAGTTTCACAGCATTATTCAATGATATATGACATACATTGAAGAAAATAATAGTTTGCATGCATTGCTCCTTCAAAAAATGACTGACAGCAATTTATATTTACCCCCACCCAGCCAAAATCACACCTAAAATATACCAATATGGGCAATCTTCATGAAGGTGCAGCATACTCCAGAATCCGCCCGATTCCTTTAAAAATATCAGTAACACGCAGTGCAAGCTATGGCATTTTCAGAAATGACAAATAAAGTGTCTGTCATACGTTTAGATTTTTCACAAAATTTATCTGAAATTTCTTACTTGTTTGGCGCCAAATGTCAAAGCTTGATTTTTAACTTTTTCACCTCCATTCGGAGAGTCAGAAATACATACAAAGCTACCAAAATGCTTAGTTTCGGGTAAAAACCCAAAAATACATCTCATTTACACACAAACAAGAAAGAATTACAATGACAGAGAAATATCAGAAGTTATCAGTACCTTCAAAACACCATGTCTGAGTTATTAAAAAATTTGACCAGGGCCATCATTCGAATATGTCCCCTGCCCCCTAAAGGTATTTATATACATTGCATGCTCGATTATTATGGGGCAAGTTCTTACACCTAAAATCATTCAAATTGCCTAATACATGTACATCCACTTTTAAACGTTTTTATCTCTAGGCCTCCGATCTCTAGATTTTATACCAGACACATCTAAATGTTAGAATAATGCAAGCAACATCGACCTTGTACTCCTTGGATCTATTTTCATTAATTCACCAAAAAGCTGATAAATTTTCCGTTCTTAAAGATCATTTATTAAAGCCCACGTTTTTCTCCAAAGTACTCTCATAGTAAATGACCCTAACAAAATTTAAGTTTTATCAAACTCGTGTCTTCCGTTCAAGTTTTTGCAGTGTTCGGCTAATAGTCTCATCTGATGATGATGATGGTGGTGATGATGATGGTGATTATGATGATGATGATGATGGTGATGATTATGATGGTGATGATGATGATGATAATGATGATGATGATAATGATGATGGTGATGATGGTTTCGGGTTCGAATGCTGTATCAGGGACACTCTAGAGATAATATTCGTTATTATCTTGATTTAACAACATAAAGACAAGAAAGTATACATATCAGTGATGATAATAGAGATGCATAATGATTTTTCTATTACCATAAATGGTTAGAGAGATAACTCCGACAGTACTAGATCGATTCTTCAGCATCTTTTATATCATCTTGTTTTTACTTTTCATCAAAAGGAATTTGTTTATACCTGTTATTCAATGATGTTGAAAATGTATATGTGGATATATAAAATCATATGTATCTCAAGTACTTTTTGAAAAAGTTAGAAAACGCCCCAGATTTCTCACCCATGTAATCTTTCGTTTAAGGTCATTTAAAATCATGTCAATCTTGTCTTCTTTAAGAATGCATTAACTCTTACCTCTTCAAGTTGATATTCAGTGTTGAAATCTGAGACGACGCTTGGAATAATTCTTCCCAAATATCGTGAATACAATGTAAATCTGAAATATACGAAAATATATAAACGTGGTGACTATTGTTTTATAATAATAATAATAATAATAATAATAATAATATTTTAATTTTAAATGTGACTTTGTAAACAATATATAGAAACACAAAACATAATAAAACAATAACAACATTTAACTATTCCAGTAAGATTTTGTCATATGACAAACGCTCCTTTTAGATATTAAAAATTTTCATACAAAATATACATGCATAATTATTATTATAACATAATAACATAATGACAAAGTTATGAAGATATTTATTTGATATGCAAGATATATTTTTTGTAATTATTTTTAAAAGATGTCGGAGAATTAGAGGAACGTATATAAGATGGTATTCTATTCCAAATCTTCGCACCACCGTAACAAATTTACCACAGTTTGTGCGGTGTTTAGGTATAACTATCTCATTATGTGATGCTGATCTTAAATAGTGAATTTCATTGCTGGAAAAAGTCAAAATTTCTGATATATAAGATGGGGCAAGGTTATTACAAGCTTTATAAATATGAATTCTAGTATGAAAATTACATCGTTCATTGAACGACATCCTTACAGTATATCTCCTGTAGTAGCTAAAACAATATAATTAATGTATAGTAAGAATAAGAAGTTACAAGCCTGCTATTGGACATGATACGTCCAACCTTAACAACTTGCGTTCTATTTGACAGATAAAATTTGAAAAGCTGGACACTTTTATCTAAAGTAGATAAAGTTTTAACTTATGCAATACAATTTAATGGTCGACAAGATCAAAAGTTTTTCTTAGCTCTAAATATACAGTGCCAACATATTTATCAGCATCTATATCTGTTCACCATGCTTCAAATAACCGAATTAGTGCCCTGATAGAGTTTTATGAATGATGTTTGGTTTCTTAAAGAAGGATTGTGCTATGTCTATGTGTCTTACAAATATTTTGGAAATTGTAGACAGAATAGTGTGTTCAAAGAAGAAGTTTTAAAGGTGATACATAATTATCTAATTATATCTATAAAACAGTACTTATTTCGTATAATTTGAAATAAAAAATTGTTGCTCTGCCCTTCATTTTCTCAGTTAAAACTACATCATGTCATGTGTCCATAGTACATTAATGGCATTTCTGTGTATTGTTATACAGTTACTGGTGCCGCTACACGTGACAGAAATCCAAATATGACATGTTTTGCTAAATCAGTGGCTTAGTGAATTTGTGAAAAAGGTGCGTAGGTTCATGCTGACAACTATTCGTTGAAATAATTGAAATGTTTGTAGCATTTAAAAGGGTAAATACAGTATAAAACGAATTCATATGTTTCAAATTGAAAAGAAAATTGCTAAAAATAAAATGTTGGAATAATAAAAACAATAAATAACGATAACAAAAGACCTATCAACAAGATATTGCCAGTTATCACGTATCCAATCCCAAACCAACCCACGACCAACTGGGTTTCTGGCTATATAGGTCAGCACTGTGAAATAATCCTGGGATCGAACATTCGACTCGTCCTTTGCAAACTCGATGTACCTGTGCAAAGATATTATTTGTGTAAAACAAGTTTTAGTAAACAATTACAGCAACACAATCACTATATTTATTGGTGAATAGCGCAGACCTTAGTTTAACTGAGGGGTGAATAGCGCAGACCTTAGTTTAACTGAAGGGTAAATAGCGCAGACCTTTTTTTTTACCTTTTTGACCTTAGTTTAACTGAATGTTATTAATCCAAAACAAATAATAGCTCAGGCATTGACTTTTCCTTACTTTTCAAATATTAAGATTGTTGCATGGGGAATTGTTTACCGGTGCCGTCTGCTTATTTTCTTTTATAGTAATCCAATTTTCTCGCAATCGAAAAACACCATTAAACATCCGAAACAAGAAGCTGAAATACTAGGTGTCTGGTCTGGTACAATGGCTAAATGAAATGTGTTAAATCAGCAAATGAAGGTTAATTATATGCTTGAAAACAAATAAGGCAACACATTTTTGCTACTATTTACCTCATTAGTAGAGAAATGGAGGGTGTTTTTGCTAGTGCCGACATTAATTTTGATTTTTCTTGTGGAATTGGCTCATTCATATATCTGTTCCACACAATCATCCACTCTTGTGTATTTACATCCTTCATGCCGTACCTATACGTTACTGATCTCAAGTTAGGCGGGATACTACAACATTGGAGGAATAACAAGTCTTTTACTTAGCAGAACATGGCTAGAATGATGTTGAAATAACTCCTGGTAGCGGAACATGGCTAGAATGATGTTTAAATAACTCCTGCTAGCGGAACATGGCTAGAATGATGTTGAAATAACTCCTGCTAGCGGAACATTTCTTGCATATCAGACTGGCGTTTCCGTGAGTTTTACCCATGCCGGAAATTTCATCTGGCATGGGGGGTGCCAGATGAGTCGCGTGCCAAACAACAACGTCATTTTAGCGCGCTTTATGAATGAACCGCGTTAAAATGACGTCGTTTTAGAAGGGAAATAAGTGCTAAGGATGACGTCATTTCGCCGTTGTTATTTAAGTTGTAAGTTCATACGCTATTGTTAGAAAATAGTTATGGATGAAATGACTTTAATTTCCATGAACATTTATCATATTGAGGTAAACCATTTTAAATATGAAATAATATGGCAGAATATGCAAGAAAAAATATCTAACATATGTTTGCGGTTCGGATCGGAACATCCGTCCCTCGGGAACCCGCCCATGGGCGGTAACTCGGCAAGCCTCGTTACCGCCCAATGGGCGGGTCCCCTCGGGACGGATATTCCGGTCCGAACCGCAACATATGACAGATATTATTAGGCTAGAATGATGTTGAAATAACTCCTGCTAGCGGAACATGGCTAGAATGATGTTGAAATAACTCCTGCTAGCGGAACATGGCTAGAATGATGTTTAAATAACTCCTGCTAGCGGAACATGGCTAGAATGATGTTGAAATAACTCCTGCTATGTTTGTTGAACATGTATCAACATGTATGTTGATTAGAAAGTACAAAATGTATTATGATTATCTGCGAATTTATTCATACTTGTAGATATTTTTGCTACATAAATGACATGTATCACATGTGTAAATGCTACCGAGTAATAAAAAGTACTGAAATACATATCTGAGATATACAATAAATACCAAAGACTTACACTGTGTTATTACAAAGCCATGCCCTGAACCTCTTTCTTGCTTCCAGCAAGCACTCCTGGTGACCATTTCCACACGCTAGAGATATGATAGTAGATCGCAACAACCTAAATAGAAAATAATATCGGTATATAGCAGTAGTCTATCATTCTAAATAACATCGATGTATGTACAAATATTTCGCTTGGAATTAGACACACATACTGCCGTGATATGTAACTTACCGCTCGTTATGGGATCCTGTATCATTCCAACCAAGTGACTTGTAGGTAGTGTCAACCTTCTTAACTATGTAATCCTAAAATTAATTAAAAAAATCGAAAATATTGAATGTTTTATTATTTATTATGCAGATCTGATGATGGTTTATTATTGAGTTCTGATCTACATACAAAACGGTGTTGAATAATGGTATAAAAGATTCGGACCTCCAATAACTTACAAAAAGAAGTCAAGTGTAAGACCAACGCTTCCGAAATTGCTGATAAGCTATGTATGGACCTATGAAGTAGTACGCAAAACCTTTAACATAACGAGGTAAATGTGGTTTGTCTAAGCATCTTGATCTGATGATTTGATTTTCTTTGGACCGGGCGGTCAATGATAACCTACGAAAGTGCAAGCACTTATTTCCAGTAGGGTCCTTACCTAAGCAGACTCTAGAGACAGCTATGAGATACAAGGGAATCCGGGAACTAGTCCCTAGCTCTTATCGAATAGATTCCTTGGTTCTTTTACATGCCCAGTGTATAGCATTGATACATGCGAGGATTACCTGGATTTCTTACCAGTACACCTCTAGTTAGGTGGGTCACACGGAAAGTGTTTCTGAAAAATCCCAAGGGTGTTACCCAGGATCGAACCCGACACCTCAGGAGTGACAGTCAGTGATCTAACCAACTGAGCTATCGCGCCACCTAAGCTGATCACATCCTATCTGTTTATACGGACGAAGTCCGTCTGTTATCAGTTGGACTTCCTATAAAATTAACAGGGAAGGACTGAATACAAAAAGAATTTTCATTGGTGGTTTAAGAATTGCAAACTGAAATCGGTGAAATTGGTCATTAGACAAATCTTACCATCCTAAAATAAAATGTAAAGGATAGTTCATTTAAAATAAAAATTTTAAGGATAGCTCTATTGAAAATAAAATGAAAGGGATATTTTTGCCACTATAAAACAAAAGGGAAGTTCTAAAATAAAATGTACAAGAATTAGCATAGCTCTTTAACTTTTTGGTTAATTTGTAAATGATTACAAAATTGTTAAAGTCAAACGTAAAACAAGTTAAAGAGACACCTAAAATAGAAGTTGTCCTACTTTGAAAAATCATCAATATAAATATGCTATAATTTAATTTCAATGTTTACAAAATGGGAATTTTCATAGCTACAAGAAATAATTATTATGTCATTGTTATGCAAGCAGTGCTAACATTTCCTTTTGTATTGAAAACTTAGAAAAAACATAATTTTGCATGCTAGCCGAGTATGTTTTTGAAAGATACTTCTTGTTTACATTGTATGAGAACATGTGTTACAAATGTTATCCCTGGCCAATAAACCCAAGCAGTGTTTTACTTAAACATGTCACAGATCATATATGATCCCTGACAAATGAACTTCTGCAATAATTAATGCTTTACCATGTTAACATTGAATAAAGTAACACCTGGAAATAACTGAAGTCTCCTGTGAATTCCAACATATCTGAAATATACGATAAATCACTAGCACTACTCTCCCATGGTAAGTATGCTTTCTCCTTCTCCAAGTATAACGTCATATCAAGCGCTATGTCGTAACCAAGATGACCAGCACGTGCAAGATTAAATGCATCATCAAGTAAATTCGACCTGTCCGCTATACTCAGTTTCTGAAAATAAAAAACAATTGATAATCAATTGATAGTGCAATATCAATCTTATTGCTTAACATTTAATATAATGTTTACCCTGTTGTAACTGGAAGTGGTTTGCTTTTTCACGAGAATGGAGTACAGCCTGTATGTCTGTGCAGTCTGACTGTCAGGTCAACTTTAAATGTTAATCTTCATTTCCCAAAACATGATAATGGACTGTTTCAAAAATGAAGCTAGTCGGGCACTAGAATCTTCAACAAGGAAAAACATAAATTGTGAGATATGTAACATACATTTTGCTTTGTACGTTACAAAACAAGTTGTAACATAGTCACATAAGAATGAGACTTATTTTTAGAAATTAAAAGAATAAAAGAGGGAAACTTTTGGGGCTATGTTTAACTGATGATCAAAGTGCTTAATAACGCTTATTTATTTTTGATGTTATTACATATTTTTTCATACATTTGTGTCGGAAGAAAGCTCTTTCGACAGTCGTTTCCACATGAATTCTGGATAATTCACTCGGTAAAATCCGGTTTCATTCATGTTGAATTTTATCCAGATATCACCAGCATCTTTCCGTAAGTCCACACCAGCATCTAATGTTACTGTAGAAAAAGATACACATTATATCATTATTGAGTTCATGGAAATTGTGAAATAATGTCAGCATTGTTTACTACTATAAACTATATATTATCATTTAAACTTTTATGTACACACTTCATATAGCACCAGTTTGTGTTGTTTGTGAACCATATGTGGTATGTGCAGTGTTGTACAACTATATTTTATCGGGTTATTTTCATGTACAAACTGGTTGATGAGAGAACATATGTGAAATACAGTATAAGAAAATGGCAAACACCGTAAATTCTGTGTTCTAGGATACTTACACCGAATTAATTTAATATTTCAAACGTTAGATTGACAAGTCAATACATCATATTTCAGATTTAAATAGGCGGTATTTAATGTTATTTTAGAAAAATGGAAATAACAACCTGACTGCTCTTTCTTCATCCATTTATTTCCTTTTTGTCCATCACTTATCATGTAGTCAAGGTTTATGTACCACAAATACCTACAAGGAAAATGTTTCACAAATATATACAAATTCGCTATGTGAAACCAAAGCAAGCACTGTTACGCCATACAAAGTTTACGTCGCACATGTAGAGCGTATGAATGGCTTATGTCTTGGATTATGACAATGTTGATATAATGTCAGTGCTGATGGTTATATATTGTTGATGAGGTAGTGATTGCCATGGGAATTGTCTTAGTTAAAGAAGAACTCGTCGTAGTCATTGTCGTAGTAATTTTAAATAATGTACAATTCGCACTGAAACAGATTTTATAAATCGACATAGCGACGTCCAGAATCCGTCTTTGACTCCGATCATGTGACGCCCAGTATTATGTCATGTGCATGTTTCCGTGTTGGTGCCGCATCCAATTTTATAAAATAATATGTAATCTATGGAAGATATCTAAAAAGGTTTCTACTTTGCGATTAAATTTTATTACACTTGGACCGTTGAAACGGTATAGATGGATATAATTTGTATACCTCATTCTAAATATTTAAAGGATTCCCTTTTTTTTATTTCAGTATTGATATTTGGAACAAGTTACCTATCACTATCAAACAATGTTCGACTTTACAATCTTTCAAAAACAGCTGTAAATTTTATTTTCTAAGTTTATAGTTAGATACATGATGAAAATTGAACACTTTATATTGTAATTGTTGTAAATGTTGATATCATCATTTTTTAATCATAACGAGTCTATCTATAACTAATATGAATGAATGAAAATAAGTAACTTTTACATTCAAGAATATATATATATATTATATATATATATATATTATATATATATATATATTTATATATATATATATATATATATATATATTATTATTTTGTTTATACAAAAAGATTTTGTATGTAAAAAATAATATGTGTATCCATTCGCGTTAACTTTGAATGACGCTTGCGCGAAATGAAGTAGTTCGTACCAAAGCAAAGTTGTCGACGCCATTTTTGTATGTGAAAAATGATCTCATCATTTTCTAAAAGTAGGTATAGAAAACTTACCAGTATTATTTAAACTTAATGTTATCGGTTTTGGAATTTTCTTATTTGGATTTCATTATGTGTAACAGGGTCGATAATTCAGGTGTCTTGATATTTTTTTTGGTTGTTTCAGTTGTTTCCCTTGGTTTCCCCTTATGTGCTATGTTGAAGCGTAGAAAAATATTAAATATATTCATTCGTATGTAATATAGGTAAGATATCATACTCACTTCTGTGAAGACTTTTTATGCTTGCTGCATGAAAGGTGTTATGTAAAATGAACAAACATGTCATCAGATAATTTATATTTTTAAACATTTTCATGGAATGTAATAAATGTATCATAATATTAAAGTTGTATGCCCTCAGATGAGAAAAATGATTACAAGAAAAGAACAATGCACACCAATAAAATGCTTTAAAACATAAACACAAAATTACACAGCTTCCACTAAACAGACCATATGAAAATCTTGCAAACCCACAGAAATAGAAATATAAACAATAAAAAACCCTTTTTTCTCGCGTATTTCTTTGTTTTCTGAACTCGTAAATCTGGTCACCAATTTATAAACAAGAACCGGTTGAACCGGGTGATGCTCCCCGAGAAGGTTTTGGACACCGGAAAGTATAAAAAAATGAACAAATGGCAAACACTCCAAAATTAGGCAAGGCAGTTATGGTTTTTTTTGCACTGCAATGAGATGTATCTATCTGATGATATCTCGTATAGTTTCAGAGTTATGTCCCGGGTAAAAGTCAAAAGGTAAAAATTAACAAAGGGCAATAACTTCAAAATAAGGCAAGGCAGAGTTATGGTTCTTTAGCACTGCACTTTCTAATTAGAAAAGAACACTGCTTATGTGTGAAGTAACTGAAATATTGAAGCTTTATATTAGAATGTTTTTCATGCAACAATGAATTCTGTAAGATTCAGATTATTAGATAAGATGATGTTATAATAACATGTATTATTATTGTGAGAAAAAAGGTTCTGGGGATATTTCTATCATGTTTTAACCAGGGACAATATACACTGTTTACTTTTTTATCAATATTGCGAATGGTTTTAAAGCTGTGTTTTCGTAAATATGGATATTATTGAATCATCCTCGACATCAGTACTCCCAATATATTTGGCTCACATTAGCGATAGCTCAGTTAGTACAGAAAGTCAAAGATTCCCTGTCCATCTGTTTCAATATTCCATATTTCAATAATGTCATATTAAACTACTGGTCAAATTTGAAAACATCAGTCAAATTTCTCATTTATTGTGTCTTTGCAAGAACACTTTAAATTAATTTGGGCTATTGCATGATACGGTCACAGTCGCTAAAAAAGATCAAATCTTTCAACTATCTTTTTCTCTAATTGTCCCGTTTTGTTTGTATTGCATTATTTATGCCATTTCCTCATGCTCCGATTCCATTTGTAACGTTTCTTTGCATAAAAGTAAATAACAGAATGTTAAAATTTATTGGCTTTTTAAAAGTATAATAGTGCAAAATATTAAAAGTACTTGTATTTTTATAATTTTTTTTAATCTCAGAAATTGTTATACCCCGCACAAGGAAGTTGTTATACTGGAATCAGCTTGTACGTCCGGACGTCTCCCCGTCCGGCCGTCAGTCGGTTTTTCGTTGTCCGCCCAATAACTTAAGATTCCTTTGACCCACAGTCTTCATATTTGGTATTTAGATTGGTCATAATTAGTAGATGTTCCCTATTGATTTTCGGGTCACCAGGTCACAGGTGAAGGTCACATGGACCTTGACTATAAAAAGATTGTCCGCCAAATAACTTAAGATTCCTTTGACCCACAGTCTTCATATTTGGCATGAACGTTGGACATGACCAAAGGATGATTCCTATTGATTTAAGGTCACCAAGTCAGAGATAAAGGTTACAGGGACCTTGACTAAAAAAAGCTTGTCCGTCCAATAACTTAAAATTCCTTTGACCCACAGTCTTCATATTTGGCATAGAGGTTACTAGTAGTCGTGATTAGTAGATGACCCCTAATGATTTTGAGGTCACTGGGTCAAAGGTCAAGGTCACAGGGCCTTGACTAAAAAAAGCTTGTCCGCCCAATAACTTTAGATATCTTTGACCCACATTCCTCATATGGCATGGAGGTTAGTCATGATTAGTTGATGATCCCTATTGATTTTGAGGTCACTGGGTTTAAGGTCAAGGTCACATGGGCTTTGGTTAAAAAAAGCTTGTCTGCCCTAAACTTAAGATTCCTTTGACCCACAGTCTTCATAATTAGCATGGAGAGGGAGAGGTAATAGTCATGATTAGTAGATGACCACTATTGATTTTGAGGTCACTGTGTCAAAGGTCAAGGTCGTAAAGACCTTGACTTCAAAAAATTTGTCCAACCCAATAACTTAAGAAACCTTTGACCCATAGTCTTCATATTTGGCGTGGAGGTTGATCATGAAAATAAGGTGGCCCCTATTGATTTTGAGGTCACTTGGTCAAAGGTCAAGGTTACAAGGGCTTTGACTGAAATAGCTTGTCCGCTCAATTGCTTAAGAAAGTCTTCATATTTGGTATTGAGGTTGTTTATGACTAGTAGATGACCCCTATTGATTTAAGGTGACTGTGTCAAAGGTCAGGGTTACAGGGATTTTTACTATAAGCTTGTCTGCTCAAATGCTTTGCTTAAGAATGCCTGTTCGCAGTGTAATGATTTTGTCATTTTCACATTTGAAGCATGTAGAATACATAACTTAGCAATGCACTGGCTTAGTAGTCTCAGATTTGGCAGGGAGGTTGTCCTTGAGCTCTAAATGGCCACTGTTGATTCTGGCAGAGTGGTATGCGGGGGTATTCACACCATGAAAGTGGCAGTTCTAGTTAAAATTAAAGTATTTTACAAAAATACCTATATTTTCTTTTCAAATTTCATAAAATTAACATGTTCCAAGTTTCACTTTTTATCATGTGAAAAACTGAAATGCATTAGCTACGTTATCTGTCTTTCATTATATTGAAGGTTATATAGCAATATAGTATTTTATGTATTATTACTGGACATATGTTTATTATAACATAATTCTCTTATGCATCATGTTAAGGATCTAGTCATGAATGTACTGCATACATTCATATTTTGGATTTATATATTATTGTACCACTTGATAATGTAGTGTTTACAGTTAATAAAGTTGTTCTTATTTAGTTTTTTCTTATTTTCTTCCCTCTTTCAATATCATATTCAACAACCAGTGTTAATGTCTCTATCAGATTAATAATCTGTAATTCAGTGGCCCAAATTCCTTTAGGCTTTACAATGTCAACGTTTTTAGTAAAACACATAATTATGCATAAATCAGCAGCGAATACTTCAGTGCTTTCAGCGCTTTGATTTTCTTTGTTATTGTAAAATCAGAAGGCAATACTGAAAATGAATATACATGTACTTTTTACTGTGTAAACTGTGTATGATACGTTCTATAAATAAAGATTTTATTATTATTATTATTATTATTATTATTATTATTAGTCAACGCATAACTCTCAAATATATGCTAATTAAAGCGTAACATTGCACACTTTCATCAGCATATATGTTTACACACACTTTAGCGATAATATACCTTATTTTGATGTTAAGCACACATTCTTTCGTCAAAGGTTGTATAATTACTTACCCATATTCCGATTCAGTAGAATCAAACTTTGTAGAAGAATCAGCAAGGAAACGGTGTTGTGTTGCAGTGACATTATATCCATCAATGGTTATATTAATGTACGGTAGACCCATCTGTTTGGTCCATGTGTCCATCACAGTCTTCACACTCAACTCTGATGTTATCTATACAGAAATACATGCATATTTTTCACATATGTTATTATATAAAAGAACACATGGCTGCCAGGGTGACAGTACATATTCTTAACACGAGATACAACCCCGAGGCGCAACTTGGGATATTAATACCAGTTAAAGGATTGACAATATCCACTTTCACACAAACAGCCATGCGTTTTTATTTGATTATACTTAAAAGATAATAACTCCAATATAAAATACTAACGCAGTCACTAGAAGTACTGGCAAACGACATTTTATGAATAAATGTTAAAAAGTTATCAAAATAGAATAATAAGTCAAGGGAAGTTAACTAGTACAATACTGAAGGAGTCATGTCTCGCCCCGGCAAACTGTCGCTCCACTTCAAATATGTGGTGTACGAGAAAACGAGCTAAAAGCATTTCCGAAATAGAACGGAAGGCCGATATAACTGGCTAATTGTATGTATTGTTTATGTCTTTGTCTTGCAATTCATTTAAGTTGTATTTTTTTCAAAAATCGAATGTCTTTCTGTGTAGGATTGTTTAAGGCTTCCAGTGATCTAAGTAATAGATATACCATTGCTGCGTTGACGATTTCTGGGTTTGCGTAAATTATACCATAATCACGTGACCTTTCTTATGCCTTGACCTCACGAGACGAAGTCGACTGTACATAACAAAAAGAAAATTATATTATACTCGGGAGAACTTTTGCCCCTGACGAATTGAAAGTCGATTTGTTAAATATCGGACTTCCAACCACGGAAACGTTCCTTGAAAAAGTGTTTTAGAAAAATATCAACTTATAACAAGAACTTGTCTTTCGTGCAAAATAAACTTCTCCTGGTAAATTTTTATATCCATTTTTTTTTCGAAAGTAGTGGAGCCAAAGGGCAAAAGATGGGGCGAAAGGTTGGTTTTTGAGCACAAGGCCATATTTAGATGACGTAAAGAGCATCGTCTACGAATTTATATAAAGAAAAGTTTAAATAGACATACTAAAATGTAAAGACAGAGAAATATAATAATACAATAATTTATTTCTGCTTAAACTATGATAATTTTTGTCCGTTCACCGACTGCTGTCTTTTTATTACGTTCGTTTTGTCCATAGATACTCTGTGAAACCAAGATTTGTACTGGCAATATGCAGTGTTTGATGATAAAAGTAAACAGTTGTATTTACACATTGCGAGGACAATAATAAACTAAACAAAAATGCTAAATGAGAGAGAAAGTATCTTGAAACATAACTGAAACAATTATATTCTTGGAACGACTGAAACTTTTTCAACCATTTTCATAGAGATTCCCCACTTTACAAGAGTCTTTCAATTTCATGAAAATGTGACTTATTTGTGTTTAACCTGAATGTGAACATTAGAGCTAGTGATTACAGAAAGTCATAGTAAAATGAACTCTTCGTACTTAAAATGGTAGTAGTGACCCATTTAATGTGTCCCGTGCATTGCATAATTTTGTCTCTGTTCTGCACCTTGAGAATCTAACTTGCAGGAACAATCGCGTTACACGCACCTGCTCAGAAACATTTGTTCGCGGTAGAAAAAATCATGCCTGACTTCGAATACGTAACATCCTGTGTTACGCCATGCATATGATTCAATGTTGGGACCACATCCAAATTTTGAACATAATATGGAATCTACGGCAGCTATAGGTGACACCTTCGCGATAACAGTTATTACGAAAGGATATCACGCTTTATCAAATGTCTTTAAAAGGTCTTTGGGAAGGAGTCCCCTTCCTATTGCACTGTGAAAAAAGGGCTGCTGAATTTGAAAGGGGCATGTAGGACATTGGAGATAAGGAGCGGCCTGGGTGGCCAAAAGAGACCACCAACGATGAAACTGCCGAAGCTGTACACGATCTGGTCATGTGCGACAGAAGGCGAGACCTGCGAAGCATTGCTTGGGAAATGGGTATAAGCTTTGGTTCAGTTCAGGCAATTCTGACTGATGTCCATGGCATGTCAAAGGTTTCTGTTAGATGGGTCCCCAGACAGTTAACTGACGACCAGAAACGGACCAGGCTTGACATTTCATGATATCCTGTGTCTCGCTACGAGGATGAATCTTATTTTATCTACCGGATCGTTACTCAGGATGAAACATGGGTTCATCACTTCGATCTAGAATCCAATAAAACAGAGCATGCAGTGGAAGCACCCTGACTCACCCCCTCCGAAGAAATTCAAGAGAGGGTTCCATCAGCAGGGAAGATGATGGCTTCAATTTTTTTGGATAGTCAGGGGATAATCATGATTGATTATCTTGAGCAAGGTCGTACCATAAACGGCACGTACTATGCAGACGTCTGCTTCAAGAAATCGCGAGTAAAAGGAGGGGCAAACTGACTCATGGCGCTCTGCTCCTGCACGACAATGCGCCAGCTCACACATCCCAAGTTGCGATGACTGCTGCAACTGCCTGCGGCTTTGAAATTCTTCCCCATCCCCCATATTCTCCCGACTTGGCCCCCCTCTGACTTCTACCTGTTTCCGAAACTGAAAACCAAGCTTCGTGGTAGACGTTTTGGAAGCAATGAAGTTGTCATTGAGGCGATCAATGAATTCTTTGAGGACCAAAATAGGGAGTCCTATTTTGATTATATTGAAAAGTAAGACCATTAGTTGGGTTCTCTGACTATCGGAAGTACATCGAGCCAATTTTTTCATCAATCCTCGTATATTTTGATCTCAAACACTCGATATATTTTAACTTCTATAGCTTTATATATGGAATTTCATTGACTACGCTCCTCCTGATACACTAAATTAATATCGCCTTGCGCTCTACATCGAAACTTTAACTCCATCTCTTGTCCTTTGGCTCCACTTCTTTATATACAAATTAAAGAAATCCACCAGGAGTAATTTATGTTGCACGAAGGACAAGTTCTAGTTACAGGTATTTTTCTCATACACTTTTTTTTTTTAAGAAATCCGAAGGGAAGACCATTAACATAATCGTTTGGAAGTTCAATATTCTGCAAATCGTCGTTCACTTTGTCAGGGGAAAAACTTCTCTCGGGTTTAAAATAATTTTCTTTATGTAACAGCTTAGATCATTTGAAACCTTAAACAATTCTACACAGAAACTTCATTGTTTTGTTTTTCGAAAAAAATACAACGTAAATGAATTACAAGATAAAAACATAAACGATACTTACAATTAGCCCTTTAAATCGGCCTTCCGCTCGGAAATGCCGCAATTTTGAAGTGGAGCGACAGTTTGCCAGGCATGTCCCTAAGAGGGTGATATTCGATCAGAAAATATTATAAGTCTAAGAGAGTTTTAAATCAAATGATTTCTTTTTTGAGGTATACATGTTTAAGAAAAATATATCTAATCACGCCTTTCTACATTGAAAAAAAAATATTATCTTAATTTAAATTAATGTGTCTAGAATTAGTATATTGAGCAGTACATTTCCTAGAAACCTCCACAAGTCATCTGTCTGGGCGTTACTGTATTGGAAATGGCGGAGATAGTTTGATATTCCGTGAAAAAATGCGTCACTACCCATCCAATGTTCTAACATCCGTATAATTGAACACCCCTAAAACGAGAATGGAGACAAGATATATAGCACCCCGAATACTTATGATACGGGACATAACTATTCATATTTTTTTTTATAAATTATTTAACGATTACCTCCTTTAACGATAAGCTTTAACGCAAAAACTAATGCAAGTAATTATTATTATTATTATTATTATTATTATCATTTTATCAAAAACAATAGTTTTATTAGTTCATTTAAATTTGTAATATAATAAGTAGGATTATGGCACTGTTTGTAACATTCAAATTGTCAAACCTCGGAACAGAATCACAGCACTCGGCTTTTACCAGGTTATCTGAATTAACGAAAATATACCATTGCAATATGGCACGTACAAAATAATTTGACATACTTTACTGTAAGAGATACTGTCAAACACGGCATTTATATGAGCAGGGTCTTCAACCTGTACTATTATCGGATGAGAGGCAACACCGGCGTCAGTGACCATCACCGGTTGAAGATCTCCAATTAGAAAATAGTCCATCTGAAGAGAATAGAAAAATTTACTGAGCTTTTATATAAATATATAAAGCATTTGCCACTATAAAATTATATTATAAAAGAAATGTAAATGCGTTTTACAAAATAATGTCAAGTGAGTAAATGGCTTCTTTCAAGCATGTATTTCGGCGCCATATAATCTTAATTGTTTTAATGCGCCGTAAAACAAAACAAAACAAATCAAGCATGTACTGAAAAATATACAGCACCAACATAATATACAAATAGAGTACAGCTTACAATTTGCCACGATGATTGATGTTTCGCGGCGCCGATATATTCCATAAATGAAGCAAATCCCTCGTTCAGCCAAAGGTCTTGCCACCAGTCCATAGTGACTAGGTTACCAAACCACTACAACGTAATACATGATATTGAGTGTAACCCTTGGCACCCAGGTGTGACTGATTGCGATCATTTATATGGTGGCACAAAGGTGACATGTGTGTGTGTTTTTATTTATCTCGTGCGCACGAGATACTATGTCGTGGCCACGAGTTACTAAGTCGTGGCCACGAGATAATTAAGTCGTGCGCACGAGATACTATGTCATGGCCACGAATTACTAAGTCGTGGGCACGAGATAAAAAAGTCGGGGAATGAGATACTATGCCGTGGCCATGAGTTACTTAATCTTGGCCACGAGATAATTAGGTCGTGGGAACGAGATATAATGTCGTGGTCACGAGATACTATGTCGTGGCAACGAGCTACTAAGTGACCACGACATAGTATCTCGTTCCCACGACTTAACTATCTCGTGGCCACGACATAGTATGTCGTGCGCACGAGATAAATAAAAACACACACATGTCACCTTTGTGCCACCGTATTTATCGTCTTATCAAGGTGATACATACATTGAGAGAGAAAAAAAGGCGGAACCGATTTGCTTTGTTTATACATGTAACTTGAAGCAAAGTTTAACTGTAGAAAAAGAAAGCGTTTTTAATTATTTTACTTCAATTTTATTTTCTGTTTTAAAATCTCAATATGTCTTAGACAATATCTGACTTAAGAAAATGGAGAAATATTAAATTTGTAAGTTTTAAAATGCTGTAACATTTTATATCGTTTGTTTTAAGAGATAAAGAGAATGTTTTTTGTTTGTTTTTATTTTCTTTCTTTTTTTGACCGACCTGGTGCGATACTTCATGAGCGACTACCGTAGCAACACGTTGTTTATTAGCAGACGACGACTGATCGGGGTCATAAAGTATATTAGTTTCCCGGAACGTAATCAAACCCCAGTTCTCCATTGCTCCGGATACAAAGTCAGGAATAGATATAAGGTCTGCAATTAGAAAAATGTCTTTATCATTTATTTATCGTTCTACACGAATATATAATAATGCCCTAAATATGTAACTGTCACTTTACCAATTAAATATAAATGTTTTTGACTTTTACATTTACATTTATTTCTTATCTATCTATCTGTCTGTCTGTCTGTCTGTCTGTCTGTCTGTCTGTCTGTCTGTCTGTCTGTCTGTCTGTCTGTCTGTCTGTCTGTCTGTCTGTCTGTCTGTCTGTCTGTCTGTCTGTCTGTCTGTCTGTCTGTCTGTCTGTCTGTCTGTCTGTCTGTCTGTCTGTCTGTCTGTCTGTCTGTCTGTCTGTCTGTCTGTCTGTCTGTCTGTCTGTCTGTCTGTCTGTCTGTCTGTCTGTCTGTCTGTCTGTCTGTCTGTCTGTCTGTGTGTCTGTCTGTCTGTCTGTCTGTCTGTCTGTCTGTCTGTCTGTCTGTCTGTCTGTCTGTCTGTCTGTCTGTCTGTCTGTCTGTCTGTCTGTCTGTCTGTCTGTCTGTCTGTCTGTCTGTCTGTCTGTCTGTCTGTCTGTCTGTCTGTCTGTCTGTCTGTCTGTCTGTCTGTCTGTCTGTCTGTCTGTCTGTCTGTCTGTCTGCGTCTGTCTGTCTGGTCTGTCTTGTCTGTCTGTCTGTCTGTCTGTCTGTCTGTCTGTCTGTCTGTCTGTCTGTCTGTCTGTCTGTCTGTCTGTCTGTCTGTCTGTCTGTCTGTCTGTCTGTCTGTCTGTCTGTCTGTCTGTCTGTCTGTCTGTCTGTCTGTCTGTCTGTCTGTCTATCTATCTATCTATCTATCTATCTATCTATCTATCTATCTATCTATCTATCTATCTATCTATCTATCTATCTATCTATCTATCTATCTATCTATCTATCTATCTATCTATCTATCTATCTATCTATCTATCTATCTATCTATCTATCTATCTATCTATCTATCTATCTATCTATTCTATCTATCTATCTATCTATCCTATTCTATCTATCTATCTATCTATCTATCTATCTATCTATCTATCTATCTATCTATCTAATCTATCTATCTATCTATCTATCTATCTATCTATCTATCTATCTTATCTATCTATCTATCTATCTAGTCTATCTATCTATCTATCTATTCTATCTATCTAATCTATCTATCTATCTATCTATCTATCTATCTATCTATCTATACTTCTATCTATCTATCTATCTATTCTATCTATCTATCTATCTATCTATCTATCTATCTATCTATCTATCTATCTATCTATCTATCTATCTATCTATCTATCTATCTATCTATCTATCTATCTATCTATCTATCTATCTATTCTATCTATCTATCTATCTATCTATCTATCTATCTATCTATCTATCTATCTATCTATCTATCTATCTATCTATCTATCTATCTATCTATCTATTCTATCTATTTATTTATCTATTTTGTATTCCAAAAATGTCTTTGAAAAAGTAAAAATACAAACATTTGTTTATAAAAGAGTAAACAAAGGAAGTTGTTTTATTGGTACACCTACAAAGTTTTAAGTGCATGTACTTGACATGTTAAGATTTTTGTATTCCAAAAATGTCTTTGAAAAAGTAAAAATACAAACATTTGTTTATAAAAGAGTAAACAAAGGAAGTTGTTTTATTGGTACACCTAAAAAGTTTTAAGTGCATGTACTTGACATGTTAAGATTTACTTAAGTCTAAGATTTACACGTTCTTGACAAATTTGGGTAAAGGGTAAGATATATAAGATACTTACCGGTGTTGGGTAAGATATACTCACCATGTTTGGGAAAAGGGTAAGATATACTTACCAAGTTTGGGCAAATGGGTAAGATATTCTCACCAAGTTTGGGAAAAGGGTAGGATATTCTCACCAAAGTTTGGGTAAAGGGTAAGATATTCTTACCAAGTTTGGGAAAAGGGTAAGATATTCTTACCAAGTTTGTGAAAAGGGTAAGATATTATTACCAAATTTGGGTAAAGGGTAAGATATTCTCACCAAGTTTGGGGAAAGGGTAAGATATTCTCACCAAGTTTGTGTAAAGGGTAAGTTATTCTTACCAAGTTTGTGAAAAGGGTAAGATATTCTTACCAAGTTTGTGAAAAGGGTAAGATATTCTTACCAAATTTAGGAAAAAGGTAAGATATTCTTACCAGGTTTGTGAAAATGGTAAGATATTCTTACCAAATTTGGGTAAAGGGTAAAATATTCTCACCAAACTTGGGGTTAGGGTAAGATATTCTCACCAAGTTTGTGAAAAGGGTAAGATATTCTTACTAAGTTTAGGAAAGGGTAAGATATTCTCCCCAACTTTGTGAAAAGGGTAAGATATTCTTACCAAGTTTGGGTAAAAGAATAAGATATGCTTACCAAGTTTGGGAAAAGGGTAAGATATTCTCACCAAGTTTGAGAAAAGGGTAAGATATACTTACCAAATTTGTAAAAAGGGTAAGATATTCTTACCAAATTTGGGAAAAGGGTAAGATATACGTACCAAGTTTGGGTAAAAGAATAAGATATGCTTACCAAGTTTGGGAAAAGGGTAAGATATTCTCACCAAGTTTGAGAAAAGGGTAAGATATACTTACCAAATTTGTAAAAAGGGTAAGATATTCTTACCAAATTTGGGAAAAGGGTAAGATATACGTACCAAGTTTGTGAAAAGGGTAAGATATACTTACCAAATTAGTGAAAAGGGTAAGATATTCTCACCACGTTTGGGAAAACGGTAAGATATTGTCACCAAGTTTGGGAAAAGGGTAAGATATTCTTACTAAGTTTAGGAAAGGGTAAGATATTCTTACCAAGTTTGTGAAAAGGGTAAGATATTCTTACCAAGTTTGGGAAAAAGGGTAATATATGCTTACCAAGTTTTGGAAAAGGGTAATATATTCTTATCAAATTTGGGGAAAAGGTAAGATATTCTTAGAAAGTTTGGATAAACATTAAGATTTGGTTATTGAGTTTGGGAAAAGGGTAAGATATACTTACCAAGTTTGGGTAAAGGGTAAGATATACTTACCAAGTTTGGGTAAAGGGTAAGATATTCTTACCAAGTTTGGGTAAAGGGTAAGATATTCTTACCAAGTTTGGGAAAAGGGTAAGATATTCTTACCAAATTTGTGAAAATAGTAAGATATTCTTACAAAGTTTGAATAAACAAGATTGGGTTATTGAGTTTGGGAAATGGGTAAGTTATACTTACCAAGTTTGGGTAAAGGGTAAGATATTCTTACCAAGTTTTGGTAAAGGGTAAGATATTCTTACCAAGTTTGGGTAACGGGTTAGATATACTTACCAAGTTTGGGTAAAGGGTAAGATATTCTTACCAAATATGTGAAAATAGTAAGATATTCTTACAAAGTTTGGATAAACAAGATTGGGTTATTGAGTTTGGGAAAAGGGTAAGTTATACTTACCAAGTTTAGGTAAAGGGTAAGATATACTTACCAAGTTTGGGTAAAGGGTAAGATATTCTTACCAAGTTTGGGTAAGGGGTAAGATATACTTACCAAGTTTGGATAAAGGGTAAGACATTCTTACCAAGTTTGGGTAATGGGTAAGATATTCTTACCAAGTTTGGGTAACGGGTAAGATATACTTACCAAGTTTGGGTAAAGGGTAAGATATTCTTACCAAGTTTGGGAAAAGGGTAAGATATTCTTACCAAGTTTGTGAAAAGGGTAAGATATTCTTACCAAGTTTGGGAAAAGGGTAAGATATTCTTACCAAGTTTGGGTAAAAGGGTAAGATATGCTTACCAAGTTTGGCAAAAGGGTAAGATATTCTTACCAAATTTGGGAAAAAGGTAAGATATTCTTACCAAATTTGTGAAAATAGTAAGATATTCTTACAAAGTTTGAGTAAACAAGATTGGGTTATTGAGTTTGGGAAAAGGGTAAGTTATACTTACCAAGTTTAGGTAAAGGGTAAGATATACTTACCAAGTTTGGGTAAAGGGTAAGATATTCTTACCAAGTTTGGGTAACGGGTTAGATATACTTACCAAGTTTGGGTAAAGGGTAAGATATTCTTACCAAGTTTGGGTACTTTGAAAAAGGTAAGATATTCTTACCAAGTTTGGGTAAAGGGTAAGATATTCTTACCAAGTTTAGGAAAAGGGTAAGATATTCTTACCAAGTTTGTGAAAAGGGTAAGATATTCTTACCAAGTTTAGGAAAAGGTTAAGATATTCTTACCAAGTTTGGGTAAAAGGGTTAGATATGCTTACCAAGTTTGGCAAAAGGGTAAGATATTCTTACCAAATTTGGGAAAAAGGTAAGATATTCTTACCAAATTTGTGAAAATAGTAAGATATTCTTACAAAGTTTGGATAAACAAGATTGGGTTATTGAGTTTGGGAAAAGGGTAAGTTATACTTACCAAGTTTAGGTAAAGGGTAAGATATTCTTACTAAGTTTGGGTAAAGGGTAAGATATTCTTACCAAGTTTGGGTAAAGGATGAGATATACTTACCAAGTTTGGGTAAAGGGTAAGATACGTTAAACTTCTCTGTGTACAATTCTACGACTGTTACAGCGACTTCAAGAGCAAACTGTGTGTGGTTGACACGATCTGAAGGCGCGTATAGACGAATCTGTTGATTTAAAAAATGAAGTAAAAGCATCAATATTTTTTTCTTGCCTATCTCATAAGCCTTAAAACGGTCACACACATATCTTAAGATAATATAGCTGCACTGAATTAACATTTTTTCATGGTTATTCTTTTCTATAATGTTTCAATTACAGCTTCTAAAGCACGCTTATATAATAGATGAAGTGTCTGTGTCAAGTCCTTCACTAATATAACGACCATGTTATTAGTACTTTAGTTCCAGGAAGCGGGATAAATTGTGGTCCATGAATTCTTAAGACTTTCTTCACAATCAAAGTAAAATGGATAAAATCATTCTTCTGTATTCAAAATAATCCGCTTTTAATTGAGGGACATATAAAGGGCATATATATGATTTTTTTGGAGGGCTGGTTACTAACTTTGTTTAAAATGGCCTAAATGATAAATGTGCTGACAAGGTTATATACATGTATCATTATTAGTAAAAAAAAAAACAAATATCGCAGACAAATCACTTGCCTCTCTAGTTTTGTATTGCCAAACTTTTCTCAGCGCCTTCGGAACCATTGATTCAAATACGTTTAGTCTTGAAGATAGCCTGACATTCAAGCGTTCATATTTTTTGGTTATTCATTATATACATTATATACTATTTTATATCGTTCGTGTTTTTGATCCGAACAGAAGCACATAAAAATGGACAGCCTGGAAGCCAGGATATCTTGAAGATTAAATACTAGGTTAGCCGGTGCTACAGAGGTTGAATATTAAATAGTAGGTTAGCCGGTTCTATAGAGATTGAATATTAAATACTAGGTTAGCCGGTGCTATAGAGGTTGAAGATTAAATACTGGGTTAGCCGGTTCTATAGAGGTTGAAAATTAAATACTAGGTTTGTCGGTACTATAGAGGTTGAGGATTAAATACTAGGTTAGCCGGTGCTACAGAGGTTGAATATTAAATAGTAGGTTAGCCGGTTCTATAGAGATTGAATATTAAATACTAGGTTAGCCGGTTCTATAGAGGTTGAAGATTAAATACTAGGTTAGCCGGTTCTATAGAGGTTGAATATTAAATACTAGGTTAGCCGGTTCTATAGAGGTTGAAGATTAAATACTAGGTTAGCCGGTTCTATAGAGGTTGAATATTAAATACTAGGTTAGCCGGTTCTATAGAGGTTGAAGATTAAATACTAGGTTAGCCGGTTCTATAGAGGTTAAAGATTAAATAATAGGTTAGTCGGTGCTATAGAGTTTGAAGATTTAACACTTGGTTAGCCGGTTCTATACAGGTTGAAGATTAAGTAATAGGTTACCTTGTGCTATACAGGTTGACAATTAAATACTAGGTAAGCCGGTTCTATAGAGGTTGAATATTTAATACTAGGATAGCCGGTTCTATAGAAGTTGAAGTTTAAATACTAAGTTAGCCGGTTTTATAGAGATTGAATAGTAAATACTAGGTTAGCCGTTCTATAGAGATTGAATAGTAAATACTAGGTTAGCCGGCTCTATAGAGGTTGAAGAATAAATACTAGGTTAGCCGTTTCTATAGAGGTTAAAGATTAAATACTAGGTTAGTCGGTGCTATAGAGTTTGAATATTTAACACTAGGTTAGCCGGTTCTAAAGAGGTTGTGAGATGATGCACCTTTCATTATCTCTAAAGAATGAACTCATTCAAACCAAGTCTTTAACTTTCAACCTTTTCAGCTCTCGAGGGATGTTCCCAGTTTTTCCAGAGTTTACTATTGTTTACTGTTGATCAGAATACAAAAATATATATAACAAAATAGGAAAATTATAATATTAAGATAATTAATGACTTTTGTATCTGTTACTTATTACAATCTTTGTCACACGAAAAACAATTGTATAAAACTCACTGTTGTTCCGGTCGAAGCATTTTTCTCCAGAAACTCGAAGTCGCAGACGATAAAACAAGCAAGATATGTGCTCATTTTCACAGATCGGTCAAATGTTGTAATAGACATATCCCCATTGAGAGGCCATGTCTGTGTATACTAATAAATAAATAAATAAATAAATAAATAAATGTAACCAAACTACAGTGTTCCGTTTGAACAATCGTGTTTTTTATATCTCGTCCTTACCCGCAATCCACGATGGTACGATGTTGAAAATGCGATGGAACGATGACACGATGATGAAAACACAACAAAATTGTTAGATGGTGAAAACGCCATGTTACGATGGTGAAATCGCGATATCGCGATGGCACGATGGTGAAAACGCAATGATATTTCACCATCTTACTATAGCTTTTTCACCATCGTACCATCGCTAATCGCGCCATCGTGTTTTCAACATCGTACCATCGAGTTTTCACCATCGTGCCATCGCGTTTTCACCATCGTACCATCGTACAATCGCCTTTCGCTTCGCTATATTTCACTATAACCAGTACACATACGGAAAGATGTCAGATTCTGATACGGCAGAAAGTAAAACCAGGTTTAGAATACTTAACATTTATTCTAAGTTATAAATAATAAAAATTATTATCTTTATATTTCCATTTATGTCATTTATGCTGTATATAGACCAAAGACTATTTAATATATGCTATATATGCTTAATACATGTTTGTATTTTTTCTTTTGCTGTATTCAAGATATCAACTTGTAACTTCATATGTAAAGTGCAGAAGGAAGACATGTTTAATCTTTTAAATTTTTGAGCGATTCCCTTTTGTTATCTTTCATTTTAAATATAAGATCTCAAAGATATGTAAATATATGCAGGGTTAATGAGAACGCATACATTGTTGATAAAAATGTACGGTTGCGCATGACCAACGGAAGACGATGGCACGATGGTGAAATGGCGACGGTACGATGTTTAAAATGCAATGGTACGATGGTGAAAACGCGATGGCCTGATGGTGAAAACGCGATGTAACATCGCGTTTTCACCATCGAACTATCGCGCCAACGCGATTTCACAATCGTACCATCGCGTTTTCACCATCGTGCCATCGTGCGTCGCGGGTACAGACTAAATAAAAATCACGATTGTCCAAACGGAACACCGTACTAAACTGTGAAAATGTTTTGGATTTTAAAATATTCATACAAGGGTTATGACCATGAGCATACCTTATTTGAGCGGTTCCTAGCTACGAGGTTTGCCACAAATTAATTTATATGCGCACTTGAAATCACATGATTTGTTAAAGTCAATACAGTACATTGTATATGATTAATAATAATTTTTTGTACAATCTAGAATTAGATTGGCTGCCAGCTAAAGGAAAGGCATCATTCAAATTAAAAAGAGAAGATACTCAAGGCTCCAATTTAGCATCAGTTAAAGCACGGGGGGAGGAACTGTTACACGACGGAAGGAGTTCTTATGATGACTTGTCAGGATTTCTTGTGATAAGTGTCACGGAGTTTGTCGGAAAAAGTTTGTATACACTACAAAAACACTCGTCAAAAATGATAATTTCCATCTTTAGAAGTGAGTGTTAGGTGCTAAATTAAATTTTAATGATTAAGTTTGCCTCACATCTTGTATTATATGTCAAAAATTATATCATATGCCATTTTTCATCGACTCTTGCTTAAAACTGGTAGTTTGAGTAAAATTTCAAAATTCTTTGCTTATTCGCACGTATTGACCTGTTAATTTTTCGTCTCCATCCTTGCCATACATAATTACCTAATCAGAATGCAAAATTGCACACGTAAAGCGGCTAACAAATTTATTCCCGATTTTTCAAATGTCCTATAGTTCTGACTGTCGAGTAGTGGAATATATATATGTCGACTGTTTTGGCGAGAAGATTTTCGCTAAACTATTTACATCTGTGTTAAACAACAGGTTTATCGTGAACAAAATACCTCGAAATTAATTAGGATTACAAACCCGAAATGCAAATTCCAAATTTAGAATTATTTGATTTTATTCAGACTCTCTTGTATAACTTCCCCCTGGTGCAGGCGTAACGCGCTCGTTTAGGTCTGGGGTTCAAATCCCAGTCGACGCAACTTTTTTTAAGTGTCTTTTTTGAGAAAGTAGCCACGATATGCAAGGAAAAGTGTTGATGTCACAAAAAAAATAAACATAAATGATTTTTTGATACAACTCTAGTCATGCAAAATTCCGTATGTATCAAACACAAACTGTAATAGTAAAAAATCTAAACGCAGTCGCTGCATCTCGGTACCCTTTAAGATGAATTATAGTATATAAAAATAAACTTATACAGGAAAATACATACAGATATACAGTACGATTAAGATTGCAAAGATCAGAAAATACCACAGAGCTTGCAGCCCTTTGATTTATTATTAAATAAGGTTGTAAATCATTATGAAACGTAGACGTTCATCCTTTGCACAAAAATATGGATATAATGTTGGTATTGAGTTAGTAGTATTATGTCTACAAAGGATATACAGGTGATAGGCTATCATCTACAGTAAAATCTGAATCAGCGGTCACCTATATTCAGCATCATCATGGCTCAAACCGCCAAACAAAAATGTCTCAAAACTTCTACTTTTTCCTAAGATACATATGTTATAAACAGCAAACAATATATCCGTGTGCTTCCCTTATCTAAGGGCTCAGGAATTTATATCATTTTAAACACTAATAAACAAGTATATAACCAGTATATAACCAGGATAACCTTCATACCTCTGTCTTCAAAAAGTACGATACATGATAAAAATATAATCCGCAGTACCTGTATTTACTTATTTTCGATCAGAAAATACATCAAAACAATATTAGAAATCTTCGACCATTCGGAAATTATTTTGCTTGAAAATTAATGCACCTGTCTTTGACCATCTTTACGCAGTGATCTCCCCTGAATTTTTCGGCGTTAGTGTACATATAAAGGGAAGTAACCGCTTCAAAAAAGTGGACTACTTTCGGCATTTGCAATTAACAGCATTAGACTCTGAAATTTCGCTACCATTATTTGTTTGGTCTGACGACCCAAACAAATAAAAACGCTAAAAAGTGCCGTGATATAGTACAAGAAGCACACTGGCTACAAAAGTCAGACGAACATGATGGGAATAGTTTACTTAATGTTCTCTAAAATGCCAGGAATAATGTATACATTAAGTCACCATGCTTGGGTATTGATTTCAAACCTGTAAGCCAATGCTCTACATCAATCCCTTTTCCAGTCTACGAAATCTGCGTAAGCAAAATACTATAAATGGCACAAGAAGGGGGGGGGGAGGGTAAGAAATGATATTCACTCAAAACCAACATTATATACCGGTATACTCATTTTTGTGCAAAGGATGAACGTACTACGTTTCATAATGATTAACAACCTTAACGCTAAAAATGCCTTGATATAGTAAAAGAAGCACACTGGCAGTAACAAAAGTTATCACATTTGAGAAATCGGACAAAAAGTTGTAAGCCGGGACTTAATGTTTGCAACTTTGCATATTAATTAGGTAATTATTTATGGCAAGGATGAAGATAATAACATTAATATGAATATGTGCGAATTAGCAAATAATTTGGAAATTTTACTCAAAACTACCAGATTTTAAACAAGAGGCGCTGAAAAAATGGACTATAAATTAGTATTTGACACATAAAACAAGATGTAAGGCAATCTTAATCATTAAAGTTTAATTTAGCACCTAAAACTCATTTTATAATGATGAAAATGTCCATTTTTGACGAGTGTTTCTGTAGTATATACTAAAGTTTTCGGACGAATTCCGTGACAGTTACATTGTATCACAAGAACTCCTGATTATCATAAGAACTCCATCCCTCGTGTAAAAGTTCCTCACCCGTCCTTTATATGCATTTCATGTTATTATGTTGCTCGTTTGTAAATATTTTACACTCATGGGTCCAGGACTTTCAATAAAACAAATGCAATATATAATATCATTAAAAGTCGTTTGCGTATTCATGAATAAATAACTCACATTAGCCGGCATATTAGATAGGGCCCTAAAAGATGACTGGTGCACGAGATGAACTGTGTACTCCGCTTTGATGTTAGGTTCGTCGAAACAAGGGAACGCACGGCGTGCAGCCACTGGTTCGAATTTAGTAGTAGCGATTGATCTTGAGAAAATAAAGATAACTCGTTCCTTAAATGGCAATATCATTGTCTGTTGCTTAATACATACATTATAATTATGACACTAAATTGCGTTCGTAGAATTAAACGAAATGTTAATTTATGGAAACAGTTGTACATCACAATAATGTAAGAATTAACTTAAAAAATCGATGCTTTAATTAAATAGGTTCGTGCATATTCAGCTTTTCGCTATTTTTATCATTTGACATAATTTGTGAAGCATAATTTATTAAGAACACATGGATGTTTCACAATTCAGTATGTTATTGTATCAGTGTACATGAATATAGACTTAACTTACCTAGATTTATTTGTAACTGAGTTGATATAGGAACTTTTATAGAACCCTACAATAGACCTGGATAGTGATCCACTAAACGATAAACACATGTACACAGTCCTGTTAGCCTGAAGAGGTTCTGTTGTTTCCACTACCCAGAATTCATGCGGCTCATATTCGAAAGTTCTTTTAATTGAAATTTTGTCTTTACACCCACTGGCATAGGATAACATGGTTTCGGATATATTAAGATATTTAATATGAACCATGATAAAGTTAGTATCTGTTTTGACGAAAAGTTCCATGGTAATATTTCCATGAAATATGTCATTTTCATCGTAAAAATCAGGAAACAATAGAACATCGTAATGTTCTGGTACAACTGATTTTGGCAACCGAAGATTTTTCCAAGGTCCGTCCTCAAATGGTTCCTCTGTGCTAACCTTATACGGAATTCTTGCTGTTGTTTGCTGGGAACCAGTATTTTCATCCCATTTCGCGCCCTTATTATCGTCTGCGTCACATCCTGGAAGAATCTGCCACACTAATATACCAACTATAACTGGTAATACAACTACTAAAAATCCAAGAAAATATATTAGCCGTTTGTTTGCTGCCATCTTATCCAAATAAATTCAGGTTAATGTTAAACTATATCTGCCTGCAAATGAATTGCGTTTGGATTTTGAATACGACACAAAATTAAACTATAAATCTTCATACATTGACATATGAGCGGTAAAAGATAACACTATAGAAACGCTAGTATGCTATCATATCGTCTACCTAGCAAATATCAATTGTAAGGCGTTTGAAACTAACTCATACCTTAGATATATACACTTAAATAATACAAACTTTAATAAAATTCAGTTGTCGGCCGAATTATATACATGTACCATGTTTACAGCACAGCATTTCATTTGTGACAAAAATGTATGAATAAATCACACAAAAAAGGTACAAATCAACTATTATATTTTCGTGTACCCTCTTATCTAACCACCTTGTGATAGTACGACAGAAATATTTTGGCAGTCAGTTTCACTTATATCCATAAAAGCTTTTTAACAGTTGCCGTAAAGTATGAAAGAGCATTTTTACCCTTGCTGGTCCATTATGACATTTAAGTACTAAGTACTCTTTAAAGTATTGCCTGAAGTTTCAAGGTGGGTATTAGTATATCAAAATCGCATCGTCTGTTTTGCTGACCTTGCATGTCCTGGCAGAAACTTTGACATGAACGAAACAAGGTCATATACTATGATTCGCCAAGACGCATAATAGACGCAGGGCTAGCATAACCCCCTTACCCCCCCCCACCCTGGGTATTTTTGAACACCTCTTAGGGTATGTGCTATGGATTGGCACTTGTTGTTTAGTTGAAACGTTTACCATGAATCCAAAAGAACAAGTTAATTATCTCCCCTTGTATCATATTTTTTTCTATATAAGTTTATTAAGATTTCTTCAGATGTCTTCTCTATGACAGAGTAAGTTTGTGATCTAAACATTGTTTTGAGTTGTAAATTTATGTTTTATGATTTACACAAAAAGTTTTAAGTTTTAACATAAAAAATACGGTAATATATTTAATGGTGTCCGCCATTTTAAAATGGCCGCCAATTATTGAACAGATAAACAATTCATAACAATATTTAATGTGTTTATACCCATTTATAAATACATGTAATTTGATGTAATTATTAATTATATATGCTTAGTGAAACTAACTCTATGCTAGGTAGAATTCTAACTTGAATATTATTTCAATTTTATTAAGAAATGAACCATAATTATTTGGGGTCGATTTAAGCTGCCTTTAAGAGTTCGATAAGATACTTTTAATTGAATTTCATGCGAATATTGACTTTTTGTCCTGTCTAGAAACTTAATATATATAGTCTCACTTATATGAGAAACAATTTGAAAAGTTGGTAGTTGACTTCTCCGTTCCGTTCCTGTCTCTGTATATCCATATGACTATAATGAATTACATAGCTTACCCGCACTACAATGACTATTTGACAGAAAGGCTGCTCGTTGAGTTCCACCAAAGGAAACTGTTATTACTCTTATTTTATTTGAAATGACTTAAGCCTTTAAATGGTAGTTTTTCATTATTATTAGATAAATAATTGAGATTAATGTATTACATTTCATTATTATTGTACTTCCCTTTAAAAACATTATAAAGTTACTTCCCCTATTTTCACAGCGCCATTAGAAACAAAGGCAGACAACATAATAGTATGCTTCTCCCTTAAAATCAATTGTTTTTGAGTGATTTTGTTGTTGATTAAATCTTTATTGAAATGCAACACGGCATATGACAGCATAAGACACTGATGAATAATTTCGGACATTGTCAGTCATACTCTCAGATTTTGGATAACAGTACTCTTGATCGGGACATTTTCTCCCTGATTCAATTTCTGCAAAAAGCAGTTTGATAACACATTTGTGCTAGGACCATTTCCATCTAAATAACAACCAATACGGCACATGGAATTGTCATTCAAGAAAGAGAACAACCGTAAGATGATGATCATGACACAAAAAGAGAACAAACATCCACTATTGTCACTAATATATCAAATATACAGGCGACTAGGGCACACACTGTTAAATACAATCCTGAAGAATTGGCTGAATACTTAATTATTGGGAAATAAGAACCGTTTATCAATATATATAAGTTTCGACAAAGGAAATATTTTGTGTTTTGCTGTTTCATCTAACATTCTCTGGTTCATGTGTACATGACAAGCAGATTGTTCCAAGTTGGGCTGGCTGGTTCTCTCTAAACTCTGAGTTGCAAGATCAAACATCATCTACAGAAGAGTATATGCCCAAATGCCCAAAGTACAAAAATGCCACTGTTCAGAAAATTCTAGAAATTTCAAGTGATTCAAGAGCTGTAAACCAGCAGTACACATTTGCGACTTTTGATTTGGCTGCTGCTAAAAGGTATTTTCTATAGTATGGAAAAATCCGACTAATTATAGTGATACTTTCATAAATTTAGGGGCTTTTCATTTGCTAGGTTCATACCTAGGTGCGATTGGCAAACGGCTTCGAGGAAGTGGTTTCTCAGAAATCCTGATCGAGTAGAGTGAATGTTAAAACATTAACATGTGTTAACAGTTGAAACTCTCGAAAGACTGCTTTTTGAAGAGTTTGTGGCAACAGTTATCCAAATCCACATTCGTGGATTGGAAGATATCAACCAAGCGTTAAATGTGCTAGCTGAGAATCAAGGATTTGAGCACTTTAAAGATGTGATAGCTAATGATTCTGTCATTTAACTTTACAAGAGGTATCATGATTCAAGGAAAACGTCAGAAAAGGTCACTTAGAGAAGACGGCAAGTTTTGAATGGTTTTATTGATAAGATTTGCATGGTTCTTCGTTTTATGTGAGCCACGAAGGAAAATGATATTGACCTAAACATATCAACATTATAAAATATGCTACAATTATTCTTTGCATATGATCATCAAAACTATGCAAAATATCTACCTGTATATGTTCTTATGTTGATAAATTGATTCAACACACCCAGGATCAAGAAAGCTTCTTCAAAATAACGAATTCAGTGTAAGCAGATCCAATGTACCTGGCTCCCGTAATGCTGTTAGTATAACTATTGAGTAAATAATAAACAGACATGCAAAGTCTCGTAGAGGCATAATAGGATTCAGCAGAAACTTTGCTGCCTACTACAGATGGAGTCAAACTCTCGAGAGCCAGCTATGTTGAGGCTACATTCCGCATGACCGGCATGTCATCAGCGGATTCTTCTAAACATATGGATATACAACCAGCAAATATAGCTGCATTTGAAAAAATGTCACGAAACTCATAGAATCAATAACTAACTTTATGAATCCATTTGCAACAGATAATAAGGATGTGTTGATCTGTTTAAGTTCAGGGGCTTCTGCACCAGAGGAGATCGAACAGAGCCTGTTTGATGCCTACCGAAATAGACTTGAGGCACACAAAAAGCTCCAAGATCGTCTGGTTGATAAAACCGTTAGTTTTTATGCGCCACTGAAGAAGCAAAACTTAAAAACCTTTGCCGATACAAAGGAAGTTAAGAAAGTGACATAAACTCAAAACAATCTTGTCAAAGTTAAGGCCGCTGGCAATGTCTTCGGTCAGCTTATCATGTTGTCAGAAGAAAATGACATTATCCTTGAAAAGACACTAACGTACCCGCTTGGACCAGTTCCTTGGTCTCTGTCTACAACAAATGGCTTACCAACAAATACTAACAAGGCAAAACTAATGCATGATCTCGAAGGGGATTATACAATGAACAGAGGCCAGGTAACAAAAACATAATATACATATATCTTCAAGCACTTTCTTGTCTCCCTTCAAGCCTTTAAGACGCGCTGAAAAAGATTTTGAGATTTTACCAAAGTGTGAGCGTGCAGACTTTGTGACAGATACGTACAAAGCAGAATTTATTAAATCTGCAGAAAGATCACGAAGAGGAATGAGTGATACATACCTGATAAAAGGCAACAAAAGCAAAGTTTTGCAAGAATGGAAAGGTTTTTTTTAATAATAATAAAAAAAAAAACAATTGATAAGATTGATATTAGAGGAATTGTCCAGAGGAGAATCTTGTGCTTGTGAAGAGACATGTGTATGCCTCCAAAGTAAAGATGGAAAAGTAGAAGTAATACCGATTCCAGATCTACATACGTCTCAGGAAGAAGCCGATACCAGCAGAATCATGCTACATACGCAACATGCGGGTGAAAATGATGACAAAGCAATAATTGTAAATCTCCTGATACTTATGTTATGGTATTACTTCTAACGTAAGCGCAGTCTATCAACAGATTAATACTATTTGACACTGATGTGTCTAATAATAAAAGACTGTTGAAAGTAAATAAAATCATTGATAGACTAGGAGAATATCTTTGCAAAGCATTGATTGGGCTACATAGTTTCACCGGATGTGATACCATTAGCCCTTTTTATGAGGAGAGGGAAAATTAAAGCCATAAACATTTTTTTAAATATCCTGAATATATACCTATAACCAGTTTTTAAGAGAATGGGCGAGAGTGTTTATATTCAAGAAGAGGATTTCAAAATTCTAGAACAGTTTGTTTGCATTTTATACAGGAAGGCAAATACAGTGACATAAATAAGTTGCGCGTTGACATTTTCAGACAAAAGTTTAGACCAAATGCAGACATACTTACAATTAACTATGGTATTGACTTGCGTTTAATACCACCATATCTTTCCACATTAAAGATGCATATTTTTCGATCTAATTACAAAGTATTTGTGTGGTGAAATGCCTTTTGTCAATTCCCAACTTTTCCAAGTCCTGACGGATATGGGTGGACTACTTGTACAACCGGAGGTCTATCATATACATTGTACCTAGACAGAGGGAAATATACTACCACAAGAATTAATTGAAATCATAGCTAATAAAAATGCTAGTGAAGTGTTAGAAGATGATTTAAATGAAGAAAGTGATCTAGAGGAAATTGAGGTGGAAATGATATTGATGTCTTTTTTGAAGAAGATTTCGAGTAATAATTAATATGTGACTGAAAAGCTGTATTGTAAAACATTGGAAAGGGGGGGGGGGGTAATTTATATTCTTTAATAGCATTATAATTTAATCTAATTGAACATCAAAAAGTCTATTTAATTTCTATAATATTTATACAAACAACTTTTTATAATTAAGTGATGTTTTGCTCTTTTTTTAAAAATAAAACCACAAAATTTATATTAAAATGTTAATAAAATAACAGGAAAATGGCGGCTATTTTGAACTTGGCGGCCATTTTGAAAAGTAATAACATCAATTTATTATGAAGTAAATCATTTTAAAGACCTTGTCTATGATCTAAAACAAAAACCGACCACATAACAATTCATTTAGTTAAAAAATAATGGTTATTTCAATTAGGCTGTTTATAAAGAAATTTGACAGGGGCAGATAATTCACATTGGCTTGTGTCTGAATGGTAAACGTTCCAGTCAGACAACAAGTTTGAAATGTCTTCCTATATGTTTATCTTTAAAACTACATGGGTCCCATAAAATACCCAGAGGTGGTAACCTTTTCCATTTCTAGCTCATACTCTATCATGTCTATAACCACGTCCATATTCAAAAAGTTAAGATCGCAGATCACATTTAGGGTTTACAGATGACGAAGTATTGTATTTACAGTGTATACTCATGCCCGGCCTATAATTCTGTTAAACAATGATTTTAGAATAATTTATTACAATTGTTCAGGACAAGAAGACGACATGTATCGTACAAACCCACGTCCGTTTCTCTAATGTCAAGGTCACACTTACAGATGTAATTTCTCCAGAGTTTCATAGTAAAGAAATCCTGTACACACATGTAATTATGAACGACATCTTATCAGGACTTGTATGCGATGAAGGAATATAAGGTATGAACAAGTGTTAAAGTTGATAGGTACATTAATACATGAAAGGTAGTTTTCTTTGTGACAAAAACAACAATAACAACATTTATGATTATAAAACTAAAATAAAAATCGGAGTAAAAGATTTTATTTCAACATATAAATGATATATAGATATTTATCAGTGAACTTTATGTTCACATTGGAAAAGTTTTGGGGAAATCAGCTGCAGTGTGGACATCGCAAATCTTACAAATCATACTTTTATACAAATGTCATGCCGGTCCGATAAGTTTTTGGTGAATTGCTCAGCAGATGTGTTGCGTGGTAAGTGCAACAATGCATAGGTGTCATAAAATTAACGAAACTCATTTCCAGAGACAACAATATACCTGACCAAATGTCTGACATTTTCTCTAAGCAAAGCCTTTTTTTATGCTACATTTAGTAAGACAATTGTCATATTGAGATTATATTTGAGATGTAAGTGTTATATTTAAGAAATAATATATCCCAAACTGTGATTTTATCGCTCAATAAAATCACTGTTTGAATTCCGATGTGAGGAATTATATCACCCGAACGACAAACAGTGATTTTATCAAGCGATAAAATCACAGTTTGGGATATATTATTTCGATTCTAACACAATTAACAAATAAATGATGCCATAACTGATATTAAGCTAAATTGAGCCTGGTTTGTTTCTGTGCTTATTTTTAGCGCGTCGCATTTTTAGTGGTAACGTCACATATAATTAAATTATAATGATTACGTCACATGTCTAAATATAGAACGTCAACAGTGATTTTATTGCTTAATAACACACACTTTCGGTTCTTCTATGTTCAATAGGGAAAAATGTGGGTCGTGTTAGAAGCTAGTTTATAAAACAGCAAGCAAACTAACAAATTGCATATAATATAACCAACTGATAAAGAATTATAGTAATGCAAACATTAGTGAGAATGTTAATGTAACACATTAATGGGCCTCGAAGTAACATCACTTCAGTCGGCGGTAAAGTAACTTTACTTGGCAACATGAGTTATTTACAGACGTATGAAGACGTTATTTTTAAGACAATAAAGATATAATATATCTAGTTCACAAATTTCATTGCTTTACTTGCAATAGTATTGCGTCACTTTCTTCTTACACTTTTTGCAATCCACGGAACAGCACCATTTAAACTCACAGTCACATTTGTATATCTCTTCATAAACGACTCTTCCAACTTTGTGTCCACATCTCGTACACAATCTTCTGCAACTATTCCTCAAAAATTTCTTCATAGAAGTCTTATTAGCACCCTTTTCTTGTTTTAAACATTCTCTCCCAAGTGTCCCTAGGTATCCGATAGAGTTATCGGTTTCACAATAGTTTGGAGAATCCTCAAAGTGCACCAAATCGTGTTTTGAGATACGCGTAACTTTTGGATAGCTAACTTTATTGCTATGCACAAATCCTTCCATATGTCTAATGTCTTTCGATCGCTTGTATTTCTTTTTTAAAAGCTCTCCAATCACACGAAATGTTGAAAGTGTTCTCCAACATGTTCTCATCGTACAACTTCCAGTAGGGCCGTGACATTTGCAAAGTGTTTTCATTGTTCGCATGGTAGCCTGAAAATATCAAAATCGATAACACGTCAAGAATAAGCTAGCTTTTATTATGTATTAAATATCAAAATAAGTAAGCATGAATATTAATCAGGAAAATAAAAACATGATATTTTATACCCGATGTCCGGCTTTTTCATTGTGACTTTTGATGAGTTGCTTAATATTAGTCGTTGCAGTTTCAGTCTGAAGCCAAAGTTTTGCAACTTTTTCGCCAAATTTCACGTTATGACTGCACCCTCCCCACTTCCAATTCAATGTACCTGGAACGAATATAACATTTTTAAGATCACAACACATGAAGTCATGTCATTAAACTAAAAACATCATCTAACAAAAAGTCTCATTGATCTAATAATTGCTGTTCAATCAATCACATTTTGATGAAAACTAAAACGAATTAAACTATACTGAACTTTACTTGAGAAACAAGCTAGCGGTTACCTAAATGATTAAAGTGTTATCCTTAAAATATTCGGGTCGTGTTAGTTTTGTAACACAGTTCTCTCATTCCATTATGATAATTTAATATTGATGTTTCGTGAATAAATAATAATACGTGAATAAATAATAATACATTGAAAATTTAGACGATCTATTACCGGAAGATAGATAATCATTCCCGCCAGATCCGCAACCACACAAATTGTTATCTTTTCGATTGCATGATTTGGTAACGGAGTACATGATTCCTGCTGATGATATTGCCTGAAGAAACGACATTTCCCGAGTCCCTGTTAGCAAATAACACACATTAAAATGTACAACACGTAGTTTTTTATCAAATAATATTTTGCTACCGCTTCACAGAGATTCAACGTATTTCTAATTTCAAATTACCTTTTATTTCAAAGACAAAACTTGTTGATTGTTGAATTACAGGAAACGGTTAATTTTAAATATAATTGTTACAATGACAATTTATAACAATTTTAAACGCTGAAGATAAGAATGTCGTTTCAAATTTTACAATACGTTTCAAATATTTCCGTAAAAAATCATTTTTCTTTTGCGAGAATGTTATAAAAATACATGCACCTAAGTCGATGTAATAATGTGACTATTAATGAGGTCAATAATATCCATTTATCACACACCCGTGTCGATTTTGCGACTCCGTAAAAATGGTATTGCACACTTGATTACACAAGGTGTCAAAAGCTGTTATTTATGGGATATTTTATGAAAAAAAGGTGAGAATGTTAATTTCATAGTGGTTTAATGTTGCTTTATGCACATTTGTTTTGTGAAGAAATAAAGTCTGATATGATATGTGAATTATGTACCTCATACAAAATCAGAACAAAGAAAATTTGATATTAAATTTCTTCAGAAATATATTTTCTTCCCATCAGATGTAACATTATAAAATATATACTTTTATATTGTATTTGCAGGTTAACATACATATTGTTTGTTCATACAAAATGACTAAAATAGGCCCTGGTTATATCGTGTGTAAGCAATGATAAGAATATCCACAATTAAGACCACCCCGCAATTCAGACCACTTTGGTCCAGTCCCGATGGTGGTCTTAATTGAGGGTTTTTACTGTATATGACGAGATATAGCTGAATAAGTAAATGGAGAAAAATAGATAACATTTTTTTTCTTTCATTACCTTTGCTACTTGCAGTCTTTGAGATGATTGTGTTAGGTGTAACTGGACAGTTCCAAAGATCCCAGAAAAACTGGTGCTTGCACTCTTCGACTGCAAGTTCGAGACCTTTTGTTTTACCCTCCTCTATACGGAAATATCCCTGTAAATATATAGTTTGATATAATTATATATTATATTATAATAATTTATAATACTGCACATTTGTAACGTCGTTTTTCATTGGATAATCGTGACGTTATTATTATTAGTTATAAACATGTTGACAGGTAATTTGGCCCTATATAAACGGCTGTTTGAAAATATAACACGAGCCGCTAGGCGATGGTTATATTACAAACAACCGTTTATATACAGCCATATAACCCATCAGGAATATTTATAACGAATTTATAATACAGCAAACTTCCTTTTTTCTTAGAGAATTGACAGCAGCCGTGTATAAAATTTTAGTTATAAAGATCGTTGACAGGTTATATGGCCCTATATAAACGGCTATTTGTAAATATAACCCGAGCCGTTAGGCGAGGGTTATATTGCAAACAGCCGTTTATATACGGCCATATATCCTGTCAACAATCTTTATAACGAATTTATAAAACAGCGCGCATCATTTTTTAGAGAAAAAAGTAAGATTTCTTAATGAATCGACAGAAGCCGTGTATATTATTAGTTATAAAATCGTTGACAGGCTATATGGTCCTATATAAACGGCTTTTTGTAAATATAACCCGAGCCGTTAGGCGAGGTTATATTGAAAACAGCCGTTTATATACGGCCATATAACCTGTCAACAATCTTTATAACGAATTTATAATACAGCAAGCATCATTTTTATAGAAAAAAAGTAAGATTTTTTCATGAATCGACATCAGCCGTGTATATAAAACTATATAGACGTCACGATTATCCAATGAAAAATGACGTTACAAACGTGCAGTATTATAAAAAAACTTTATAATACTGCACGTTTGTAACGTCGCTTTTCATTGGATAATCGTGACGTTTATATAATTAGTTATAAAGATCGTTGACAGGTTTTATGGCCCTTTAATACCTTTGTTACTATATATAGAAACAAAATCTATGGTATTTCAGGGCCATTACGGCAAGATCTAGGTCATTATGCAATTTCGGCCGCCTTGCTACTCGGCATTATTTTTCCATAATGGGCGAGTACAAAATGACGTAATCAACACTCAATGACTTTCAAGATGGCTGCTGACGTTGAATGAACTGTAGTCATTTGAACGCAAAATTTTAAGTTTAAACAATCTCAATCAAGAAAGATTAACATCGAAGATTTATAAACTCAAGAAAAGAATACAATAACTCTACCCAAGACAAGACATGACCCTCAGAACTTCCAAAAATGATTTCAATTTGACGGTAGAAAAAAGATCGGATCGATGGCAAATAGAGCTAGACATCAGTCTCGGAAAACGTTCTTGAAGGCACAAATGTTCATAAAAAACTGGCACTAAATGTTATTCTCACAAAAATATATAGAGTATTTAAAGATATCAACATTGTCTCATATTTATTTTGTTTTGTCATGTTTTCAAAGGTAATCGGAGGGTTAAACTGAATGACATATGTTTGTTTACATTGACAACTGTCTGTTTCTTAGAAAGGGCGAAACCAAGATAAGCGGCGATGTCTAAATGCCGTATTTCGGGCATAGGTATTATGCAGCCAAATGCCAGGCCATTGTGCACATCTTCGGGCCATTATCGCATAATGCCGAGCAGCAAATTAACCAAGTATTAACCTCTAAATAGTATATGTTATTTTGGTTTTGGAGTGATATATGTGGATATATTACCTGTCAAGATTTTATATCACCCGAGCCGTTAGGCGAGGGTGATATTTTATCTTGGCAGGTAATATATCCACATATATCACTCCAAAACCAAAATAATAATGTTATTACCCTTCCCCTGCCGAGTTAAGACGATTTTAATATAAATCATTGCTAATTCAAATGAAACGTCGAAATAAGATCCCCTTTACGGTACCCCTTCACCACAACATGACGTCATATAAATACATGACGTATTTTCTTTCGAACCTAACGAATATAAACAAGAGAAATGGAGTAGTCTGTTGAACGTACTTTTTTGGAAATAATATCAAGCTTTCACAAGGTCATATTTGTTTTCAATACTGATGAGAATATGTATCATTACTCTATTTTGGTAAATTTTTATCATTTGACAGTTAAAAAGTGCTTGTAAATCAGAATTTACGTACGCGCATCGCCACAGCGCATGTTGTTTACAACGTGGGGTACCCAACGGGGAAATTTAGTGTGAATATTACCCAACTGGCTCGGTAATATTAATTTCTTTTGGGTGACCAATATCCAATCAAAAAGGAGGAAAAAATCTGGAAGGGTAATAAAAAAAAATTATAATACTGCATGTTTGTAACGTCGCTTTTCATTGGATAATCTTGACGTTCATATTATTAGTTATAAAGATTGTTGACAGGTTATATGGCCCTATATAAACGGCTATTTGTAAATATAACCCTAGCCGCTAGGCGAGGGTTAGTTTAAACAATATTTTATTTCTATTTTTACAACATATATATGTACAGTAAGCATATATAAACACACTGATATATTTCGTGGATTGGAAAACAAGTCAAATGTGACTTATGTAAATTCCTTTCCACACATAATGTACTTGCAATATAAAATATGCACATATTTGGTTAGAATAATACAGAAAAGAGTAATCATATAAATAATTAAAATGAATAAATTTGTTAGAACAATATTATCTAGAGTAGCGGAATAAGAAAACTTCTGTTTCAAGATTGTTTCATATTGGGAAATTACTCCAAACAATTTCTGTTACAAAGTAAAATATTGTTTTTAACTAGTATTCGATTTAAGTTAGTTTTTTCAAATGATTATATTTAGAATGTTTCGAGAAAAAAGAGAATAAAATATTTAAATAAAGTTTTGAATTTAGGTAAAGAATAGAGAATATATGTCTGCACACAATATAATCGGGAAGTGATGGACAGAAAAAAAAGAGTTGATATTAGTAAGTAAAACGTTTGGAAGCTAGGATAAACTGTTGTACTTTAAGAATGATTTTTTCGTTCGTGTTAAAGCTCACGCGCTCGTCTCCGTACAGGAGATTGTTAAGTGTCAAAGGACATGGTAGGGGGCATAAATACATGCTTCTGATGATATCATAACGAGGACATGAAAAGAAAAAGTGATGCACGGTCTCTATTTCTAGGCGAGGGTTAAATTGCAAACAGCCGTTTATATACGGCCAGATAACCTGTCAACGATCTTTATAACGAAATTTTAATACAGCAAGCATCATTTTTAGAACAAAAGTAAGATTTCTTCATGAATCGACAGCAGCCGTGTATATAAAACTATATAAACGTCACGATTATCCAATGAAAAATGACGTTACAAACGTGCAGTATTATAAAGTTTTTTTTATAAATTTTTCATTGGATAATCGTGACGTTAATATAGTTTTATATACACGGCTGCCTTCAATTTATAAAGAAATCTCACTTTTTCTCTGAAAAAGGCTGTTTGCAGTATTATAAATTCGTTATAAAGATTGTTGACAGGTTATATTGCCGAATATAAACGGTTGTTTGCAATATAACCCTCGCCTTGCGGCTCGGGTTATATATACACACACAACCGTTTATATAGGGTCATATAACATGTCAAGAATCTTTATAACTAATAATATAAACGTCACGATTATCCAATGAAAATCTCACTTTTCACACTAAAAAGATGCTTGCTGTATTATGATTCGTTATAAATATTTTTGACAGGTTATATGGCCTAGCGGCTCGGGTTATATTTCCAAACCACCGTTTATATAGGGCTTTAATAATAGATATAATATATAAATGGTTTTATGTTTATTTGCCCTGATGATTATAGAAACCGGTAGACAATAAATTAAATTGAGAAAATCCAGTTAATGTCAGTTATTTTTTAGTATAATTTTTCATGTTCCGGCACCTTATATGCATATATAATGTAACACCAAGAGCGCGAAGACTTTATGTTATAATCAGTAAATCTTGTATTCGTTATTTTCATAGGCAGGTCCCAGGTGAAGACAAAAAATTAAACCTAAGCGACATTAAGTTGTAAGTTCCCACACAGTTATGAATGGTTATTTTAACAAATATTTAGTGCTATTAAAATGGGTAGGTGTACTTCAAAGGGAATTTCTGTGATTTCGTCAAGAGATAAATGTAATCTTAATTCCGTTTGTCTAAATGACTCGGACTTGTGCAGCGTAAAATTAAATGTGATTATTTACCGTTATATCAATATAGATCACATTCCGGGGCGACACTTTATAATAGGATTACCTATTGATTAAAGTCAATGAAAATACTTGTGTTTCAAATTTGTAAAATAAGCAGTTTTCATTCATTTTTCTCATTCATGTTTTTCATATTGTTTGAAAACTAATAAATTTACCGTTACACCCTGCTTTAGCGACCGCCTATGTTGGTTTACCGAAGTAAATTATCTAGGCACCAACTTTGTGACATACCTTTTTTGTGACAAAAAATTTTGGTAGAAAACCCCTGTTTATACATGTATAAGATTATTTTGTACCATCTTATTTCCTACAAAACTTCTACAAATAACAACTAAAACACTCGAATGCAATATGCGAGGACGCTTGCATTTAGGGACAAGATGACATAATAAATATGCAACTATAGCATAAAGCAATAAATATTGTAATTGGTTAATAAATTTATCTCTGTCACATAAATGCTTGGCAAATCGTGGTCGACTTGTCCAGAAAAAAAAACTTATTGCAGTATTATTTAAGGGAAACTATTTTTGGAAACCTGTGCCCATTTACTTTTTAATAGTATAAAATCTGGTCACGTGGTCTATTTTCTAAATAAAATTAAGTAAAATGACCGCCATTTTTTTCCGATTCATTCTTATTTTCGACGTTCACCACGATAGGACATCACCATCTTCTCTAGAGTAACTATGACACCCATAAAATTTAGTTGTTTGCACCATGGAGTCCTTTTCGCTATAAAATAACTTTTGGTTGAATAGTCAAAAAGTAAACATCCGTTTTCAACGGAAGTAATTGCAATGTAAATAATCATGTGTCAAACTGGAACATGCAGACGATTTAAGCATGCAACAAAGGATTATTTAACAATTTTAATCAGTGACACGTTACAGATGTGGTGGACAGACATAGGATATCATCGTTATTTTGTCAAAAACCATGCGAAGAATATCCTGGAAACAGAAGGATCAGATTTCACAGATCATAACCGTATAAATGGGTTAGTGTTTTGTTTTCTAAATAAAACACAGCTTTTTGTATGTTTATGACTAGTAGATATCATCACTTGCTTATGCTGTGTTCTCACCGCCGATCAGATCAACTCGATCAAGCACGATCAAGCGATCGGGTACCGGTCTAGCTCGGTCTGCATGCGTGATCGGGGGTGGTCGGAGCGGTCTACCTTGGTAGACATGGCTCGGCTTCCTACCCGAAGTTTTTTGACATGTCAAAAACAATCGAGTAGCGATCGAGTAGATAAGCGGTCGAGAAGCGAACGTATAGTGATCGAGAAGAAGATCTAGTTGATCGAGAATAAATCGTGTAACGATCTAGTTTGGTCGGGTATACATCTCTTACCCGATCTGTACACGATCATCTCGACTTCTACTCGAGCATTATCCACGATCATTACGATCTGGTCGGGTGGAAATCAGGCAACGATCGAGCAGAGGTCCAGTTAGTCTAGTTAAGATCGTGTATGACTCGCGTATAGGTCTGGGTGATCGAGAAGAAGTCGGGATGTTGGTCGGGTTGTCGTCGAGAAGAAGTCGTAAAACATCGTGTAGGGTGGACTTGAGGTCGTGTAGGAGTCGATAATGTGCATTTAATCCAGCTTGGTCGGGCTTCATCGGGGAATTAATGATCGGGACGATCGAGTTTATCTGATCGGCGGTGAGAACATAGCATTACAGTAAAGAATAAAAGAAAAAGTAAACTTCTTAAGTAGGCCTAAAGTACACTTAAAACTTAAAAGTTAAGGACAGTTTAGTTATTATTACCCTTGGTTTAATTTTGTTATAGTTAGATTTAGTTGACAATTATAGATCATCACAGTATTTGTTCGGGGTAATAAAATAGATAACAGTAACAGTAAAAATGTCATCCCTCGTCGGCTAACGCCTCGGGTAACAGTATTTTTCGAGGTATGATATTTTTACTGCATGTGTTATTTATATACTGTTGCTGTTTTGTTTTGTTTATTTATTATTACCATTACTATTATTATTAGTATTATTATTTTGTATTAAGCAGACGCGTAGATTATCTAAATCTAAATTCATGTAATCAAATAAGATCTGAATAAAAACCGGCTGTAATAATCTTGTAAATAATTCAGGTATTGACTGTGGAAGAATATTTCTGTAAATTAGAGAAGCTGTATATCTCATAAAGGGGGGAACATTCAACACAGGCTTCACTGTATCAAAACGAGTGAAGTGAATTTCATCTATTTCTTTTATCTTCTAAATTTTTCATTAGTTTTTCGTTGTTGTTGTTTTCTTCTGACATGTTACAAACTGAATAAAACCTGTTAAAACTAACCTTAACATTTTTAATTCAGATTTATAAGGTGAAAATAATGTGTCGACTATTAAAAGGCCTATATTTTAGTTTAATAATTATGATAATGTTGTTTCCATGTGTACACAATTCGTGAAACACTGATCACAGAGTGGTTCTTTTTACCCTAAACCTGCTTCCAGCTCCATCTTACCAGTGCATACCGCACACCAATCAGTCAGTACACTTAACAAAAGTTCTAACCGATCACTTTTTAAATTTTGATTATTTTATTACGAGCCAATAGATCCTTATAAAATTTTGCAGATGTGATTTTTGTGTCATTTTCTACCGATTTGTGAAAAGAAAAATTATTTAATACGGTTCAATGCACTCACGCGGGAGACAGGGCGCGGTTTACACATTTTGGCACGAAATGTTCGTGCAGAGCGTGGTGAGTATTAAATTTTACATTGCATAAATCCTTGTTAACTTTTTAAGTGAAAAACATAAAATATGGCACGAATGTCGATGCAGGATCGTGCCGTAGCAGTTGGAATGTTGAATGCTGGAGCCTCTATCAGACAGGTGAGTGGCTGTTCATAAAAATATTTTTTTTTAAATATCGATAAAGTATTATTTAAATAGAAAATGTTATAATTTTATTATTCTCAATATGTTCATTCTCTTCGAAATAAAATAAATTCTTTTTCATATATAAGCGAAAACTCAGGGTGATCGGTTAGAACTTTTGTTCAGTGTACTTATTTTTAAAAAAAACCTCATAATAATAAATGGTGTAGTGATGAATGGTTTTGGCGTGGACGGTAACTTGCACTTTCCAGTACCGTCAATGAACAGGCTCAATCAAACCGAGCCTGCAACATTTTCAATTTTGCCGTGTTGGGCTTTCTTTAGGGATTCTGTTTTTCTCTATTTTTTTGTCCAGATTAAAATTAGCGTATTAAGGATTATACTAAAGTTTCTGATGCTTCCTGATAAAACAATCCGTACTAATTATTTTATGAAGTTGTCGTGTAAAGGAAACATTTATAAATAAAATAGTGCACAAATTGTTATCATCCTACATAAAAGAATAACATAATAAAAGATTAAAACCTCGTTGAAGTCGTCCGTGTCGGCATCTGTTCTGGATGGGGCGCGGTACGTGTTCCTAGCGTGTGCAGGTTGCAGCATCACGTCAAAAGATGATCTAAAACATAAATTTACATTATCAATTTTTTATCAGTTTGAAGAGAAAAAAGGTGATGTAGATTCAAACTTTCAGGGGGGGGGGGGGGGGAGGATTACCAAAGTAAGTATTGATTCATAATTTTGCTTCAGATGTCGGCGATATTTCATCAAATTTTACTCAAAGTGTAACAAAAATAGTGTTTAACATTTTAGTTCAGAAACTAAATGTTAATAAATAAAGGGCGCCTTCCTATTTATTGAATAATTTCATTTTATGGTCAGATGTTCATACTCGCATTTTGCGTTCAACTTTATACCCCTAGACCAAATACTGAACAATTTCGTAAGTCTTTTGTTTATTCTGGATCTTGTATTTGGAACGGCCTTCCTGATTATATTAAGTCTGCTACATCTGTGGACCATTTTAAAACATTATACTTGAGGTGTTATCACACATTAATGTATACAAATTGATAATCTGCATGTATTTACATTTATGTATTTTAATAGTTTGAATATGTTAAATTTGTATTGTTCCTTGTTGAGGGCCTCATGGAAGATTGATATGTTTGTTCAAATGAGTTCTCTCGTTAAATAAATTCTTTATTATTATGATTATTATTATTATTATTATCATCGTCAGAAATACCATGTACCTTAAAATGGATCTTAAATGTTAGGTCGATTATTATAGTACAAAAATGTTTATTTCAGCTGGCGTAACTTGAAAAAATGTAAAACGTCTATATCTGAAATTGAAACTTGCATATCAATTCCGCTGTATTGTAAATGGTTTGTCGCCATTGTCCAATTATGATTTTACAAAATATTTAAGTGTGTTGGGTGACGTGCGTGTATATCGCCCGATCTGGCTTTGGCATAAAAAATAACATACTATCAGATCTAATGTCTATCACCGGTCGGTATATTCCGTACTGATCGGATCTGCACTAGACCAAAATATCACATACTTTGGTCATCCCATTGTTAAATGCATTTGTTGAAATATTAATTAGCTAATGTCGTTTGTCAAGCGTAATGTTAACCAATTCATTATTTCAGTTGGGAAATTTTTAATAATGGATCTGATCAATATCTTTTTTGTATTTTTTTGAATAAATGAAATGCAAGAGACTATTGTCATAAAAATACAAAACATGAGCAAAGTGTATCAAATTGTTTGTTTATTGAAATGTAAAGACTCGATCCCGTGAACTCTCCTTCCTAAAGACAAGGAATGGTGCTTCAATTAGCCAAAATTCTGTCATCTTAACAATTATGTTGACGTGCATAAAGACCAAAGCATCGGTTATAAACGAGAGGCACGTGAAACACTATGATATTGCGTTAATGCCGTATTACACAACTGATGGTTGATTTCTAGTTTTTCTATTTCTTTATTGTTTCTTTCAGATAGCGTTACAATTAAAGCGGTGACAGTTCTATACATGTATTCATTTTATGAATTGGGTCATTTTTAAAGTGTAGGAGACGTTCATTTAGAAATGTTTTGAAAAAATTATTGAAATGGTTTGTAACGTTTTTAAAGACGTATTTCTCAGTTCATATAATCACAACATGGTTACCAATAATGGTAGTAAATGTTGAAAATATCGAGTGAACAATAAATAATTCAATATAGGCGATAATTTACAACAGCCGGGATAAAAATGAAATACAATGGAAAAATAAATGAACAATTGTGTACTTAGATATGTGTTATTTTAACCATAAAAGTGTTATATTTCTTATATAGACCTTACTAGCTTCTTTTTTGTGATCTGTCATTGAACATTGAAAGTTTTGGGAATATGAAAATAAAGATTTGAAGTTACCAGCCAATAGTAGAGATAATGGTCAGACCTGTCAGGCAGTTGTTGTCATTCTTTCTTTTTAAAAACAAAAACAAAACAAAACTCAAATATTACATATTTCCTGTACATTCCTGTACATTTGAGGAATGACTTGTCAAACTATGGATCCCTTTTTACGAAGTGAATAATAAATTAGTAATGTATGTACGATAAAATCTCAAGCATGCTTACACCATTTTTCCAAAGAAATATTATTGAAATACGATACAGTTTGAAAATGAAAAATTTTGTTCTGAAGTGTTTTTTTCTATTTCACATACAATAAAAATAATTAAAATAACAAATGTTTACCTCCCGTCACACAGTCCAACACAATGAAAGTGAATTATAAACAAAATGATTATGTAAGTCCATAGACTATTATAATACATTTTGTTTTTAAACTAAACGAGTCTTATTTTTAACCGTTACAAGAAGACCTGAGCTAATTAATTCCTTTAAGTCATTTTACGTCGCCGAAGATTTAAACAAATTCGAGCGTAGTATAGAATCACCACTTTGCTAATAAGTCGTATATATAACAGCGCGTGACATCAGGTCTATATTGTAAAGTTTAAACAAAGATATTTTATTTTAATTGGCCAATGATTTCAGTAATTGGCTATTATTGTCCGCGCATTATTTTACTATCGTACTTGTCTATTTTTGTCAAAGTTTCACTCCATGTAGCTAATTGAAATACCTGAGATTTTAAAGCGATAGATTTATTGCGACCGCAAATATATATTTAAAAGAATAGAAATTAACTCCAGTAAAATTAATGGGTATTTTTAAAAGTGATTTTCTATTTATGTTTATCAAAAATACTTTTTCAAAATGAGTATTTCTACACCTATTGTAGCTTAGCATGTCATGAATAAAGCGTAAAAGCAGGGAATCATCATGAAAAATAACTCAAATATTTAAGTTTCTTCTCTGACAATATCAAAACATAAGAATCATATTTCTTATTATGCACCCATTTCGAAGAAAAGGGGGTATATTGCTTTGCACTTGTCGGTCCGTCGGTCTGTCGGTCCGTCGGTCCGTAGACCAAATGGTTTCCGAGTGATAACTAAAGAACCCTTAGGCCTAGGAACTTCAAACTTGGTATGGTGATTGGTCATGACAAGTAGATGACCCCTATTGATTTTGGGGTCAAGGGGTCAAAGGTCAAGGTCACATTGACCTTGTAAGCAAAAACGGTTTCCGATCAATAACTAAAGAACCTTAAGGCCTAGGAACTTCAAACTTGGTATGGTGATTGGTCATGATCAGCAGATGATCCCTATTGATTTTGGGGTCAAGGGGTCAAAGTTCAAGGTCACATTGACCTTGTTAGCAAAAACGGTTTCCGATCAATAAGTAAAGAAACTTAAGGCCTAGGAACTTCAAACTTGGTATGGTGATTGGTCATGATCAGTAGATTACCCCTATTGATTTTGGGGTCAAGGGGTCAAAGGTCAAGGTCACATTGACCTCTTGGGTAAAAACAGTTTCCGATCAATAACAAAAGAACCCTTAGGCCTAGGAACTTCAAACTTGGTATGGTGATTGGTTATGACCAGCAGATGACCCCTATTGATTTTGGGGTTAAGGGGTCAAAGGTCAAGGTCACATTGACCTTGTAGGTAAAAACGGTTTCCGATCAATAACGAAAGAACCCTTAGGCCTAGGGACTTCAAACTTGATATGGTGATTGGTCATGATCAGTAGATGACCCCTATTGATTTTGGGATCAAGGGGTCAAAGGTCAAGGTCACATTGACCTCTTGGGTAAAAACAGTTTCCGATCAATAACTAAAGAACCCTTAGGCCTAGGAACTTCAAACTTGGTATGGTGATTGGTCATGATCAGTAGATGACCCCTATTGATTTTTGGGTCAAGGGGTCAAAGGTCAAGGTCACATTGACCTCTTGGGTAAAAACAGTTTCCGATCAATAACTAAAGAACCCTTAGGCCTAGGAACTTCAAACTTGGTATGGTGATTGGTCATGACCAGCAGATGACCCCTATTGATTTTAGGGTTAAGGGGTCAAAGGGCAAGGTCACATTGACCTTGTAGGTAAAATTGCTTTCCGATCAATAACTTAAGAACCCTTAGGCCTAGGAACTTCAAACTTGGTATGGTGATTGGTCATGACCAGCAGATGACCTATTGTTTTTGGGGTCAAGGGGTCAAAGGTCATGTAACATTGACCTTGTAGGTAAAAACTGTTTCCGATCAATTAACTAAAAACGCTTAGGCCTAGGAACTTCAAACTTTGTATGATGATTGGTGGTGACCAGCAAATGATCCCTATTGAGTTTTGGGTCAAGGGGTCAAAGGTCAAGGTCACATTGACCTTGTAAGTAAAAACGGTTTCTGATCAATAACTGAAGAACGCTTAGGCCTAGGAACTTCAAACTTGGTATGGTGATTTTTCATGACCAGCAGATTACCCCTATTGATTTTGGGATCAAGGGGTCAAAGGTCAAGGTCACATTGACCTTGTAAGTAAAAACGGTTTCTGATCAATAACTAAAGAACGCTTCGGCCTAGGAACTTCAAACTTTGCATAGTGATTGGTCATGACCAGCAGATGACCCCTATTGATTTTGGGGTCAAAGGTCAAGGTCACATTGACCTTGTAGGTAAAAACGGTTTCCGATCAATAACGAAAGAACCCTTAGGCCTAGGGACTTCAAACTTGATATGGTGATTGGTCATGATCAGTAGATGACCCCTATTGATTTTGGGGTCAAGGGGTCAAAGGTCAAGGTCACATTGACCTCTTAGGTAAAAACAGTTTCCGATCAATAACTAAAGAACCCTTAGGCCTAGGAACTTCAAACTTTGTATGATGATTGGTCTTGACCAGCAGATGACCCCTATTGAGTTTTGGGTCAAGGGGTCAAAGGTCAAGGTCATGACCAGTAGATACTTGATAACCCTTATTAATTGTTTGATCACTGGGTCAGAAGTCATGCATAATTACCTTATCACATGAATAATTGGCTGCTGATAGGGGGCATACATGTTTTACAAACATATCTTGTTTCCATTAATGTCTAAGAACCACAACTGAGTTATTGTACAAAATACTGTCGGCCTACAGAGCGATTTCTGAATACAACTGATATCACTCATTTCAACATACCCTAGTAAACTTATGTTTAATGAAT